GAAACTGAAAACTTGGATGAATTTTGTTCTACCAAATCCATGTATTGCACCTCAAATTACCACGTAAAAATGTTAGCGCGATGATATCGAGCTAGCACAAGCTGGGCGAGTTAATGATGGTGATGTCTGATGGAAGATGATGATGATGACCACGACCACGCCATGGATGGGAGATAGATAAAGAGTTGGATAATATTTTAGACACCGGGCAGATGTTTAATTGCGGGTTGTGGTGTTCCTCCTCATCTCATCTCTTGGCTAACCCAATTCCAACTCTGCGTAAATAAAGATTTCTCCGAGATTAGTGTTACTCTAGATTTGACATCTCCCATAATTGAAAGGTGAGCTAAAGCAAATAATAAAATGAGACGATTCACCTGCCTTTAAGAGCTTGTGTTTTATGAGCAAACTTCCTACTCACCAGTCATCTCATCATCAGCCCGTAGTCATCATCTAATAACCAGCCAACCAAAAACTGAAGCAACATTTTATTTATTGTGCTTTCTCAGGAAGGAGGAGAAGAATGGGAAGGGATCCACTTGTAAATTGAACTCGACTAAACAAAAGAGTACGTTTCGACTCCTTCGCCCAGTTTCTCATCGTTTCCCAACCGGCGTCATCCTGATCGAATCATTGTTTTATGTCCATCCAGCAAACCAGTAAAATTAGGCAGGATTAAATATTGGCCAGAAAGGTGGACGCAAATGAGGCCATGGGGTAAAACCTTCACTTTTCGTACACTCTAAGGCACCAAAATCTGATTCTGTCGGTCACTCTTTTGTCCTCCTGAGAGCTTTGAAATTTGAACTTGCAAAGATATAATCTGTGTTCCAATTTCATCCAGATTTTCCATTCACGCGTAATTATGTGTCTCCCGTAAGTAAAGTAGCAGCAGTAGTAGCGTCGTCTTTCATCTCATGCATAAATTATCAAGTACCTACGATGGTCCCAGCTTGTGTTTCAGAGAGAAAAGCAGGAGCAGTTGCTCTTCGACGCATTATATTTTCATCAGAGATGAGTGAACATCATCATCATGATTCTCTGATGATGATGGTCGTAGTAAAACGTTGGAGTCTCACCCGAACGATGGAAGGCTTGAGGTAGGTTCGGATCCAACTTGAGAAGAAGAAGGGTAAAAGCAAGGCATGTTGAATATGTAGAAATATAAGTAGTCGTCGCTTCTGCTTCTGCTGTGTGAACCGAGTGGAAGGCGTATCCGGTTTCACTTTTAAAATTCTCAGCCAGCACAGAGATGCATCTGTTTATTTAATCAGCTTAAAAACTGACTTTCAAATTTTAAACGCATCTCTACGACTCGCTCATTCATGTTCTGCTTTGCTTTGCTTTGCCCTCTTCACAAGAAAATGCTAAACTCACACTTTGTGCTCATTAAATACAAAATCGTCTTCAATTCTAGAATCTACATGCGTAGTATTTATATGACACACACACCTGGACGAGGATGTCGATATACTCGCTGCACAAAAAAAAACGAGAAAATTAAATTCCGTCCTTTCATCGGCCCAATTTGAATAAAGCTCTTCCAAGTTAAGTGAAGCGGAATGAGTTTGAAGTGTGAAAAACAAACTCAATAACTTGAAGTGCTCAGTCAAAGAGCTTAATAGAGGATGACCCACATTCAACAGTTTAATCCGGATTTCTCAATAAAAAATATGCACGTAAAAAATTTGAACCAAACTCTTGATTTGATTTCTTATTGCAACGTCGCTTTCACGATGTGACCCGACTCATCAACGTCAACTGTCAACATCACGTCACATTTCGGATCGAAGCATCACCAACAAACAAAACTGATCAACAAATGGGTTCGCTTTCCCCGACATTAGGCCGCATTGCACAATGGGGCTCACTTCTCAACCCTTCCTTCTCGGCCAAGCAACTCTCGTCGTCGTCGCACTCCGATTAATTTGCCCGACTCTCAATCAGGTAAAAGATTAGCAAGAACGAGCAAAGTTTTCCTAACACTTTAAATCCGCGTTTGGTTCACCAGTCTCGTGGGCTGTGCTTATTTATTGTTATTTTTGTTGTGCTGCTCTCCTTCGTCATCCGCAATGCAACAAAAAAACCATGTTTACTCTACGAAAGGGAAGCAATAAGTCTCAAGCTGTTATTTCAGACGTTGTATGAAAAAGGCTCTGTCGGAATTATTTGGTTTGTGTCACATGGCCATCAATATCTGGAAGTGAGGACAAAAGACTTACACCTTAATGTTCCCTAATCACCAATTCTTGTTTCTTGTGTTGGTTTGATTTAAACTGGAAAAAGGGTGAACAAATCGGGTTTGCCACTGGATTGGATGGACAATGTCATCTCGAATCAAAGTGTGACAGGAGCCATCAAACTTCACGAAATCCTTGTGCATTTACGAAGGCAGATGGGGCAGAGAAAATAAGAGCTTGATTAATTCACCTACCACCGAACCGAAACCGGCTTCTTGACTCATAATTTATTAAAGTATTAGTCATTCAATCCCCAAAAAAGTGGGTGCCAGAGAAGAAAGTGGTTGCAAATCTCAACGGAAAAATGTCTCCGCATACGTACTAAAAAGATCTATCTTCCCATATGTACTTACTTGCATAGGTATTCGTCGCGTTCGATAAGCCGGTGGTGGGGAGGAGGACAATGTGAGACAACGGAATGAGATAGATAGAGATTTTGTGGAGAGATGCATTTGGCGATGAGATGACGGATGAATTGTTGAATGAGCATAAGTCCAGAATTCCGTTTGAGTGATTCGCTCACTCACTGCATTTGTTGGACACTTTTTCCTCGTGATTCTCGCAGAGATAGGAGAAGACTCCGTGTCGTCGTCGTCATCATCAGTATGTACAGTCAAGGAGGAAGGGAGCAATGTGATGTAAAATTTAATGTGGGATTGGTTCGGATGGGGCTTTGGTTGCATGAATTGTGATGTTTTCAAATTTCCACGTTTCCAATCGGATGGATTTCTTCTTCCTCACCTTTCTTTGCTCATTCCATTATCCTCGCAAGTAAGCAAACGAGTGGCATTCTGAATCCAAAATCCACTTCAACAAAACCTTCCATGAATTTTACAACGTTCCCGCAGCAGCACCTCCACCCACCACGAACCTCCAAACCCTCTCCAGAAAATCGGCCAACGTTGGAGAAATTTCTGCCTGCACGCACCCCTGGCTTCAATGGTATCATCGCACTGGTTAGATTTTGCATTAGGGGCTGCTACTTATCCACCACGACGACGACAACCAGACTGCAGTTCAACATTATCCACTTCCCATCATCCAGCTTATTATTTATATTCCACCACACTCCATTTTTTCTGTGTGACTTTATTCATGCTTTTGGGTGACGGAATATACAAATATATTTACATATGTACAAGGCAAAAAGCACTAATAACCAGAATCGGGTAAGTGTGATGATAACCTCAATTTTTCAAGACGCATTGGCCACTTTCCAAAAATATCGAATGAAATTTCTCCTTATTATTGAGCGAGTTGCAGCATGAGCGTGTCTCACTTTGCCTCATTTGATACGATGTATGTAAGTCCTTAAAATTACCAAAAAATGGAATGTCATAATGTTGCATTCTGCGAGAAGGGTATGCAGAAGGATGGGAAACAGGTTGTGGGACTTGATACCAATAAAACTAATGGGAAAATAGACGTGACGATTTCAAACCATATTTTCTTCCTCATTCCTTCCCTCCCTTAACAGCTCAAGAGTTGGTTGAGTCTCCTTGTTGTTGTTGCTGTTGCATAGGAATACGCAGGCTACGTACGTGTGTAGGTTTCATGCACAAAAGTCCTACCCCAACCAACCAAGCAAAAGCAAGTCGACGAGCATAATGGGAGGAATTAAAAGTGACCTGAGGCGATATTGGCCATCTCTCTCAAATCTGTTGAAGAAGGCCCCACGACCACCACCACCTCGACTTATTTGTGCAGCAACTCTCTCTCCTCTCTACATAATGCCAGCCTTTCTTCCTTTTGTCCAATTCTTGCAGGATGGGTCAGTAACTCATCAGCAAAGTTTCCTAAGGGTCCACCAACCACGTCGTCCAAACCCCTCGGCCAATATTTGCAACTCGGCTGGTCATTTGCTCCCCAGTTTGCACGAAGCCGTTGGGCGACCCCTTAGCACTGGTTCCATGTACGTACATACATGCACAAGTAAAGAAGGAGGAAGATTTGCCTGCATCGGCCGAAAACAAAACCACGACGATGATGCCTATCTCAAAATCTATATTTAAAAAATACCTTCACCAACAACTTCCAAACAACGGCCTGCCTGGATTCCTTTCTAATTAACGAATTCCTTCACAATCACCAACAACCCAATTGAGCACAATAATCATGAAATGAATAGCGCATGAATTTAGTACGTTGGAAATTATACTTATGTATTATGTATATACTTTAAATGACGTTTCAAAAATTATGAAATTTTTACTCATCCAAATTAGCATTTTCAAAATATGAACGTAAAATTGACAATAAAGACATTGCGCATCATCTTTCTCTTGCATACATAAATATTTCTAAGGAGTGGAGGAGAGATATAAAGTAACCACCGACCAAGTTGTCGTACATGGAGCAGCCCTGCAAGGGGTCCCCATTCTCTCCTCTCTCTTAAGAGATTTAGTATTCTGAACAAATATTATAAAATGGACTCCCTTCGCTTCTCGACCAAGTTGGCGTAGGCTCAACATTTTAAACTTTGCAAGGAGCAGAAGGGCCAAATCATGAGATGCAAGCAACAACGAACGCAACCTCCATTTCTCTTCGTTCCGAATAGGTTCAACTCTGGTCTGGTGGTTCTGCTGGGGAAGAAAATATTGCACGGCACAAGGAAGAAGAAGAGAGAACCTTGAGTCTGTTATTTTCCTCACAAATTAACAACCACACCAACCCATCCCCGTCCCTGCTGCATGCATGCGAGGACTGTTGAAGAGATTGCCGATCACTGGCTGGCTTGGTATCATGGTCTTCTTCTTCTCGGTGGTGGTGATGAGCGGACCCTGAAACTCTTTCACTCACTCGATCGCCAACCTTCTTCCACTCTGCAACCTTTGAGCGTGGCGTGGAGGACCCCTTCAGAACTTCTCTCTGCCCTCTCACTCACTAAGTCACCATCTTCCCCCCTCAAAACCGAACAATTTCTCCGAAAGCAAAGCAATCAGCAAAAACTACCGAAAGTTCCTATTTCGTACTTACTACTTGTATAATCAGCATAAAACTCCAGAGACGCGTGCACTTGTGATAAAAGTAAAACAAACAAAAAACTGTTATAAACTCATCGAGCTTTCTTCTTGGTGGTGATTACTATAGACGAATCGCAATTAATGTAATACTACCAGTGTGACAAAGACGTCATTGTGAAATTGGGAAGATAAAGGAAGGATAAGCCATAGATAAGGTATGTACATAACTCTAATAATTCAAAATATTCAAAACATGCATTCCCTGTTTGTACATATTTCATGTCTTTGTCTGTCTGCGTCTTCATATGCAAGTTTGATTATCATATCTGAAGGATACTGCTCGTAGAAATTGGTAATTGATAATTAACCGCATAACCAGCAGAGTAAGGGACTCGTCGTATTTTGTATTCCGGTGAGATTGCACACATTTTAAAATTATCCTTCATGTAGCATTTATCCTTCATGTAGCACCAACCAGGGGACCAAGTGATGCATAGTCCTGGGTGGCAATAAATATGCCTTTAGTGCTTTCCCAATTCAAATTCAGGTTCAACTAACTGCATATCATTCAGAAGAGTGGGTGATCAGTGAACATGGCATACGAAACGAAGCCAAAGAAGTTCATGTATATAGCATCATGCATGAGAAGACAGAAAGTTGCTATTTAACTGTCCGATTATAATATTGAGCTTGGAATACAAGGGCTCTTTGTCTCCTTGGAACAAGTCTTCTTCTTCTTGTACACTGGTCTCTCTCAGCTTTTTTAAGCACACCACATTTGCCAACTAAATATCTACGTATGTGCATGACATTGACGCCATGCTTGTCTCCAGTCCTTCCAGCTAATCCCTTCGCCACCACCACCAAGACGAAGTGCACATGCATATTCCACCCACCCTTAAAAGCCATTCTATTAATATATGCACTTTAAGAGTTTTTATTCCAATGCGAACCATTATTGGTGAGTGGCATTATTTTTAATTTTAATCCCACAACTTCACCCACCACACACCCGGATGGTTCCAGGAATCGAGTTTGCTGAACTTTTTGTTCCGCACCTTTCCGTTTAGGGGTTACTTTTTAATGGCCACAATAAAACAAACTGGAGTTCAGTTTGGAGGACTTATTGGATCCAGAATTCGACCAGCTCTGCCTCTCTTTTATTTTTTTACGATATACATACAGACAGGCATTGGATGCACATAGTTATGCAGTCAATCCAAGCGTCGTCGTATGTATGAGCATACACTTTAAATTTCATAATGTTCAAACTCCACAATTGTGATTGACTTGCGACATCCAAACCCACCATTCCGTTTTTGGGTTGGAAATTCACAGGAATCGAATTATGTGTTAAATATATCGCAGCTAGGCTTGTTGGTGGGGTGGTGCTTCGTGCATGTATCGACATACGTGTGAGGATGAGATGTTGATGTTATGGATAAGAGAGTGGCAGACGATGGAGAGAACGGCAAGAAATTGACACTTGACAATTGACATTGAAATGGTTTGGAATTTTGGCCAAAAATGAAATTGGTGAATCTGAATAATCGGATATGCGAGAGAATTGCGAGAGCATGTCAACTTTTTGGGGACAGTTGGTGAAGAAATAGTCTCAATTTGGCAATAAGTGAGGAAGAAAACAGACTTTTTTTAGCCTGTCGGGTTCGTTTGTTGGCTGTTATCGAAGTTGTTGGAGGAGGAATTGTTATCACGAACGAAGGAGCTGCATACCGTACGAGCATGAGACACCATGGACCATTGTCCGTGGCTATGGCTCAAGTGGTGGTGGAGATATTCAGTGAAATTTGAATTCCTTCCTGTTCTTAAGCAAATTTTGAGTTTGACTTGCGGCGGCCGAGTTGGAGAATCAATTTGGATGCATTGTGTGTCCTTTGTGACAAAGTGACTAAAAGCCAGTCCGACTGACACTTCACGATCCCACTCACTCGATGTGATTGGCATTTCGAATTTACACAAAATTGAATGCATGGGAAATCTGATGGTTGGCTTTCTTTCTCTCGCTCCCCACATTCACGCCGGAATTGTGTGTGTTGAAAACTCGTACACACATATTTACTCGGAAAACAATACATTTTTCCATCCAATACCTACTACACAAACTTTCAAAACGACAACGCCACAATATTCCACCGCATCCAGCAGGGCACAATTATTTTGCTTACTGCATACCCACCTTAAATGCAACAATTAAATGCGATCTACATTTATATATGGCATAAATTGCGAATGGCGAACTAGGTCCTCCATAAATGCATAAATTTATTGGCTGGTCAACACTCCATCCATAACACACAACGAAGCGGAGGAATTATGCACACCATGCAAATCGTAGCTGAATTCCGCCATGTTAATTCTTCTTCTCATTGCAGGCCTCGACTGTGAGTGAGGTCAGCAGCCGGGGCGGGCGCCTGTGTTGCGCGTCCTCCACTGCATGCGTCGCACAACAAATGTGAAGTGCATCAAGAACTATGCTGCACATGGGGATGAAGAGTAATTATTAAGGAGAGACAGGTCAGTCAGACAGAGTTTGGATGAATCACAAGAATTCTGGTGAAAAAGATTTCGAAAAAGAAGACAGGTTCGATTTGAAGCCAGTTTCCAGCCCACTTTAATAGAATACGAAGAAAGAGAAAACTATACAAGGCAGAAAATATCGTCGTAAAAAGCAGCAGCAGAAGGGTCTCTCTCGCTCTGGGTCGTCGGCCAGTGCAGTCAGTGGCATTCAAGTGCTCCTACCACATAAGAAAAAGGTCTCTCTCTCCTACGAATCACCACCAACCAACTTCTGCACTGGAGCAAATGCACCACTCAATGAATTGTGCTCCTATCATCCCAAGAATTTGTGTGTGAATATTAATCAAGTGTTTTTTTTTTTAATTAAATAATCAAGTCAGTGGTCGGACTAATTAAATTTTGATCAAGACAAGAAGAAGAGCAGGCTCAAGACAAAGTGTGATTCATGTTTTCCTCGTAATTCTTACTTTGCATTGCTACACAGGTTGGATAGTAGACTTGTGCAGCCAGTGGTCGATAATAATTACTCGGCTTGTGACGTTGATGCTTTTTTGAGTGGCACCAGCAGCAGAACTTATTTATTAGAGTAAAATAATAGGCGAGTAGATTCGAGTGTGCAGTGTCCACTGACTGAAGGTTGCAGCTTTTGTGCACCAATGAACTTGGTCAGGTCCAGCGAGATAGGAGAGAAGCAGCAGCAGAAAGTCGTCGTAGTGGGTTAAGAGAGGTCTCGATGGCTACACTCCTCTCCCATCAGCACCAACAGTCAGCCAACCAACTCCTCTACGCCAACGCCCCCATCACCTTTGCCAACCAGCAGGTCAACCACCACCACGCCGGTCATCCCCAACCCTCCGCAGCTGGTGGTCACTTTTGCAAAGATTGCGAAGTCATGTTTGAGAGCAGCACGAGTCTCGAAGTGCATCTCAGCTACCACAAGGAAAACCTTCTCACCCGATGGGCCAACCAGGATGCCCTCGACAAGAGCAGCAACAGCAGCACTAGCACCAGCGGATCCAACTACGTAAGTTATCCATTCCCTATTTTGCACCAATCTCGCATTTGGCAATTACTTGCAAAATTTAAGCTATTGTAAATTGCCAAAAGAGATGCATTAGTTTGGACAGCTTTAACTGATGATGTTGCCTTTAATTGTTGTCCAGGCTAACCCGTCGTCTCCTTCGCCCAACAAAAGAGACATAAGTCGCTCGGATAACTCGTCCGTGGAGTCGTCGTCCTCCTCCAGTCAGTATTACCACCCCGCCGAAGCCCACTACTTGCCCCCATTGTACAACAACAACACGGGAGACCAGCACATGCAGGCGTCTCCAACCACACCCACATATCGATCCACCCCCAGCAGTGGTTCTTCTTCCGGTTTTATCCTGTCTCAACAACCACCTGTTGAATCCTTAGTCAGCGGAGTCGCCCCAATAATGTACGAACCCTTCCACACCAACTTCGGCCACCCCCAAAGTTTGTCCAGCGGTGGTGGGCATCCTTCCCTCATCTTCTCCCCCAACCATCCTGGGGCATCTGCTGGGGGTCCACCCAGCAGTGGTGACCAGCATCAGTCTCACCTTCAACAACAGCAACAACAAGCTGCCCGTGAATCCGCAGAAATCCTTGACCTTGATTCTCACAAAGTACACATTTATCAACACCAGCAGCAACAGCAGCAACAACAACAGCAGCAGTTTTTCCACCGACCGTATCTGCCCCACTTGCTGCCCCCACTGCCCCCACCAGGCCATCCAGCATCACAACCAAACGGGTGGCCAGGAGGAGCAGGAGATCATCACTTTAATCCCAGCAGATTTAGTCCTGCTGCTGGCTACACGTTGGAACCACCACCAGGAAATCCGTTCTACAATGGCCCCCCACCACTGCCAGTGACGAGTGCAAGTGCGCCACCCACGAATAATGGGCTCCTCCCACCTGGAGCTACGTTTGAAGTCGTGAGGATGGAGAACCCCAACTACGCTGCTCCCCCCACGTCCAGTGAACAGGGCTTCTCACACCAGCAACATCAACACGGAGGGTCAAACGGTGGCCTGGTCCCCTTTGGACACCAGTCCCCATATCCTCCTCCACAGCAGCAGCAGCAGCCATCCAGCGGTGGTGGTAGTGGTGGTGCGACAATTAAGCGGGAGAAAGTCTCTCCACCCGGTGCACCGAAGGGTCAACGGTCTCCGCTGGAAGGTTCCGGCAAGAATGGGCAAACTCCGCCAGTCAAGTCCAAGGGGTGGAAAGGAGGAGAGTGCAAACGACCCAAGACCTACAACTGCCCCGCCTGCAACAAGTGGTTCACCAGCAGCGGTCACTTGAAACGACATTACGGCACCACGTTGCACAAGGTAAGCACCACTTATCTCATTCTCCACAATAAATGCACCCGGGTTTTTCATCTCACCCGATCCTGTCTTCGCACATATCCTTACAAGAAGTAGAGTCAGGCAGCGTCGTTGTCTCAATTTCCCCACAATCTCATGCCCTCATTTCACCTCTTTTTTTTGCTTTCTCCTACAGAACTCGATGAAGCAACTGGGCGACAATGCGGAAGAGCTGTTCAAACAGCAGCCGAAGAAGAAGGGAGCCAAATCCTCCTCCACCGAACCCAAGACTCCAAAACAGCCCAAGAAAGCCAGAATGAACCTGAACCCCAACAACAACGACAACGACAACAACATGATGATGGCGGTGGATGAGATGTCGATAAAGAAGGAGCAGACCAACAACAACTCTCTCATGTACGGTGGCAGTGGTCCCCACCATCACGACATTATGCAGCCCGTGACGACCACGAACAACAGCGATGGCGACTTGCTGAAGCCCTTCCGCCCACCAACCTCCTCCTCCGTCTCACCCAACAATGGCAACCACCACCCCTTCAACAACTACCAGCAGCTTCCTTACGGCGTCCCCCCACATCACCACCTCCTCCTCCCTCCCCACCAACAACAGCAACACCACAGCCCTCACCTCACTCCTTACCCAACGCCACCCTCCGCCGCCCCCACCAACAACCCAGGCAGCTACGTTGTTGACTTTGTCCCCCATCCGCCAGCATCCTCCGCACCCTCCTCGTACAACAGCAACGGGTTCCATCCTCAGCCCAGGAGCCACAACAGTTCTGGAGAATCTGGCGAGAACAACGGTCCACTCCCCCCGTTCAGCTCCGTGGGCATGTCCCACTATGACGCCAGCATGGACCCCAACAGCTTCCAGAACAGGGTGACACCCCCGTACAACCAGCATCCGGGAGTGGTCGTGGGGATACAACAACAACCCAACACGTCCCCACACAACAGCAACAACAACAATGCCAACAATTCGGGGCAACATGAGTCGTCCTTTGAGCGAGACAATGGGGAAGGGGATCCTCGTCATTCGCCCTACAACGGAGGTGGCACTGGGTCGCGGTCGGAGGGGAGTGATGGCAGTTTGGACGGCATGTTGATGGATGGGTCTTCGCCTTCCGGTTCGGATGAGGGGGCGCCTGTGGGAGCAGGAGTTTCATCGTCGAACGGCGGCGGCGGAGGTCACCATCGCAAACCCGAGGTACATGAATGCCCTCTCTGTTCTAAGACATTTAATCGCAGGTAGGGGTGTACGGCTAGGTGTTCGGGTGGGGCGGATAGTTGGTGATGATGTGCATGTGTGCTAATTCCTTATTTTTTGTTTATTTTTCCACAGTTGCTATTTTAAGCAACATTTCAAGCAACAACATTCCAATAGTCAGTCAGGCGGCCAGCTCTACAAGTGTCCAACATGCGGAAAAAGGTTTCCTGAGCAAGACGCCCTTTCCGAACACGTCGCGAAACATGGTTCCGACAAACCCTACAAATGTGAACTGTGTCCCAAGCAATTTAATCATAAGACAGATCTGAACAGACATCGGCTCCTCCACTCGGGCGATCGACCCTTCGTCTGCCCCTTTGAAAACTGTGGCAAGGGTTTCATCCGAAAAGACCACATGACCAAGCATGGCGAAACTCACCGCAAAAAAGCCATCAGCAGCAACAACAACAATGTTTCTTCTAATTAACGCATCGCCTAATTGTTAAATTTTATAGTTATTTTCTGCATTATTATTATCCATTGAGCTTATAATTATTTATAATACTAATTATCGTCGTCGTCCCAGGGCCTCTGCTCCCCTCTACTCAGCCACAAGGCCACCATGCACAAGGAGCAACAGGAGGAGCAGGATTTGTAATAATGCGAGACAATTGTGAGTATAGCCATCATTATTTCATCTCCTTCTCTCTTTCTCTCTTCTGACTTATTCTAATCGCCACCACTTAGAACACAATTTCCCAAACATTTTATTAGTCAGTCAAATGTCACAAATGTGTGAGAATGATGGAGGAAGCAGTATTTACGTAGTTGGTTGTGGCTTTTGGGAGAGGAATTAGTGAGTAATTTTGTTCCCCTCGAGTCCAACAACTCGTTCCTTCTTCTTAAATTCATTCCATGTGAATTCTCAGTTGCCATAATAAAATAATCGGTAATAGTGCAGCCGTAGGAGCAGCAGGAGCATCATTGCGTAAAATAATGACAGTATTCAGTGCTAAGATGATGAGAGGAGAGGGAGAGCAGGTGATTTTACTATTTCATAATTTACATAAAGTAAGAGTGCCATGACTCAAACGTGTAATTATTCCCAACATGAGACTTACTTCACAAAATGATGCCATTTATTAGCAAATTATTGAATTAGTGTGGAATTTGGATCTGAACTTGTCGATACATATATCGCCACTCACTTTTTTCCTACATGCTCCATCCCCACAACATGCAGCCAGTCTCTGTAATCAAACCTCGCCATAGCTTCTACATGGGTGGACACATAAATAAATACTTTGGCGTTTAGCCATCCTTATAATTGCCGTGAGCCAGCAAAGCTATAAAGAGAAAGAAACAGGTCATGTCATGTCAGTTTGTTCCAGTCGAGTTGAAAAAAAAACTAGATTTTTAACCCAGTCCTTTTTCCACACTCGCTCAGACACACACACAAATTTATTATTTTACAGCAGCGCCTGTAATGAAATTAAATTCAAAAGTGTAATTGTATTGTACAAAAAGACGACCGTAGTTTTCATTCCATTTATTTTTGAATGATGCAAATATATATTTTATTTAATGTCCTGCACCCTCTTTCTCTCGGCCACTTTTAGCAGCATTCAACCCTTTTTTAGTACTAAATACGTTCGTGGCGTTCCTCCGTGAAGATGGCCGGCCGCGTACGTAGATCGAAAAAGTCCAGGTGCAGGCTCCCTATGTTAAGCAATAAGCAATAAATTATGAATTTACGCTTCTACACATTTATGCTCGGCTCCCTCAAACGTACTCCATTTAGGAGAATGCAAAGTGTGTACATTGAAAACAAAAATGCAAAAATTTATTATCATGTAAATTTTTAGAGTATAAAATTCCCGACGACTTAAACAGTCGGATCGTAACGATATCGATGAAAGACAATGAAATGAGACGACCTTTTGGGTCTCTCATGTCAACGAAAGTTCCTCTCACTCATAATCACACAAAATATTACTATTAGTTAGTTGGCACTACTCAATATTGTTCTTCTGCTTAGAAAAGTATAGAGTTTATTGCAATGATCGAGTTTTTAACGAACTTATGCATAAATGCAAAGTATGCACTACAAATTAATTATGCACGCCTCGTGTACAAAGTCAATTTTATAATATATCCAGCTAACTTACTGATATTTAAGTGGAGACAATTTACATAAGTAAAATACACTCAACGTTGGCAATAATGTTAACAAGACAAACATTGCAACTCGAAAGTTCCTCTCAATGTGCTTATCCATTTGATCCAATAATGATCACAATGCTAATCTATAGCAATATTATAAAACAATAATGAAATCACTTGATCAGTGAAAACACTGTACATAAACTACTACGATTACCTTAATAATTCCTCTCCTTGGCTGGATCGAAATTATTATTCATGCAATGCAATTAAGGATGTGTGTAAATATATACTTGGAAAGAACTCGTAGTAGGAGTCTCATCGTATGAAAAAAATAACTCGTTTTTCCGCGTCGTGATAATTCTAGAATTTTTGATCAAAATGTTTCACATTCCGTAGAGAAAAGAGATTTTGGAGAAAGACATTTTCGAAAGCTCCATGCTTATTAGTTAATTAGTAATATTTAAATAATTAGATGTAGAAAAATTCTTGTTATACTTCCGCCAAAATAGGTACAACTAGTACTCGTTGTTAAAAATGCATGATTATTACACAAAAACGCTTATTGATAATTCAGCAGTAGGTACAAAGCAATGATTTACCTTACTTTCAACCACACCTCACCCTGCTCAATATATTCATTTACAAAACACAAATTAGTTACGCAAAGAGTATGCAAATATTATTATTACGTTATCATCACGATGCATCATGAATGAGCTGTCGGATAATAATTTCAATGTATACGTTTACCTGCTACTTAATTATGTACTCTTATTTTTATCGTGGTTCAATTATTGTTACATAGTTTTAGTTTGTATACTCAAATAAATTTATATTATTATTGTGATTTATTTTATTACTGGTTAGGAATTATTTGTTAAAAATTATGTTAAATTGTGATGCCATAATTTTGTTATAGTTGGTTTTAAACCTGAGCTGTTTGTAATCATTTAAAGTGATACAATAAAAAATGTTGCGAATAATAAATAAATAAATAAATGGACACTTTTTTTCTCGGGGATGGGTTCGATCTGGGTCAAATATCATCATCATCGCCACGAATTCAATTAATAATGTCCTACATAATCCCATTTCTAAACAATTTCGTTATTACAGTCCGTGTACCCACCTCGACCAGGAACAAGATTCCCAGTTGCGTGTCCCAGTTTTTCAGCCATTTTTACCATAAAACAGGAACAAATGTGTGAGATTTGTTCCAAGCAAATAACAAACATATTGAATCCTCGTTAATTTTTATGCATTTGGACTGTGTCGTGGTGACTTTCGGAGTCGTACAGCGTTGGTTGCATAAGTGAGAGCCCCGTCGTCGTCGGTTGGAGACAGCGAATAAACAGAATGGAGTAAATGTCATAAATCTTCAGCATGAAGGGCAGCTGGATTTCTATTCATCTCCATTTCAAAGGTTTCAAAAGAGCATCGAGTCGCGGAATAAGCATAACTGCAGCATTCCCATTAGTGTAGCAGAACAAGGCTGTGTGAAGTTACGAAGCATCTCTTTGTCCTCGCCACCAAAGAGGGAAATGAGCTCCAAGCAAGTACACATACAGGGCACTACTGGTCTCTTCTCGACCTATATGCATCACTGCATGCACATTAACAGCATTTCATTTTGGCAGCAAAATGCACCAGTTATTACATTGATTTCCTGTGGACAGAGGTGAGTTGGTGAAAATTCGGCTGGTTGGTTTGGTGGTGAATGGAATGAAACTGATGGAATGGAACGCAGCAGCATTAGCGAGAACAAAAGGGTGCCATTCGTCTGTCTAACGTTACTTGGCCGCCCCTCCAGGCACCACCAGACCTTCGCACAAATGCTCAATCACCGCACACACAACAACAACAATCATCGTCATCATACGAATCCAAAGTCATTATCATTTTCACTTCTCCTTTTGTCATCCGCCAGAGATAAATTGCAGACTGGACGGACAACAGCGTCTCCTCCTCGCCCCAACAGCGTCCATCACATTATTCTTTTTATGCAAATCGGATCAGTGTTTCATTTTTAAGTCGTAAAATTTAACGGATCATGTTTCCACCGAATTTTATTGAGCGTTATTAATTTAATTGAATAATAGGCGATCGCTACTGAATTTATAATATTTTTAGAAACGAGAAACTTTGGTCACACGTATGTAGATATAGATATCGACAGATTTGCCGATCCGATGTCATCCTTTTATATTAAATCTCTCTATTTTGCTTACAAAACCAAGTCCCCGTAAGTTCATCAGAATTGGACACTTCCCTTCCCACGCGATTCTTGAAGGGACGAGGAGCACAAAAGAAATGATAATTAGCTAAAACCTGAGATTGAGAAAACTTTACAAGTTCTCTGATTCATGAGATTGAGCAATTGATCCGAGTTTACACACATCTCTCGAATTTCACTCTGTTGCTGCTAAATATGCTCACTCTCCATCTTTATTTCCATCTCAATCCATTTGCTTTTTAAACTCGAACAAGGGACTCGATCCGTCCTCCTCACGCTATCTCAAGGATTTTGGGAAACTAATGGAATGGAGTTTCCTGAATTGCTAACATCAACAAAGTGCGAGACCATTTGAAAATTTTATACGCAACATCCGGGCTTTTCTCTCTCTGCGGAATAAATAAAATGGGATGGAAAGTGAAAGGATTGCTTCACACAACAATATCGTCGTCGTCTCAATGGCTTGATCTCTCCTCGATAGTCGATACATCCACCAAAACCACGAATACTACACGCTACATGTCGATATCCCATCCGAATTGCAGACTTATCGCAGATTGTAATCATGTAATGCAATGCATTACACTTGTGGATGGATGTTTTATTTTATTTGCTGCACATAACCCTGCCCCCGTTAAAGAAACGTTTACTTGTTACATGCATACTTTCAGAGGAGAGCATTTCTACTCTAATGTCCACCAATATCGCTTAAAAAAGGTTCAATTTTCCCCACTTTACACCTGTAATGGTTCCGTTAAATGGAAAAAATGGGACTTGGGAAAAGAGGACTTTAGTCCACTTGTTCCATTTTCATCGTCTTCCCTTCTTACTCACATGGTGGCTGTGACGCTGGGCATTAGCGTCGTCCACATTTATCCAGATCGTATTGCAATCTGGAATCACACGCGATTACCATAGTCCAGATTTTATAGCGCAGGATTTCACGAATTTCGATATTTTGTGCCGTTGATTATTGGACAGTTGGAACATCTGCATGTCACTTGAATGTAAATCTATGCACACATTATCATTCCATTATTGAATGGCATTTTCCATTGAAAACTCAATTATTCACGGGAGAGGAGTAGAAGAGTAAGTTGTAACTAATTCGCCCCTTCCTTAAAAAATCCAGTCTGCTCTGGATTAGTTTATTATTATTTCTTCTTCGTCGTCTATTCAAAATGACAGAGTTCTTTCCATAATAAAAAGAGCGGAATAAAAAGTATCTCATTTCTGAGATTTCGACCGTTACGCTTTCTCCAATCAAAAGAGACACGACAAATGGGATTCCAATGTAGTGCAATTTCATCTCGCTGCTGCTGCACATACATTTCACACAACAAAGGGGTGAGCGTTGCTTTTACATAATATGCAGTAGGACATGCACATATGAAAAAGAGAGACGGCGATGCATATGTATGAATGCGAAGACGAAGGAGCACGAAGGGTTGGGCCAAGGGACGAGGAAGACCTGTAACCACCATCATCATCCATATTCAATGAGAGGCATCCTTCCTTGTGGACAATGGGAAATCCAATCCGTTCGATAAGGCCAAGGGCTCTCTCTTATTAATTCTTTCCCAGTTCGTACACTGTATTCTCTCCGACGGTACAATGATGCTCATTATCACCACCGTTTTCACTACGGAGAATTCTCTTTCATTTCACAATAATAAATTGGGTTTGGTTGAACATTGGAAAATTGAGAGTAATTTATGAGAAAAAGTCAATGCTATTTAGAAGAAGTCCAATGTGCAAAAACCATGAAGAGCGACACACACGGACCACGTAATAATATATTCTGTGCTCATTAGTTGGTTCGATTGGTGGCCATGCAGTGGTGGTAGATGGAGAAATATGGAAATGAGCCCGAGCATATACCTGTTACCTGTCAAAAAAGTAACGTGTGGATGTGCATCCCCGAAATAAAAGTAAAAGTGCGATGCATCTCTTTTCATCCGTTTTTGTGCTCTGAATCTGATTTACATCAAAATCATCCCATCATGAATAACCCTTCAGTCTCTCCTTTCCCTTTCAGGCTCGACAGGAACATGGACTGCACTTGAGGCGGAGAACATTTACAAGTTGCAGTCCTGCTTCTCTCACCCTTTACAGAGCTGAATGAATCCATCCTTCTTTCTCTCCTATCACACAAGGACCAACAATTAAGGAGCATCTGCATCTTCTTCTGCCTGCTTGATAACACTGGAATGAAGCAGAATGAACGTTGTCCATCTGCCTGCATCTGCATATGTAGATGTGCGAGAGAGAGAGGGGGGATGATGTGACTGATAAAAAGAAACTATTGATTCGCTTCGATTAGTTGAGGTTTGGGGCTTTGCATTGAGGAGACGAAAAGCTCTCTTCCTTTGAGACCCCGTCCGTCGGTTGGCCCTTTTCCTTCCTTATTAGACTCCGCTCCAGCCCTTGATGAGCTCAAGCATTTGCATTTCCCTGCATCCAACAACGCCTTGATCTGCAAGTACATATGTGATGATTGTTGCTGTTTGGACCTTCCTGCGGGGACACACAACCTGCCCAACAGCGCCTGTAATGATAATAATAAGGCTTGATGAAAGGAGTAATTTGGAATTTGAATAATGTTGTCCTTTATCATCAGAGGACACAAAAGCTCTCCTGCAGGTTGGGTAATCAGCAGCGCATCAAAAAATGAGCGTTGTTCGTTCGCCTGTTGCTTCCTTCCTTCCTCAATAAAATTCCCATCGGGTTTTAAATACCCGACCCATGCAGCCTTACGTAGCTTAAATACCGACTGTGTTCTCTTTCTCACAGCCACACACACACAGGAATGGTTCACTCAAATTCGAATCAGTTATCGACGCATCATCAATGAAGGTGATCTGCATACAAGGATCAACCCCAACCTTGCATATATTCAAGTTGTGATTAATTATTCCGCTGTGACCGACTTGGCGATGACTATAAAGTGTCCATGGGTATGCAAATAAGGTACGCTATCGTGGGATTCACTTGATGCCCACTCATTTCTCCCACGATGATGATGAGTGCGAAGCGTTTTGGAGATTTTTTTTCTTCGACAGTTTCTTTATGTGCAGCAATGGAATGTATTTGCATAAATTATTTGTAAAATGGCGTAATTATGTATACGGCTATTTTAAACATTTCCGTAAAAGGGTTAGAGTCTCAATGTCCCGGAATGCAACGATGCCACCCAAATTGGCGAAATGGGCCCTTTTGGCGACCTCATTATCCACTGAGTATGAAATCTGTGGGAGTTCTTCGACTTGGTCGAGTGCAAGGAGTTGGTGAAAGTTGACGATCCCACCGCCCAACCCGTGCAGAATGGAGTGAGGGCCACAACTGTCCCAAAAATGAGTGGTGTCCTTTGACAAAATGTACGCGTCAGTCAGACCCAGAATCACGGCGAGTAGTTTGTAACCTGCTCCAGGAGCGGTTACTAAATCGAAGTCCTTCCCCAGCTTCGCCTTCAGAGCGGCGTCCTCGGACGAACTCAAGATCAAGGATGGGCGGCGGTGTGACTGCTTTGGGGGAATATTCCTGCTCGACTTTGAACACGAGGGATGACTCGTTCCCCAAAAGGTGCGCCCACTCCACCTGCCCAACCAAATAAGGTTTAAGTAAATTGTTACAAAATCTTGAAATGTGAAGTATCTATGAAGAAATACTTGTTGTCGCTGGAGAGGGTGTGAAATGGCTGGTTGATGACGCCCACGATGGGTTTGCCAGAGTGAAGGTGGAAAGCTCCGATGAGAACGGTCACACAGGGAAGTCCTCCTTTCTCGACTTTATCCTCTTGACCAGTAGAACTATTCGGGGCAAGTGGTGACCCCTTGATGTACTCGTTTGTGGCATCTAAATTGCGTTGAAAATTATTAATTTGTAGATAAATAGATTAGTCAGATAAATCGAGTATCGTGCATGCGTTCACCTATGGGGTCAATCCATATGCCTACGTCTGCATAGTCACTAATGACACCATCCTCGGGTATGTCCTCTTCAAGTCCTTTACAACTCTCGTCTTCGTCACCAGCATTGCCAACATTTCTATGAATCTCCTCAGCCAGAGTGAGGGCAGCCAAGTTGGGCGTGTCGCCACCACCGCCACCCATCACCTTGGTCAGTAATTGTGCAGTTTCCTTCACCTCGCTCTCAACCCGGACGGTGACAACTTCTCCCAAACCGTTCGTGAAAGTGTTGTTTTCTTCTCCAAAAATGTTGTTCGCCATTTCCGGGTACTACAAATAAATAATAAATATATACATTGTTTGAGGCGTTAATTGAGTGACTTTTAGTTAATCAGTTCCTCACCTTTTTGGAAATCTCCCATCTCAAACTCTCCTGAATAAGGACGTCCCCCAAGGTTTTGAAATCCTGGACGAATCTCACATTCTTTTCCCCGACCTGCTTTTCCTCCACGAGAAGACGAAAAAGCTTGTCATCATTCCGAATTATTCTCGCAATATTTGCAGCTTTCTCCGAAGATGAGATCAACAATTTTACAAATTCCCTCATGATGATTTTCTCGTGTAAACTAGCTCATCTGTCAAATGTAAACAAGTTTTTCTCGTGAAAATACCCGGGTATTTCTCCTCGACGAGTTTCGGTGCATCAGTTTTCACAGTGAGAGCATGAATAAAATGAAATATTTTATTGAGCAAAAACTATAGGACGGAAGCAACAACTAGCTAAAAAAATAAAAGAACAACCATTAATAGAACCAAGGAGGGGATGAGAAGGTCACGTTTGCCATTGGATTAAATGGTCGCGAGTAATATTAGTGGTGGCGTACATCCATTATCATCATACATTAAATCCAATAATGATACAACACCACAAATCTCAATAACTTTCGCTTCCACTTTTGCTACATCCTCCTCGTGTGGTGCCAGTTTTAGTTGTGGTTTGGTGTAGAATAAATGGCAAGCAGATTGGCATGTGAATGTCACGCACGCAAATGTTTTGAGTATGTTTGCATTCGGGAGCGTCGTGCAGATTCGTCCTCTACAAAATAGTAATATCTGCTGGAGATTGGTCCCGTGTGGCGGTGGTGGTTCGGTCGGAGAGTGAGTGCATGGGCCAGAGTCAAGGTTATCTCGTTCATTTGGGAGTTGTTCCACTACTTTCTTCTTCTCTCAAGCAGCAGCAGTGCACACGGTAAGTCATTCTCATTAGATTTCTTTCATTATTTTAATTAATACTTCCTCAAAATTTGCAACAAGTTAGACAAAAATCCAGAATTAGATGCCACAAAAAACTTGCACGGTCTTTTTGAGTTAGAGATAAACTCTTCTTATCTATATTTTTGTAGTGTCAATTACCTTACCGGCTCATGAACATCTTAGCCACGAATAAATAATTAACAAATGCATTAAAATCTGTAGTCTTATTGTAATATCACAGCACTAATAAATTAATAATCATGTTTTTGTTGCGATGTTGATTATTAGTTGGACTTTGTCGATATCTCGAAGAGCTTTCCAAAAACACTCTTTTGCAGCTTTCAAACCCCGGACAATAGCGACAATGCCGATCAAGTCGATTAAAGCTCGTCAAATCTTTGACTCCAGGGGCAACCCGACCGTGGAGGTGGACCTGGTCACGGACAAAGGTCTCTTCAGAGCGGCTGTCCCCTCAGGGGCGTCAACCGGAATTTATGAGGCTCTCGAGCTCAGGGATAACGATAAGGCCAACTATCATGGGAAGGGTGTGTCCAAGGCGGTGGACAACATTAACAACTCCATTGCCCCAGCATTGTTGGGACAGGTGAGTTACTCAACCTGAGGGTAATTACTTGAAAGACCTTACCAACATGAATGAATGCGTGATTTTTCACAACATGTTTGCAGAACTTTGATATCACGAAACAACGAGATATTGACGACTTCATGTTGAAGTTGGATGGGACCGAGAACAAGGACAAGTTGGGGGCTAATGCCATTTTGGGTGTGTCGATGGCAGTGTGCCGAGCCGGAGCGGCTGAGAAGGGAGTTCCCTTGTACAAGTACGTCGTCTCCATTTCTCCTCATAATGCCAACAGGTGTAACGAGTTTATTCTAGATGTGGGCTAATTTTAAGCTTACTCTGCGCAGGTACATTTCCGAACTGGCCGGAACCACAATTATTCTTCCAGTCCCAGCCTTCAACGTTATCAATGGAGGTTCTCATGCTGGAAATAAGTTAGCCATGCAGGAGTTCATGATTCTTCCAACTGGTGCCTCCAATTTTACCGAGGCGATGAAAATGGGTACGCACTATATACAATCTTAGTGTTCTCTGTATTCTCTGAATTTTGCATTATTTTTGTAATCCTTGAAATTATATTTACAGGCTCCGAGGTGTATCATCACTTGAAAAATGTCATAAAGGGTCGTTTTGGACTTGACGCTACCTCCGTGGGCGACGAGGGTGGCTTTGCTCCTAACATTTTGAACAACAAGGATGCTTTGGTGTTGATTCAGGAAGCCATTTCCAAGGCTGGCTACACTGGTAAGATTGAAATTGGAATGGATGTCGCCGCATCCGAATTTTTCAACAAGTGAGCCAAAACTTTTATTGTGCTGAAAATATAACTCAATAATATAACGCAAAATATGATGTGTTAGAGATAAGAAGTACGACTTGGACTTTAAGAACCCCAATTCTGACGCCAGCCAGTGGTTGAGTGGAGAACTGCTTCGCAACATGTACCTCGAGTGGGTCAAAGAATTTCCAATTGTTTCAATTGAAGATCGTACGTACCATACGCAAAATGAGTCAAATTAGTCATCACATTGTCCATCCTCTAATATTCTTGGGTATCCGCTCCGAATTTAGCTTTTGATCAAGATGATTGGGAGGCCTGGACTGCTATTACAGGCAGCACTCCTATCCAAGTAAATAAATACGGCACCATTATTTCCACAACTTTAATATTGCAGTTATTTGTAAGCACACGTTTATATCTATTTTTGCAGATTGTTGGTGATGATTTGACAGTTACAAACCCCAAACGAATTGCTACTGCCGTAGAGAAGAAAGCGTGCAACTGTCTGTTGCTCAAAGTCAACCAGATCGGGTCTGTGTCCGAAGCTATTGATGCTAATTTGCTTGCCAAGAAGAACGGATGGGGAACCAGTACGTTCATTTACATAGAGTTTGGCTGTGCTTATTTGCGACAGAATGCTAAAATTAATTCAAATTTTTAATTTCTAGTGGTGTCTCATCGCTCAGGAGAAACTGAAGATACGTTCATTGCCGATCTTGTCGTTGGTCTTGGAACTGGACAAGTAAGCTAATATTTTAATCTACCTGCTCCATGCAAATAATAACGCGAACGTTTTGTGTACAGATCAAAACTGGAGCTCCTTGCCGTTCCGAGCGACTTGCCAAGTATAACCAGATTCTCCGTATCGAGGAGGAAATGGGTGCTTCCGCAAAATATGCAGGGAAGAATTTCCGCAATCCAGCCTAAAAATTAACTTGTGTGTTTGATGAGTGATGTCGAATGATTGTTTGTAGAGCAGAAAAAATGAGAGGAAAATTATTGTTCAGTAAGCAAAACTATATTGTGGTAGTCGATAAATAAAACTTGATGTCGATATCGATGTCGATTCTGATGTGAGATTACATGTTGCGTTCCTGCTCTCATGCTTACATATGTGTAATATGTGCATTATTTGACCAAATTAATATCTAGCGTCTAATATTTGCTATAGCAAATATTGTTTTCCATGCATGAATAAATTACTTCCTATAGGAAGTAATTTATTCATGCATGGAAAACAATAGACGAATTAGCCTGCCACATACATATTTGCTGTTCTTTTGATTACTTGTGGATGCATAAAATCGGACAGTCGCATTTTGTTCTCCAATCACCATTACTATTCACTCTCGCTCAAGATCGTAGCTGAATTGTCCAGTCTGACGTATGCTGACATCCTTCCTTCAACTGCACCACGTTTTTTAAATATAAAAATGGGTATCTGGTTAATCATGTGCTTTGTGGTTATCGGAGTGATTCTCTTGGTAAGTTACATATTTTCTGCAAAACATTAGAATTCTATTGTCTGCTCACCTTTGGTACATACATTTTAGTCCACTCTGGTCAAAATTTGTAAGGACGACTGTGGCATGATGAGTCCAATACACAACTCGGAAGAAGTCTAAAAATCGAGAACACACCAAGTTGCTGCTTTCCAGGTTACAAATATATAGTTGTGGAGCTTGTGCAATTCCATGAAGACGCATGCAAATCATAGTAGTAGTGCTTCTCAAGTTTAATACTTTACCATCATGTTTTTATGGTTAACAAATTCGTCAGCATACACTTGTTAAAATCAAATATACGCTGTGGTCTTACATATGATACACAAATTGTATGCTATCCTATTCTATTGCAATAAATTCAGCACACCGTAATTGTGCTGCATAATAACAGCGTTAGATATAATATTGACACCACATTCGCATAAATATATGTACATACGAATATGTAAACTAAATATATAGGCTGGGTGCATGGATCTAAAGGAATGGGCTGATGAGACCACAATGTTTCATGCATTTGTCACTCGCTTGTCTGTCATGCGAATTAATATCGACCATGTTTAGAAACACAACCTTGTCGAAGTCTTTATTAAGTAGCTTCAGCTACTTTATGCGAAGACTTTGTCCTCTGTCTGTCTGTCAGCAGGATACCAAGAGAACGGATTGACATAATCGAAATCGGTTTTCGCCATCATACATATGACCCTAGGGGGAGGATCCTATCAACTTTTGGGGGGAATCGGACCACACCCCCTGGGCGCCAGGGGGTGTGGTCGGGGCAAAATAAGATTCTTCGTGAAATTGAATCTATGGATGAAATAGAGCGAAATTTCGTATTCCCCCGTTGTGCCACACCCCCTGGGCGCCAGGGGGTGGTTGGGGCAAAATGAGATTTCACCAAAAATTGAACCTATAGATGAAATATAGTGAAATTAAGTGCTCCCTAGTTGACCCACACCCCCTGGGGCCTGGGGTGTCGTCTGGACGAAAATGAGATTTTCACTTAAATTGAATCTATAGATGAAATACAGCGAAATTAATTGTTCCCGTGATGTCATGGGAGTGGTTGGGGTGAAGCGAGTCTGAAGTTACTTACGTATGTGCGTTTACGACGGTTTATTTAACTGGAATTTTATATTTTTAGGAACCTGTAAAAATAAATAAGTTAATAAATGGAAAGTAGAAGCCATTGTTTTAAGCAGGACGATATTCACACGTTCGATTGCCGACCTCCCGAGAGTATTTGTCACCTATGTCACAAGATGGTCATTAAACTTTAATGATTAAAGCCTGCATTTGCATTCTCAAAACTTTATCCTGCATACACAAACACTTTCCAGGAAGGTTCGGATTTGGGATGACGCAACTCGCAAATTCCGTACAGAAAGGAGATTTTTCTGTACACCGCGTTCCGACGAGACCACGGCACTAACAAAGTATATAAATTGTCATTACATGCAAAATTAATCATGTCATCCTTTTCTAGTATACCTTTTTGATAAGGGGATCATACACTTGTAGAAAGTCCTGTAAGTTTGCATTATTACGTTTAAGATGTGTACAATTATTTATAAAATTGGGCCGTTTTCGTAAATACCAAGCAGTTGCAGACTCCATTTCTGCAGTATAACTGAGAAACGTCATCCGGATCACAACTCCCAGGTTCACATTGTTCCCCAAAACCGGGGGCACAAGACCCCGCTTGTGTTGCTTGGTATCTCTTCTTACATTCGCATTCCGAGTAAAAACCCTTGTCCACGCTGTTCACGAAACGTGTAATAAAGCTGATGATCACTATTTGCTGCATTTTTATTGAAAACTTACCACTGTGCATTCTTTATGCATCTCTGAAAGTGATGAATGTGGCTAAAGTTCTGTTGAATATTTCGGGGGAAAGTGCACGGACCAGAGACCAAACCTGTCACATAAACCAATCTTTTATACGAATGGCATACCACACCACATAAGAAATTTATGTCTCACTGAGGCATTCTTTCGATTTGTCGTCATAAACTTGGTGCAGGGGGTACTTGCAAGTCTGCAATTTTAAGAGCTTTCTCTTAGCCCACAGAAATTATTGTTCTTGTGATCACACATTTTACTTACACATTTTCCATCGATGCACATAAAGTGGAGGTCTGAGCAAGTATTTGGAGAGGTCAAAGTTTGACCGCAATTTTTATCAAATGCCAGTCCGCAGAGGCCTTGGCTCGCCTTGGTGAACCCAGTCTCACACTGACAGGTCATCCTTCCAGCAGCCAGGGGCGTTTTCCTGCATTCAGCATGTGCCGTGCAGTCACCTCCCCAACACTGGCTGTCGACAAGACCAACGCAAAATCCCCTCGTCTCGGAAAATATGCTGACTGACATGACGAGTTTGTTTAAAAATTGGTCACATTTCCTCACAGATAAAAACTCACCTTTCCTGTCGCACTGACAAACTCCATCGAGGCAGATGAGGGGTCGATGGTGGGCCACGCCAGAATTTCCAACCCCAATTTTCCTCGATATTCCGCACTCCGAATCGCTACTACAAAACTCCTTGTGTGCTTTCTTCGGAACACAAATTCCTTCTGGAGAAGCATAAAATCCGTATTCGCATTTCTACAAAAAAATAATAAAAGATTAACGGCATTGTAATTCTCATGAACATTTTCCGCGATCTTACGCAAATGCCTTCAATGCACAAAGCGCCCTCAATGCATTCCGAGTCTAGGCCGCAGACCTTCCCCAAATTGGCCACACAATCTCGAATGCTGTGATCGTAAATCATGTCGTCTGCGGATGAACAGCCACAAACTCCGGTCGCCAGACAGCTCACATGCGCGCCCAAACATGGGCCCCCGTCCTCACAGTTTTGACCGTAAGTTCGCACCATGCCCTCCACCTCAGTGTTCTGACAAATGAACAGAAGAAAGCTGAGGGAAAGAAAGATCGCCATTTCGACGCTGGATAGAAATACGACTGCAACCGATGATGGTGTGACGATGAAATATATCGCCCACAAAATCCGTGTCACTCAATCATGAAAAAGTTGATCCTGTACAAAACAACATGCAATTAATTCATACATCCTAATTAACACTTCGCAATTAAGTAGTCGGGCTTACAACGCATTTTCCTCTAGAGTTCAGTGGTCTATTTATGGCGATGTATTTATGCATGTAGCAGATATTTTTGTTTTGACGATGATTTGCAACGATTTACAACTGTATGTGTAAAGTACTGGAAATGCCAAGATTGAAAATTGACCCCGTTTGGATAATTCCAGTTCCAGACCAATGTGATAAATTAAAAATCAAGTCCATGAAAATTTTATATCTCTTAAAATTTATTGTCATAAAATAGTTTCATAATTTACATTTCTTAAAATTGTATCGCCAATAATATTTATCAATTTAACAAGTGTATATGTAGAGCTCAAAATTATGCTCAATTTCTCACAATAATAATTTCATTGGTTTGCTTAGAGTACATAATCAAATGCTAAACTACTCACAATCTCAAAATTGACGTGGTCATTGGTACTCAAAAATAGATAAAATTTAGAAAAGTGTCTCCCAGAAGGCGCTCAAATGACTGTGGTCTCACTGGGAAAATCAGCACTTCCGATTTCATGCTTGTGGATAAACTGCAATAAATATAAAATTAGTTAATTAGATGATTGGTCGCTTCTTCACACCCCGTTCTCCAGTTTTACCTGGTCCTGGTCATGCTTGGCTTGCTTGAGTAAAAAGTGAAGCGCGATTTTATTGAATCCCTCCAAATCGATTCCGGTCCCTGAGTGATAAACAATTTAGGTTGATTAAATTAACCCCCTGCAAGAAATTTGCTAAATATGCATGCAACCTTTTCTGTCCACGACTCCAATAATGTTGGCCATCTCCTGCGTATCAAAGGTCCAGTCGGGCTGCATCTGCATCATCATGTCAGTAATTTGCTCAGCCTTCACGCTCCCTTTTCTCGCGTGTTTGTTGAAGACCTTCTCCATCACTGTAATAAAATAGTTCGAAAACGCAACATTAAAATAAGTAACTACTAAAGCAATGAGACTGATGAGTACTCACATGTTTGGGACTCCTTGCGAACTTTGTATTCCTGAGGAATAAATAAAAGAAGGTCCAAGTTATACTTTTGTATGCAGTTTGTCGTATTTTAAAGAAATTTCGCTTACCATTTTTGCTTATTTGTTTTTGTTTTCCTTGAAAACTTTGGTTTGGTTTTAGCTTGGTAGCTGTTTTGCTTTTGAATTGCTTTTTCTTTATTCAGTGTGAAGTTCAGACTGACTGCTGGGCTTGACATGTTGGTCTTTTATAGCCCGCGAGACCACGCTGGTCACGGCGCAGTAGTGGGAACGACGACGACGACGTGATGTAAACAAACGTCTCCTTGAAGCATAAGTAGCCAAGAGCAGGGTTATAATTTCAAAACAAGTCATTATAAGCTGCAAAATGACTCAACGCGTCCACGTCCTCCTTCCGCAGTTCACATCAACTTAAGTCATATTCATTATTCATATTCATATATCTTCCTTTTCTTGGTTGAATGGATCTTTGGCTAAAATTAGAACCATACTTCGATACATGTTGTTCCTGATCCTTCTCTCGCTCTCTCCATAACAGCTTATCTATGACTGATGGATCGCTCCTGTCATGTCGGCGGGTCAAAAATACAATTATTATTTCCATATTACTACTCATCCACATATGTACATGAACATCTACCAACTTATCTACCAACCGACAACGAGGTTATGGTTTGGCTTTCATCCAGTGAAAGCACCACCTCCTTCGTTGTCTTGTCGCTCCCCCATGTTTTTTTCAAAATCTCCACAAGTGTGGTCTGGTCTGGTTTGGTCTGGACTACTCGTATTTCCGTTTCGGTTCATATCTCACCAAGAACATTTCCCACTTCAACACCTGATATACTACGTGCCCGCATGACAGCCATGCTGCGAAATTAGATTTGACAGGGGCCAAAAATCGGATGAAATATGACAAACAACAAGCGTTTCGTTCATGCGAAAATGCGATGCAAAAGTGAATATAAATATGTGTGTGTGTAGTCCAAAAAGTTGCATTTTTCTCACTTTCAAGGATTTCCTTAATGTGGGTGTGCTTCTTCTGAATACGTGAAATGTGTCAGGTTTCAGACAAATAGAGTTGTTTATTTTTCAAATATTCAATGTCAAGGGCAGAGACATGCACAGCGTATATTGTTAATTTTACAATAACATGTCACTGTCTGTTTACCTTACATAATTTATAGTTAGCTGGATTATTGTCACCCTTGATGCGCAGTTTGTTGATGGAACTTATGAAAATGGTCTCTGCTGCTGATCTAGTGATACCCGTATCCGGGTTGTGGATAAGTTGTCCCAGGATATGGGGGACTGGGAAATGCCGGATTTGCACCGCCTGGGTACGTGGGCGGCTGACTTACGGAAGGGTACGGAACACTTGGGTTATAACCTGGCTGGCCTATCAAGCCTCCTGGATAAGACGGTTGTCCAGGATAACTTGGCTGTGCTGGATAAGCCGGTTGTGCTGGATTTATGCTACCAGGCTGCCCGGCTCCCGGATAAGCTGGGGGTGGGTACATTTGGGCGTTTGTGTAGATGGGCGGTGTTTGGTAGGTGGTTGGTGCATTGGGCAGTGACTGGAATACAGATTGATTGTACTGAGGATATGGCTGAGATGGGATACCCGGAGTGGAGGACGGGTAGCCTGGAAACACCCCTCCCGATTGGGGGACGCTGAACCCCATCGACCCAGGTGAGGGGGACATCATCACAGAATTGTTGAATGGTGGCTGAGTCGGGTTGCTATTCGGGTACGGAGGTGGGGCCGAGGGTGCTGGATACGCTGAATTCTACACGTTAGGAAATTGAATAAAATGTCACCATGTTTCTTTTAACGACCATTTCTTTTTGTAATGAGAATTAATTAAATGTGCCCAACTTACGGGATACATGATGCTCAGTTTTTTTGCACTGTCTCAAAAAACGCAAGATTAGGAATGCTCTCCGTACTCAAAAACACTTGATGCTGTTCAGATAACTGATTTTGTGACAAGTTTTAGATGAAAGTTTTCTCAATTATCTAAACGAATGTGAAGAAGGTGAGTAGTGATTACAGTAGTTCACGGAAGGTGTGGTGCAATAATATATATTCCTCGATCTTCTAGGCTACAATTTACTGCGCCGGAGGTGAAGAGACGTCATGTAAATGAGCTCATATCGCGTTATCACCTGTTATCTCCTACGTCGTCTGAATGAGATGCAGCAATAATGAACCGAAATGAGTGCAATACAACAACACATGCACAGCAAACAGAGTGTGACTTTGCATAAATAATTTTACGTCCACCACACAAAATGTACAGCAGGATAGGAAAATCAGAGATGAATGACGAAGTTACAATAATATGTGGAAATCCTGACAAATTATCATCAGTCCGTTTAGTAGTTAGACGAACGCCCACAAGAAGTGGATGCTTGGAGCCAGTGAGACTAGCAATGCACCCGTTTGAAAGACCTGATCGTGCTGAAGCCCAACTCCTTCGTGCTCCGACAACGCCGGACAACCTGCCATTATCGCCACAATTAATTATTTTCCCCTCTTTGTAAGCCTATTTCTTGAGTTACCTCGTCACGAGCAGAAGCCGTGGCCAAGCTGTAGCCCACTGCCTGAATGGACTCCCTGCAGTTGGGATTTTCGTACACTTGGATGCAGTGACCTTTGGGGTCAACGGACAGATTCCAACCTTCGTTCGTCAACCAGTCTGGGACTCGAACACACTCTCCGTACCCAAGATTCATCACGTACTGGTGACCTACGTAAGAAGCCATCAATAAGTAGTGGGAAATTTGAGACGAAATAGCTGCGACAATTTTAACTCACCATTGCAGACGGGTTTTTGGTAGAAGGAAATCTCCTCGACCACGCCGTAGCCTCCGCCGAAGCGTTGCCCATCGTTCATCGCGACCAATGCCAGCAAGGCGACGAGTTTGAGCAGCGGAGACATTTTTAAAGTTTTGAGAAACTAATAATTCTTTTAGAGTTTGAGTAAAATGAGTAAAATCTGTTTCCGATTTTGCTTTTATATGTGAAACAGAATTTGGAAAAAGTTTCCTGCTTACGCGATATCAAGAAGCCGCTTGTGGTTTGGTTTCTTCTCCAAATTTTCCATTTCATTAACGTTCATTAATTAGTGGAATTGGAGCAAAGGAAGGATTGGCCTTTCCTGTCAACCGCCACAGAATTTTTCCGAAATTATTAACTTTCATCTTTTTCGGTCTCTTTATCGAAAGTTTTCCTTTATTTCACTTCCTGCGGTTTTTTCAGTTTCATTTCGTCAACAAAAAATAGCATACAAATAAAGTAAAAGACACTTTATTGTCAATTTCCTGCGGTTAATTTGGGGTTGGTAAAAAATAAATAAAAAATATTGCCGGACGGACACACGCGCCGTGCGGTAACAAAACTGGTCCATGCAGAGGAAACCCACACAAATTTGTGTCGATTAAAAGCGGAGGATACGATCCGAATGTTGGATCATTCTTCACATTTTATTCAATAGAATAAGCCGAAATTTGAAAAATATTCGAAATGTCTTTGAAATTAATTTTTGCATCTGTCCTGATCATGATGATCTCCAATGTGCATGGTCAGTCGTACGTCTCATTTTACGGGGAGCGACACTGTTCTGGTCAGTGCATATTTATTTGTTATTATTTATCATGGGCTTGTAAATCAGATTTCACAAAATACGATATTTCCCCCAGGCGAGCGTCGATTCGGTGCAGAGTTGCAATACAGTTGTCAAAACCTGCCCACGTTCTTGCTCTACAATTGGCAGGAGCTCTCGATGGACACGAACGGAGAGTGCGTGACCGTGTACAACGAGAGGAATTGCGGAGGTCGAGAACTGGCCAACTTCAATTCTGCTCGTTGTCGAAACATATTTGCCATCGGACAAGTCAAGTCCTTCCGCCAATGCTCTGGAAGAACCAACTCTGCCTTCATTTCTGGATAAATGACGCGTTTATACTGCCTCCGTCTTAACAATAAATAATAATTTACATAATTCTTGCATCAGATTTTGTTCATTGGAAAACGAGGGAAATAAAAACACGTCTCAAAAAATACTGATCAAATTTGTAACTCATCTCGCCTGTGAGGCGTCTCAATTATGGAGTCGTCTCTTGTAAAATGTGTATCAAATTAGTCTTGACGGATGGAAAACAGGGAAAGAATGTTCCTCTCTCTCTCTCTCCAAATTCCAGGAGTGGCCAAAAATGCTTGAACATCTTCCGGCTATTTTTATTACCTCACTTACAAAACTGCTTCAAGTGAAGTCGACACGTGTTAACGGAAGCAGTTTACTTGAGGATCGAAGGGGTAGAAGAACGCATGTCCTATTTTTAACGCTGTTATATGTCTTTTGGGAATTTCACTTTTTGTAGTCGGGAATATTTTTTTCTGGATCCATTACAAACATGCCATTGGGTGCATACAACATATAACGAGCCCTCTCGCTGGAGTATCTCGCCCCACAATCTCGCACACAACTTTGTGTTTAAGATTAGCCAGCCAGCCAGGATTCTGTAAGCATATGAAACATGCACTTTTTCTCCCCCACTGCAGATCCCCCACAACCGACAAGTCTTAAATTCTAATCCGGAAGAAGGAATCTAAAAGAAATCTGGAAGAAGTTGTTGGCAGTTGACAACTGGAAGGCGCATACGTAGTTTGGATTTGCTCACAGAATCGCCAATCTTAACACTAACTACTTACCACTACTACTTTCGAAAATATCATGGTAAGTGGTCGCAAAACGTCGATAATAATCCCTTAAAATTACTATCCAACTCAAATTAAAGCAAAAATCCGATCCAAATTTATTTTAGGAGTACAAAGTGCGTCAGGAATCACACTCTCGTAAGTTTACAAATTTCTTTAGCCGTATACAGAGTAATAAGATTGGATGAACAACAATAGAGAAAAGTTATTGGTTGTATAAGTCTAGCAATAATTTGTATAAGGATTTTTTGGCATAATTTGAACGGGTACATGTACGTAAATTTAACGCAGTGCTGGAGAAGATGTTTGCGGCCCACGCGAGGTCTGGCGTCGTCGCGCGAGAAGTGGTTCCCAATCTCTTGAAGGAGTTCAACTCGGACATCGAGGTCACTCCAGATCAGTTTGGCGTGCATGTGGCCGACATTGGCCACGCGGTCGCAGGTAACTTGCCTATTTTACTACGTGAATTATTCAGATGGAGCAAATAGGTCAGGATTATTGCAATTATATTCTGTTAGGTCTAAGTACATATTTATCAGCAGGGAAAGTTGAGACTGCCTATTTTGTGTCCGTCTCAATCAATACTTAAATTACTATTACACAAGAATTCAACAAGTTTTTGTCGTGCTTTGTTATTTTTCTTTGAAGGCATTATTTGATACGGGATTGATTTTTTCTATTTAAATGTGATTCTGGAAGAACAAGAATAGCTCGAAGGAATGAGATTGAGAAGAGAGCGAGAGTGGTTCTATTTCCGTCCCACTAAAAAGACCGTCTCCTTCTCTCCCCTCTTAGTTAGTTGGTTGGTTAGTCATGGCTTGTGTATGTGTCCGTGGGTAAAGATAAACTATGGAGCTAAAAATGAAACAAGTATTTGTATTTGAATGTAACGTATCTCGCAGAGGGCCTCGACTGGGACAGCTTCGAAAAGGTGATGCTCCACTATCTCGTCAAACAAAGTCGGAAAGAAAGCAACGAGTTTGGCCACAAGAATGTCATTTCGCTCCACGATTTCGAAAACCCATAAGTAAACGCGTCCTCAACTCTCCGTCCATAAATATTAATCTCCTCCTCCTTTCTTCCCAATGACGACATCACGAAGAAGAAAAAATTGCTTGAGAGTCAACGTCCGTCGACGTCGTCGACGTCCCAAGAATGAGTATCACATCGTTTGATAATAATAAATATACACGAAAAAGAGCAGCACCAACCAGCATCACAATAAGTTCTTGACACTTTTTAACCCCCTCTGCACACTCTGACTGACGATGAGAAATTCATACTTGGGTTATTTAGAGCCCACTCAAATGGCAATAATTATTGGCATGTTTTCAATGTTATTAACAATTTTGGTGTGGATTTTCTCGTTTCTCTTTAAAAACTTCAGTATTTGTAGAAGAAGACTGGAAATAAATCTCTCTTTTCTCGTTTTTAGTACGCTCAATATAATACGTGTTTTTTTTCTCTATGAATGTTGTGCATTTGTCGGTGTCGGTCATTTGTTGGTTCGTTCACTCAGTCACTTTGAGTTCTTTCCCTGTTCTGATGACGACGTAATTAGACTGTTGCATTTGTCGACGGGATTCATTCCTGAGCCGACCGGACAAGACCAGGATTTCGCAAAGTCATCCGAATTTTGTAGTGATCCCAGTACGCGATAAATTCCAGGCGTGTGGGAAGAAGATTCGAGCTCATCTGCCAACCATTCATCTGGGCCGTTGACACACCACATCTACACGAAAAAAATACAGCATGATTAATAGGAGAAGACCAGGGGAGAGGAAAACATAAATATTTACGTGAGCAAAGCTTAGAAAGAACATTTGGTCGTGGGAGAAGATATCGAGTCCGACGAGGGATTTGAATTCGTGGTTGTTTTGGGAGCTGAGTTTGCGGAAGGCCCAGTACGATGCGGCGAGGCCGAGATGGTCCGCCAAGTTCTCTGACCGCGTGCGAAGTCCGTTGACGCGGGAGTCTGGCCCCAAGGAGGGCACGTGGTAGGTCGAATAGTGGTGCTCCAGGCACTCCCAGTACTCCTCAAGCTTTTGCACCAAACCAACTTTTATCCAGCCTAATTTACCCATCGATATTTATCACAATCTCAATTTACGCATCCTCAGTATAATCGCAATCTAAACATCTGCGTACCTTCAATATTGACGCTGTGAGAAATCTGTAACAAAATAGACGTATCTTTTAATTTTTCGAAATTTACTTGGTTTTCTTTGCGTAGCACAAGAAAATGAAATGTATTTATCATCATAAAGCATAGCATTCTACGTATTACTCTGATAGCAATGATCTTGTCAATTCATGCACTCGCACATACACAACAGGAAAATTAAGATGGTATTTAAATTTGTGCAAAAATGCAGTAATTTTGTACATCGCCATTGTAGCAATTCAATAAAAATTAATTAGAGTGCGTAATCAATACCTCGTGTCCAATAATGGCACCGATAGCACCGTAGTTTACAGGTCTGTATATAGTAATTTCGATAAAGTAAATATTTGCATGGACATTTTGCATGGAAAATGACTCACATGGGAACATTATGTCGGTAGAAAGGAGCTTGAAGAAGACCAATTGGAAAATCTACATAGAAATGCAAACATGACTCTAATTAAATTAATTCTCAAATTGCCTCGTCGCATATAATTCACATGTAATGTACATACTGATGGAATTGCGAGCCGTGTCATAGTAGGCGTACGCCTCGCCAATGTTTGCCCAAGACGTTCCACTCCAACTAGGACACAAAGCAATATGGATTTCTTAATTTATTGCAAAATATCAGACAGCAGAACATCCATAAATAAAAATATGCATAAATTTCACCAGTCCGAGTCAAATGGTTCCCTGAGAGTCGTGAGAGTTTTGTCGTACAGCCAAAATCTTAAGCGAACATATTTCTTGAGGTATATTTCACTCTCGTTGTTAAACCGGAGCTGCGAGAGTCAAATGCAAATCCCAGGCAGTCAGTAAATCATAATTTTGCCTAATTTTGTGGGCACTTACGGACTCGTAAAACTGATCGATCGCAGTAACGTTATGGAATGAGGATGGGTAGCCGATGCAATGCTTCAACGTGCTCAATTTGCGACTAATTCCCAACGGAAATATTACAGGTCCCAACTGCTTGTTGTTCAACAGTCGTTCCATCGCTATGCGAACATTGTCCACCATTTCTTCCACCTTCAGAAACAAATTACATTATCGGATACGTTCTTCTATGTAAATTGTATAGAACTTGTTAATCACCTCTTTTTTTGAGGAAATATCCGTTAAACCACGAACAATCTTCATCCCAATGGCCAACGCGAAGGTGTCTTTGACCACGGTTGCACATGTTGAAGCTCTTCAATTACATGGCTTAATTTATTCGTGATCACTGCGAATACGTAAATCTGCTTTACTCACCTCGGAGGAATGCGTTTCATTCCGTACACCATGTTGTAAAAGTTAAAGTTCAGCTTTCTCAGTTTGTGCGTCGTGCCGGACGTGAAGGTGACGAGGAGTCTCCACATGAGATAATTGGTCAACGTCGTGGTGGGCGTGTTGGCGAGAAGGGGGCTCAGGCCACGGATGTAGGACACGTCCTGCACCACAATCCGCTCCTCGTCCGTAAAATTCATCCCACTGCTCACAAAAACGTGACCCAAATACTTTTTCCAGTTGAGCTGCAGCAATTACGAATTAGTAACCGGGGATTAACTATGATCATTCAGTAGCAGAACTTGCTGCATAAGTATTCGTACCTGGTTCGGATATGCGGCAGATTTCGGTGTGAGCAAGTCAGTCTCTCTTTGCAACTTGTGGATCGAATACTGCGCCTTCCGCACCGGACGGGTCGACTCCACCTCATCCGTCGCCAATTTCGCCAAAGCCGACTCAAATTCGATCATGTTTTCGGCATCCGCGTGCAGCTGCTCCCAGTCCAGAGCTCCATCTCCGAATTTGACAAACTCTGCGGCCAGTGCGACAATGAAGGTTTTGTACGCCGTGAATATTTTCGGATATTTGGTCGGATTCAGGAGATATTCCCGCGCGATGAAGAATTTGGGATGAATTAGCTACAATAAAATTACTCGGATGGATTATTCGATGAATTGAGAGGCGTAGTCAAGTAATTTGACTAACATAGATCACGTTCTGAAGGGAGTGGACCGGATGTTGCTTGACTTCCAAAGACAAGATTGACGAACAGGACATGCGTTGGAGATCTGATGAGGATGAGAAAATTAAAAAATAATTAAATTAAATTAGCGTAATTTTTTAGACGACTAACCTGCCACCAATGCTAACCAGTCGGAAGGGGCTGAAAACTGAAACTGTGAGCCTAGGATGGGCCACCCCCCATATTTTTCCATCAACGCCCACAACGCATCCAATCCATCCTTTTCCAATTGATCTGAAAAACATATTAGGTTAGGCTACCAAATAAATAAATAAAAACTTTGCCTCGGGAAAATTATTTTATGCACGCACTCAAATCTTTGCACTGGAAATAAAATTTCTGGGCCAGAGGAAACGTTCCAATTTCAGTCTCAGGTGCGGGGTCCTCCAAAATATCTGCACAAATTTAAAGTTACGACATGGCAAAAATCATTCGACATTGTTTGTAAATTATCTTAACCGAACTTTGTGTTGCGCGTATAACTTTTTCATTGATTTTGCTAAACTGGTCAGAGTTGACCACGAGCGGAACGTTGTGCTCGCCTGGGGACGAATGAGTCCAACTGCCGCATGCAAAATCGTAAAAATTTTGGCACGGATCGATTTTGAAGTTCATTGATTCCAGCAGTGAAATTCCTGAAACGTACATAACCGATTTTTTCTGAACTAATGCTCAAGGTGAATAAATATATACGCACCAACCTGTGTGCAGACAATTAGGAGAGTAGCAGGTTTTCTCGTCCTCACGTGACAGGTTCCTCATCATTTGTCTCGCCAGGGGGTCGTGTATCGAGCGGTTCGTTGTGACCATGAGCTCCCTCGCCTGTGCCAAGAGCACCGTCTGCAGCCGCCCCATCCGACCACTGTCCCATCGCTGAACCCCCTCGTCCCAACCAGCGAGACGCCCATGCACCCAGACTAGTGAGCAAATAGCGACCACGACCAGGGAGGCGGCGAGGGCGAAATATCGCCACAATTTGCCAGACTGATGCCCATTCTCCGAGCAGGTCTTGGTCCACTTGGTCCACCGGAAGAGCCAAGAGTGAGCAGAGGCTGGATGACTTTCCGACGACGGAAATATGTAGCTCACTTGCCCACTCTCAACACTGCTGCTGCCCATTTTACGGGAAAATGAGACGACTCATTCTCACCACGAGTGGGGGCGACGTGGGGCAGAGAGTCGACATTCGCCACTTCCGGTGCAGAAGAAGGAGGAGGTGAAATCCATTCTCATTTTACGCTGCTGCTGGTGAGAGGGGAGAACTATACTGCTCAGCAGCTGGAAAAGGAGACCTTGGCATATATTCCTCCGAGAGAGGAGAAAGTGGAGAAAGTGGGGAGAGAGATATGCACGTCGCGAGAAGTATCCTGGCCAAGTCAACCAGTCCTGCATGGAACCCGGTGCATATAATCGATACCACCAACCAAGCACCAAATACACCAAAACGAAACCACTCACGTCCCAGCAGCCGCAGACTCGTCCTCGTGAGAACGAAAGAAAGAAAGCAGAACAACTCTCGATGAGGACTCTTTTCCTTTTTTTACTTATGCACATACACTTATTTTGCATATGCTGATTGCCTGTCGCAACGCAATGCCGCCTCTCTCGCTCACTGATCCGATGATAAGTTTAGAGCTGTAAATCGCATCACACTTGGAAGTTGGAACAAGATTGAGCTCAGGACGGACCATGCTTCTCACAGTGGCGCTTATCTGACCCATAAACAAAATCAAGCCTTGACAGAAATGTAACATTGATCGCAACACGGATAACATTCCGTCAGCTTGTTTTGTTCTCAATAAAATGTAAAATGCAACCTGTTGTTGATGAGACTGCTGCCAAGATCAACGAGAATGGAATTTGACAGCGGTTTATAGTCCGTCGTGCTGCATATCAATCGGTCAGGAATACGACGCCCACGCCACTCCACCTGCCATGAGGCTGCTCCTCAGATGTCGATGGAAATTAAATGGAAAATGGGAAATTAAATTTCCCATTCGCATCCGCCTAACCAAACGTCAACAACTCCCTCGATCTGATTGCAGTTGGTATCAAATTTTACGCTGATGCCGTTTAATCTGTCAATTAGAGCAACTACACAGAGCAAAAACTGTCAACATTCTTTATTTATTTGCAATGTCAGTGAATTTATTTATAGAACGGAACTTGTTATTTATTTGTGCTGAGCATTTTCTGGCAGTCTAAAAGAAATCCTATTTTTGTAGTCTTTCATTATCTGGATGCATTATCACGTAATCGTTACCCCTCATCCGATCCTGATCCTTCAAGTTTTATCGAATCCTTGGGCAAGTAGCTCCAAAATTTTGAGTTTTTTCCAAATTTATCCGCATCTTCTAACGTTTCTGGTAAATGGTGTTGGAAAGTTTCCGGTAAAAATGACGCAGCCAAAGCACCAGTCAGCGAAACCACGCCAAGGATCACGTATGGCGCAACCGCGTTAGACTTTCCCTGAACAATGTATACATGCATTTGTAGAAAAGTGGCAATTATTTTATAAATATTTATTATTTGCATACCGTGAGAACAATGTAGGGTCCCGACATTCCGATCAGGTTGCTGATCGTGGTGGCTAAAGCACTTCCCGACGAGCGCAACTGGGTGGGCAAGATCTCAGCGCCTTGAAGATACACGACCAGCGATGAGACTGACACACCAAGTCTGTGAACAATATGCAAATAAATTATGAATATTTAGTAGCACCAATTTTAGATCTGTGACTTGACCCACTTTATTCCAAGAGCGCCAAGAATGACCAAGTATGTCGAGTCCATGTAGAAGGAGGCTATGGCACACAGACTGCAGGACACGAGGCTCACGCTAAAGAACCCAACCTGCGTCCATCTGAAACGTGATAATCACAAGTTCTTAAGTCCGACTAAATATTTTGTAAAGGACACAAATTCAGAATACGCAACCTTCTTCCAGTAATTTCCACCAGCCTTCCAGCCAAATAACCCGACGGCAGTTCGATCACCGAGAGGAGAAAGTAATTCATAAACTTATTTCCAGCCACGTTCGTCGTGTTCAGAATGATTCCGTAGTACAACAGCCCATTCATTGACCTACAACCGCAGCGAAACTACATTTTTATTACCAACGGAAAAAATAAAAAAAAATAAAAAAAATACCATGCGATGCAGAGAAGAATCGTGTTCTTGGCCAATCGAGGCCATTGAAACAGACTCCAAATTCCGACCCGACTATTCTCAAGGTTGGCTTTCTTCTGCCTTTCTACTAACACCTTCACCATCCACGTCAAGTCGTCCTGATCGACCTCCTTCCCGTTAATCCGGGCTATTTTCCACACCGTTTCCAGTGCCTCTTCTTCCCTCCCAGCCGTGATCAGCCATCGCGGAGATTCCATGATGACTGGGTAGAAGAAAACCATGATCAGAACTGGGAGCGTTGTCACCATGCCGAATGTGAACCATTCTCGACTTATCCAGGCGATGAGGGGGAGGAGACAATTCCCAACGACGTAAACCATCCAGACAACAGCGTACACCCATGATCTGTAATCTTTGGTATACGTATCTATTAGCCCTTTGGTGTTCTGTTGTGCCTAATCTGGGAATATCTGCGGATACTTACTCGTGCCACACACCTCTGCAATGGCAAGCATCGGAATATTGAAAAAAGTCGCAATTGCGGTTCCCGAGAGGAACGAGAAGACCTGATACGCTCGGAAATATTGCGGTGTGTAAAGTGATAATCCACGAAATACGAGAATTACGACACACGCCATGAAAAACACGGGCTTGCGTCCAATCCTACATATATCAATTTCATGATTTTTTTTGCACTTAATAGAAAAACTGGTATTTTATACTCCGGAATCATTACTTATCAGCGAGGACTCCAAACAAAATGGTCCCTATTGCCATCCCCGCCATGGCAGAGGCGATAATGTCAGCCCCCCATTCCACTTTATCGCAAACCCAACCAAACTCTGAGGGGACGGTGGCTTCGTAGTCCGATTTATCAAAGTCCCACCCGTTTTGGCAGGGGATTGTCCTGTTCTTGAAAGGGTTGTCCACTTGGTCGTACATGAGACACTGACTGTACCGCAGTTTCCCGTCCGGTCCAACTTCCCTGAATTTGTAGTCGTTTAATTTTTAGGATAAGAATACAATTCAGGTGGGCGATAACTGAATCGTGAATCATATTTAGTTATGGGAAACATGTGCATAAATACAGAAAATGTTGTGGCTTCTCACATTGGCAAGGTGGCATTTTTCCACGCAGTGTCGTTGTCTGGACTGAAGTAGGACGAGTGAGGCGCAGGCACGTGACACCAGTGATTCGGAATGTCGAATAGGAAGACGGAACTGAGCTCGAGGAGTGGGGAGATAATCATGAGAGGTGCTAAAAATCCGTAGGTTAGAAGTTTTTGGTAGCGTCCTTCCGAACCGATGATGGATAAAATGTCGTCAAAATCGGAACAAACTGGTCTCCTCGTCTTCTCGGGTTCTATCAAGATTTAGCCACAACTAGTCAAAAGATTATGTCATGAATGTAGCCACCGCTATGAAGGTCAGTACCTACAGTGAGGGGGTCGCTGGCAGATGCGCTGTCACCACCACCGCTCGACTTCTCGGAACCCATGCTGGACTGATTTTATGAAATTTCTTGTTCCAATTTGTATATAAACTGGCAAGCTATTTGATTTTAAATGATAATTTTGTAGAAGAAACCGTGAGTCTTAATTGTGATACAAAAGTTGAGAAATTGGCTGGACAAGAAATGACGGAGGAGAATGCCGAAGACTGAGAAATTACGAGGAAAACGTGGACCACAATCATTTCAACCTTGAGCGTGAATAATTTATTCTCCATAAAGCTTGACAATCCTCTTTTGTGAGTGGGTTAACTACTTTTTTATCGTTCCCATCTGCTCAGCTTATTCGTGTGACTAGACATCGCTGCCCATTATTAGAGACATCACATGCAGCAATATGCAGCAACGTGACGAAATACGTTGTTTTTATTTGCCACCTAAGAGCACGTTGTATCGAAGGTAATGATGACGATTGTGTGGGAAATTTAGCTATTAGTTTAATTTATCCGTAATCTCATGTAGTCTCACTTTGGTCACTTGTAGAACATGGAAGATGCTTAATTCCTAGAGCTAATAATGGGTGACCTTTTCTTTGGGTAGCGTGTATGTACATGTTACGGTCTCCAGCACCATCCGGCCACTGACACTTGCAAGTGACATTCAGAAGCCAAATAAGTTAAAAGTCTGCAGTATTCTGCAATAACCATTTCTTGCACTTTTCTTTCGCCGCATTCATCTTAAACCAGTCGATTTTAACTGCTCCGCCCACCTCGTCCTGGTCAACAAGTCGGCTGTCGTAATCGGCCGGAGTGATGTTGAACTCGTCAATGTCCAGTTCCGGCTCCCAAATCCCACTCAAGTAGTCCGTCTCAAGTTCTGGAGACTTTGGGCCCGGCAGCAATCTTCGGAGCTCTGAAATTTTCTCAGCTCTGGAAACTGGAGGGTACTCGGTTCGTGTGAAGGGTGGCTTTTTGACCTGTTTGGACTTAATAACTCCAGTTTTCCGGGCTTTGAATTGCCACGGGAGGTCGTCCTCCGACATCTTAAAATCCGATATGGGTTTCACGTCACCTGTTGCACAAGCCCCAGTAAATGTTTAATAAAATCGAAATATTACGTATTTGACTGTATGTGCGTACCAAATATGTTTGCCAGCTCTTCTTGGAGTCTGTCTTGGAGTCTGTCTCCTCTCTGATCTTCACCTGTATCCAGTGGAACTTGTTGACCTATTTGTTCTCGCTCTTCGTCTGTAGAACTTATTGCTTCCATTGGATCATTGATCTTAAAAACTCGCCTCGCATCCGACAGTCCTCCCAACTTTTTCACATCCTTGCTAGCACTCTTATGTTCTTCCGAGTACTTGCGGCGAATAACTTCCGGTCCAACTTTGGGATACTTGGCATCCACAAATAACGCTTTATTCACTTCACACCATTGTCTTGCTTTAAAGAAGAGGAATTCTGTCTGCCCTTCTGCATTGTTATTTTCACTAGCTTGAATCTGTTTGAGAATAGATTTTGATTGCGGTATGATCTTTTCACGCCGTGAGCTATGGCCCAACTCGTCCCTCCTCGCTTCTCGACGTGCAAAGTCCTTGATCTTGACAGCCTCGAGGAAGGGAGGAGCTTCCGCCGTGTAGGAATCTGTATCGTCTGGGAAAAATGCGTGACTGGGAACTGCCGTGGTTATGTAGCTGGTCGCGTACGCGTTATACTCGCCCCCAACTGGCTTCAAGTTGCTTTGAATGAACTTGGCCAAGGACTGCAGGCTTGAGGCGGAGGAGGACTTTGAACTGAATGAAGACTCGCCATTTTCGTCGCTCCCGTTGGCAAGACACTCACTTTCCGTGTCCGTTGAGTTGCTGGTTTCCGAACTCCTATCAGAATCGGGTGCCAAGATGTCAGAGTGTTTAGTTTCATATAAATCTAAAGGAGATCTGCTTCCTGAGTGGGATTCCATAATTGAATGCAAATTTGAATCGTATGAAAAGTTTATTAAATTGCGGAGCAAACTGGGCCAACTTACTAATCGAAATCGGAAGGGAAATGGGAAAGCACAGGAACAAATATCGACACCCACCAATGCAGAGGAATTTCCCAACTCCACTAAATATGTACCAGCAGAGATGTCTCCGATTATTGATTCATGCACAATCCGATGCCCTAAAATCCGTGATGATGATCTAGGGTATTTGATATTTGAACAAATCGTTTTTAGCTATAACACAAAATTTATTTCCTATATTTATATTTAATGAAGATCATTACGCACCATCAATAAGTAATATTTGAGAAGGATCATCATTTCTCTTGTGAAAAAATAAGCTAGATTGGCAAGTAAACTAATTAGTAAAGTATAATATATGTTGATCTTATAATCAAGCTCGTAAAATTGAACACATGGGAAATGCATGTTGAAATGTAATTTTGTACAATAATAAGATAATAGGAATAAATATCGCAGGTTGAGTGCTTCTGTCCTGTCTTTTGTTCTCGTCAATTAATTAAGAGATGCAGTGAAGGATTATCATCATCAGGAATTTGTCATACATACAATACATCATGATCTGGGTACAGTAATTTTTGGTGTCATGTTATGCTTTCTTCTCATGTGTTTCCTTAAGGAATTTCGGTTTGCAAAAGTGTTATGACATTTTGGGCAATAGCATTGCTTGTTTCCTTTCTGATGGGAACGTTTAAAATGGTCCAAGCTTCTTGTGTATGTCACGAATTGCAAACTGCAGGCAAAACAAGGAAACAATTTCGGCGAGGATTCTGATTTCTTAACATTCACATTTTTCAATTTTTGTGAAGCTATCTTTGATATTACTTGTGATTCCTTGTTGTTGCCCTTTCCTTGTTGCACCGCAAATCTTTTTGAACCATGTTCTTTGAATGCAGTCAAATTATTTGTGACTTTATCGCGGTGCAGGTCCGTTGTTATCGTCACCGCTACATGTCGGTTATTCTTTTCTTGAGGAACAAATACACCCTTGATTATGGCTTCGATTTCACTGGCCTTGAGCGAATCCAATTTTATTTCCCTTTTCATATTGGATAATGCCGACCCTTCTTCAACAACGTTCTTCCTAAGACTTGAACTTTGTGATTCCACAGTAGCAACCGATTTTAGTCTTTTGAATCCATTTAGATTATTCTCTTCAGCACGTTTCTGCTTGGGTATAATTTTCTTTATGGCTATTTCCGGATGTTGAAATGTACAAGGTTCAATCAAGCTGCTGCTGCGACCCCTTTAATTGAAAATTCATTTTTATGCTAGTGTGAACTGCTAATTAACATTATGTATTACATCATGTATGGTATTCCGTACCTATTATTTTTCTCTCGCGAAAAGCACAGCGCTTTCTTACATGCTTCCGCATGCCGTAAGGCGAGATGTGTCGTCGCTCGAGCATAATCCTCAAAAAAGGATTCACAAACTGAGCATTGGAAAAGTTGGACAAAGTTTGTCATCCTAGAAATACAATTTATGGAGTTGGCGTTTCTGTAAATCAATTATATACTTGGGATTTTATACAGTTTTACGAAATCACGAAATGTGAAATGTGCATAAAAGTTTTAGATTTCGATACCTGTTCACGTGTTCACTCTTGAAACAATACAGGCACCGCCTGTGAGGCGGTGTGATGTCAGAGATTAAAATTAAAAATGGGTGCCAATTGATATATTTTTGTCATAAAGCCAATTAGCAGAAAATGACAATTCGCAACGCAACTAAAAAAACTTTTCTGTGCTTTGATGATTATGTTTTTCGAGTACCACATTCCCGCTGAAGGAATGCATGAAATGCTTTGCATACGCCATGCATGAATTCATGGACCACTAATCTTAAGTTTAGATTTTGAGGCTCTTGAGTTTATTATTAAACAAATGTCACATTATAGTTAATTGTACATAGAACGAGACATCATACTCGTAAATCAGTTATAATTTATAATTCACAACAGATTTTATGAGATTTTCCTAAATGAGATTTCGAGACTAAAGTTTTCATAAGTTTACAGGACTGAGATCACAAGAAATAATTATGCACTCTTTCAGATAAGTGAGTTGCATATAACCATCGAACAGTACTATCTACCTCGGCGCTATAAAGTTAATATTATGTTACATTGCTGGATTATTTTCCTTGTGATGGACTAATAATACACAATCAGTGATACATAATCTAAAGACAACTTTTTCTCCTTTATCCTGAATTCCGCATCATGCCCCCAACGCGAAGAATGGTAGAAGGATTCTTGAGAAGAAAAGACTTTGCTTGGGAGTCCCCTTTGGAAAGCAACCCTCCACCCCCGCCGCCTCCACCTCCACCGCCAGAGTGGGGTGCCCCATTCATGACAAAGTCACCTACGTATTGTAATATTGTATTAATAAATAACGTTGCAATGACAATAAGCATATGCATAAACGTCTGTAATCAGAGTCAGTGTAGTCGGATTTCGAATTCTAGGGCAAAAACTGCGTCCAGCACTAACCTACGTCCAGCACTAACAAGGAGGAAGAAACAAGTGCAAGTTAATTACAAGTTAATAGTATTCCTTCTACGAAAACACATCCTACGGCGTCTCACTTACTGATCCCGTTGTCCGCCCTCTTGACGTGTGGGGGTGGTTGTCGAAAGATGAGTCTGCCCAGACGTCCCGCAGTGTCCAGCGAGGAGTACCATCGGTTGTTGTTAATTTCATCCTGGTCACTCTCCAGGATTCCCTCTTCTCCAGAGCGGAAGCGGTCAGCAGGAGTGTCAATGTCCTTCGCGTTGCTGAATATTAGCGAATCACATTTTACCAAACAAATGGAGAATAAGGTGCAAACGAGGGGAAGGGTTAAAGAGATTACGAGTTTCATTCTGGACAAGGAAGAGTGTGTGCTTATCACCACACACGGGAACGAAACGGAGGAGAAATGAGACACTGGATGTAAAAGTCTCTTTTTTATACGTACGACTGTGAGATGTCAAACTGTGACAATTTCCGGAGGACTACAGAGTCTTCACTTTGGTTGAATATTGAATATGATTTATTTTTATCACCGACCGGATATACAGAAATCCAACTTGTATTTAATAAATTGAGCATAAAGACCAAAACCGTAGTTATTATAAATATCTGTACTAAATTACATTTCAAGTAAATTCGTCAACTGCCTACTTCGTCCGGTTGGTTATTATATTCTTGATTGAGGGGAGGATTGTTGTGGTTAAATGTTCTTTCGCCTCCTCCGCACCAGGACCATTCTTTAATTTGATCAAGGAAACGACCTGCTCCTGACATTCTTTCATCTGGGCATGTTCCTCCTTCGTCAACTTTCCACTCAAAGACGAAATGATCTGAGGTACAAACTTCCCGGATGCTTGGAGCAAAGCTTCTGACGTCAACGAAAACAGGATAAGGCTCGCAATATGCAGAAATAGGGCTGGATCTGACGTCTCAGCTACACCCAACTCCTTCATCAAGGAATCTCGAGACTCTAACAATATGTTTCGAGGGTTGAATGTGCTCTTTGCTGATTTTTTCACAGGAGGAACAACTGTTTGAAGCAGTCCGGTAAATGTCTCGATATCCGCAGATTTTCCCAGTGCTAACATCGACTGTTTTACTTTACCTTCTGGTAAATCCCCAACCTTGAAATTTACACAGTTTTTCATGTTTAGTCATTTATTTATGTACTTATATATGTACGTAATTTATATAAATCAGATACAACATACTTGTGAGTTTTCATCCAGTCCGGCCTCCATAAGTAAGAATGTTGTTGCTGCAATAACAATTTCTTGTCCAAAACTTTTAAGAAGGAACTTTTCCAGTTGGTTTTTTACATCCCCTTCGAAAGAGTTGAGTCCTTCCACATACAACTGAAACATGGTGGTCATTTTGAATAATTTCTCCAAAACTTCTTCCTGGCTCTTCCTTCCACATTTCTCAGACATGAACTTGTCAAAGGCTTCTTTGAGTACGACTTGATACTCGTCTTGCAACCCTCTGCGGACAATATCAAAAACAAGCTTTACAGAAATGAGAGTTTCATGAACTCATACGATGATTATAACGTTTCACTTACACGGAAATAATTTGTGCTATGCTTTCCAATAATTCGAGTGGTGCTTCTGACAAGGATTCGTTCTTGGCGATAGCATATCTAACTTCGTTCACGGATTGGAACTCTAGCTGCTGCTGGACTTTGTTCTTATTCGCGGTGGGTGCAGCACGAGAGCTCGCTTTAGACGATGCACTATTGGACAATGTAATCGACGGAGGTGGGTTGTCATCTTCAGAATCAGACCAGTCATCCTTCTTCCCAGCCAAATATTTCTATTAAACAAGCGCAATAAAGAAATTAACTTGAGTTAGTTACGAGAATTAGGCTAAATTGAGTATTCTAATTATTAATGCTACAAGTTAATACGATAGATTACTTTCTTGGTAGCTTTGGTTTTTGTTTCCCTGCCCTGCGTTCCACCTCCGGCTTTGCCACTAGCTGCCTTCTTCCGTCGGTCATCTTTCTGTAAAGATTTGAACAGACATTGTAATTGAGTAAAGTAAATTGTACATCGTCAAATAAAATTTGTTCTCACCTTTCCTCCACTTCGTGTGCTGTCTTCTCCCAACTCGGCAAGTTTCAGCTTCTTTTCAGCAGCTCTGGTGTCGTTGACTAGCTGAATATATTTTCCAGAGCTGATATCCTGCAGATTAAGGATACAAGCACTGGATTAGTGGCTTTTTAAATTTTTTTTACTGTATGCTAATATTTTAAAGATACGCAGGTGAATAAATAATGTATCTGCTCCTCTTTTACCTTGGCAGCTTTGTCTGGCATTAGTGGCTTGAATTGCTTCTTGAGCTCCTCCAGCAGACTTTTATTGACAACAATGGAGTCGAAGACGGTTGTATTTTTAACCCCAGCAAGAATTTCATCCATCAAAATTTGCAAATCCTGCTCAGTCACGCTTGCAGGAAGGATCGAAGTTATATCAACCCACCCGGGACTTGACAAACTCTCCTCCACTTGTTCTTTTGCCTGTTGCAATTAAAACTTTATTGACTCTCATCGGAACTAAATGGCCATTTAATTTATAAACAAACCTGTTTAAACAAACGTTCACCAAGCACACAAGTCTTCAAAAACAGGAGATGTTGGTTGGGAAACCTCTTGGTGATGAATGATTTCGGATCTGAAATCCCAAGACGTGCAGCCGCATCCAAATCCACATATCCGTTTCCATTCATGAAACCCTCAATCCCTATAATGTCAGTTATATTACGAATTGAGTTGCTGAAGTCATGAAGTATTTTAAAATATAGATGCCAATTACATTGCACTTGGGCTTTTGTGTGAGCGGATGGAATGTAATATGCGCTGCGACTGCTTCCACCCCCAGAAACTATTCCTTCAATTCTCTTGGTGGTAATGAGTTTGTCCACAATTCCTGATTTTAAAAATAATTAAATTTTGTGTAAAATTGAACACTTTATAGTTTCTGCATGGCTCTACTCATATATAAATAGTGCATACCAAAAAACAGCTTTTCCGGAACATTTGACCCAAATTTGAGTAATATTTGATTAATCGGTGTGGGTTTCGTGATGGCGGACAATATTCCTCTAATTCGGGCAGTATTTCTCCTTACAAAAGTCTCTGTATATATCAAATTAGGGTCGTCTCGATCTACTTTGCCGTGAATAACTTTTCCCAGCCGCTTCTCAATTTGATCCTGCAAAAACTCTCCTGGAAGATCGGAAGTCTTTGAAAGTTCAGACAATGAAACCATTCCATCTTGAACCAATTTCTCATTCAAGTCTTCACACATCGTGTCAATGAAGGTCGCCGTGATAAGCTGTCCCAGAACATTGTGAATGCGACGATCTTGCTTCAATAAATCTGCTACTCGAGCCTCCACCACAGACAATGACACATTCAAGTTGGATGCCAATGTTACTAGACTGAGGCGACCTGTAAAACAATTCAAGAGGACCAAGTTATCCATCGATTGATATATTGATAAAGTCGCTTAAGCACTAGTAATTATTATTACCTCCATGAACGTAGAGTTCGTCTTGAATTTCTTTAACCAACTGTTGCGGTGTGATGTATTCTTTTCCATCAGAGGTGTACACAACGTCCAACAACTTTAGCTCGATGAGGCGATTCACAATTTCGATACAGTTTCTTTCTGTTAATCTAGGAAGATATTTCATAAACACAACAAGTTCAATTAAACTTGAAATTGGCAATGAGTAAGTCTAAATATTAATAAATTTACCTTTGAGAAGCGGATGTCAACTGCGCTCTTTGAAAATCTGCAGCCAAACGCTTAACTTCTTCCCAATCTGCGGAAGACATGCTGACAATGGAATTTTAATTCCTGGAAATTATGAATTAGATCACAACTGATTAATTAAAGTCAGACGGGACAGACAGAAGAAGAGCAGAGTAAACAGCTGCTGTCTGATTGAAATGATACTTTCACCACACACGCACACCACCACCACCGGCTAAACTGCCCGGTAGTCCGTAGAAGTCTTTGTTCACTGCACACTGTAGAGAATTTACAATTTAATTGGTAATTCTTAATTATTTATTCACATGAATACTGTCAACTACTTGACAGTGTCAAGTCTGCATGCATGATCGTGAAATGTAATTGGATATAGTATTATTGACGCAATTTTTATTTCGTTTTGTTGCATTTCGTTAATCTTTGACTTATTTAGTATTAATTTTAAATATCTAATCTATTTTCCAGGTAGGATGACAAGCAGGTGTCTCATCTGTTCGGGTCTTGGCGTCACAACTGTACCCACCGGCAGTTCCGACGAAGCACTTTCCTACCTATGTGAAAAGTTGCGATTACCTTATTCTCAAGTTGAACAGACGATAACCTTCTGTGATAATTGTCACTCTTTGTGGGAAGACTTTGCCCCCCTTTACCATTTGGTGAATAAGAAGGTTGGACAATTTCAAGGTTAGACGATTTCATGTGTACGAGATTGTTACGAATAATAATTGTTGTTAATTTTCACATTTACCTAATAATGCTTACACAAACAATCAAGTTTAAATTATTTTCTTAACTTCAGATCGAAGACAAAAGATTGCTACTGCAAATGACCAAGCTCCAGCTTCTGTCAAAATCGAACCATCGGACGACGTCATCGATGTTTGTCCACGAGGGGATGAGTACATAGAAAAGGACGCGGACTCGAGTGGGAGTGAGGAATATAAGTTGGATTTTTTCAGTTCAATTCTGTCCACAACTGAGTAATTTTCAAATTCACTATAAACACTGATATATGCATAAATATCAAAAAATTAATAGAAAAATATACAACTGTCCTTTTCAGAGCTGACAATGACATTCCTTCTATTGATGCTTCTATTGATGAAAGCATTACTCGTCAATCAAACAAACATCATCGTCAACGTAAACGCAAACATAAGGGTGACGATAACGATGTGAATAACAGCCATGGTCCTTCCAAACGCCAATGTTTGGACATAAACTTGTCGGAGGGGTGTTCATTTCCATCTATCAAAGTTGCGAGAAGTTTAATTACATCTACAGGGAACTGGAGGTAATTGTAATCACAAATAAACTCCCTCCAGTAATAGAAGTAATGTGCTCTAACATTAAGATTGCAATACTTGTTTATAGTCAGGATAAGATTTTCTGTAATGTGGATGGAGTAAAGCTAGGCTTTTTTTGCAAGAAATACTGGCAGGGCTGTGGTGCTCGTTTGCAAGTAATTGCTCCAATCGGCTCAAAAGAGTGTCACGTGGAAAAAATGGACACACTTCATACCCATACTCATTTATCTGCAACGAAGAAGCGACCAGCATACGGAATAAATTCCATACTTATGGGACAGATAATTGAACTGGTCCAACGAGGAACGATAACATCTAACGCCATTGTCGAAGCGCTTACAACTTCCGGATTTGAACCCCCACCGGAACAGATTATAGTCAATTTTCTATTCATAGTTCGGAACAAGTTATGGGAGAAGGAAAAGACACGACGCGTGGAAGAAAATCCCATGACTAACATTGATATACCACGCCGAAAAAAGGGTGCTGCTTGGACTGAAGACGAAAAACAATGGGCCACAAGGTTGGTACCAGCGGATTTTGACCACACACACAACAGCATCAAACATGCATAGTAGATTCGGTAATCAGTGTGTATTAATTCTTAACATTTCTGGGTGACAAGTAACCCTTCATATTTTTATAAAGTCTCAAAAAAATACACGAACAAAATCAATAAAAACAAATTCATGTAAAATTGACTTATGCTCTCAAAGCAACTCCACCTGGAATAATAATACTTAAACACTATACGGCTACAACATAAGATAAAATGCAAAAAAATTGCAACGTACATAATCCATAAAGACGTATAGAGAATGTGAATATTTCCAGGAATAGGAACTTCACATGTTCCTGACAAGTTCAACTTGTTCACAGCCGAGTTGACCAAGGAGACGTCAAGTCTCGGAAAATTTTCCAACTACTAAACCGCAAGACAATTCGCATACATACGTACACGTAATTTTACAAGTGTAGACAGGAAATTGATTTATCTCAACATCCGACTTGTATGTACGAGTTTGTGTGGCTTCCACTTTTTCTAAGTAGTCAACAATATCCCCAAAATTGTAGTACTCTGGAATTCCTTATACACAGTAGAATTATTGGCAATCCATCATGACGCGTGTCAACCATAATAATAAATATTACAAGTTTGTTGTGGTTCTCCCCACGCACTTCTTTTCTCAACTACTCCGGGGCTCACTCGACACTTTCCTGTCATTATTTCACCAATCCGTGTGGCTGGAACAATATGGCGAGCCCTAGAACAATTCTCAGCTACAATTATCCCGACCCACCCCGCCTAGATTACCAAGCTCAGTGGTATGGCCATGTTGGGGATGACGACCCCATGACCTGGGGCTGGGTCCAAAGCGTGCTCACCATTGTTCTCGGAGTAATCGTTCTGGGCACCGTCGTTGGCAACCTCTCCGTTTTAGTCCATTTCACAAAGAGTTTGAAAACTCGAGGTCTTCACAACACGACGCCAACGCATTTCTTCATTGCGAACTTGGCCTGTTCGGACTTTCTCGTGGGGGTGCTTGTCCTTCCGTACCTCGCAACCCTTCAAGTCACGGGCAAGTGGTACTTTGGTCAGTGCTTCTGCACTCTGTGGGTCTGCACCCACTATTGGCTCTGTGCCGCCTCAATCCTCTCGACTTGCGCCATATGCATTGAACGCTACATTGGAGTCAAGTAAGGTCACTCGAATTAATAAGTCACTGCATACGCGCGATCATCTACATTCAGCTAATATTGCAGATATCCAATTCAGCACATGCGAATTCTCAACCCTACCAGAATCGGGATCGCCATTTTCTGTGTGTGGGTCTTGGCTGGCGTCCCAAGCATCGTCCGCGTGTTTGCCTGGACTGACCCCAAGTTTGAGATTCCGTACAAATGTATCATCAACCAGAAGCTTGGCCACGCCATTTTGGCCGCAGGGGGGATTTTCTACCTTCCCTCGGCCATCATGGTGGTCCTCTATTATCGCATCTACAAGATTGCAATGCGACACATGAACTCTCAGAAAACCGGGGTGGGCATTTCATCTCGTGGTTTGACGTACCAAGTTAGCATCGGAGCGTCCTCGTCAGCCTACACTTCTCCCAGCAAATCCGCCTCTTCGATCGTCAAGAGCAGTAATTCGACGACGAATAATGGCGCTGACCAAAACTCCGTCAAGGAGAAAGGCAACGATAAGATTGCCATCCCAACGACCACGAGAGCTTCTCCACCCTCACCAGCTCGCCAAGCTCGACCCAGGTCGACCAAGACGATTGAGAGGAGACAGATCAATCTGGCCAAAAAGTTGGGTGTGCTGGTGGGCGTGGTTATCTTGTCGTATGGACCATACTTCACTCTCATCCTCCTCAAGTCAGTCAACCCAAACTGGGTTCATCCTCAGGCTTTCAACTGCTTCGCCTGGATTCGATATTTTAACAGTTTTCTCAACCCATTCATTTACGCCTTTGCCGTTCCTGCATTCAATCAGGCCTTCAAGACGAGTTTTATTGGCAGACTTACCACGACGAGGAGAGAAAAATGAGCACATGCATTGTCTCAAAGTCTCATTATTATTAATACTTTATATTACGAAAAAGTTTATTCCCACCTTGCGAACGTTAAGGAAAGCATTTACATTTAAATAAACAAACCCAATCTCTAGAGACAGTCTAAAATTGAGATACATTATCCACACACATTATTTGTATAACCTAGTAGTTAATCACACTAATTACACACCGGGGCAATTTAGTTCTTTTTGGTCTGATACCCATATTTCTTTACGTCAAATAGATCTGGAAATTAAATCAATTAAACCGTTTACCCATAGTGCGACCTCCTAAGTAATCCTTAAGATATTAATCTTTAAATACTCACCTCTGTAGTATTGGTCTTTGTCGAGTAGTGTTCCCTTGAAGTCCTTTTCTTCGGCATCCACATCGTCAAGCAGCCCTCCATAAGTTTTTGGGAGAATTGCCGGATCAACGAATTTGTGCAGTGATGTATAATCGTACCCATGAAGTTGAATCTGGACAAACACACATAGTAAATAAGCACATAAATGCGTATATGCATACAAAGTCTTTATTCTAAGGGACGCGAGATGACTTACCCTTTTCTTCATCTTTTTCTTCATAAACATTTTCGCCACGGAGTGCACAGTGTTGAAAATGTAGGGATGGTTGACGAAATGGATCCCTTTAATTTTCATGGGATACCCATCCGACAGATTAATTACTGTCTTTAAGTTGAATGGGGTGCAAGACTGAACGTGCGACAAGGCCAGACCAGCCAGGTCCAGGACGAAAACAACGCCATGCAACTGCGTCAACTGGCGACTTGTGACGGTGTCCATCGAACAAAAATCAGCCTTGGATGCTTCCAGCAGTGACATTTTAGCAGGATCCCAATTCTCTGGAATAAGCATATTGAATTATCACGTTCATGTTGGGCAGTAATTTTGAATAAGTTTGCAATATCAGCAAACAGCATGTGAGAATATTCGTACCAAGTTTGACGAGGACGACTTGCCTCCCCAAAGCATCACGATGAGCTAGAACGGTTGCAAAATTGAAGCCATACGTTTGAACGTAGTGGCTGGGGTGCATGTCCGTGTGCATGAAGTCAAAACGGTGACGATTCTTCCACCAGGACGCAATCTGCGCATTGTTTTAGTAGTTGATCAGTCTCAATGACTAATTGTTTTATTTTATTTACGTATATAACACGAACCGACTCTACAGTCCGAGCGATGTCGTTTTTCCTGTAGCGAAGGAAGCGAAGGAGATACACGTCCTCCGTGGGGCACTCCAGTCCATCCAGTTCTGTAACGTTCGATTTGGGTTTATTATGATGAAACTTATCGTGAATCTCATGAAATTATGCATACTTTTGATAAGGCTCCTGATTTGATCCAAAGCTTCTTGCTCGTCACTATTTTCAGGTCGTGAGATTGAGTTGTCTGCTAGCGACAGTTTATTATCGGACCCCATAGTTGGTTTTTAGTGGATTTTACGTGCAAACTTCACCAGAATTGTATGAATCTTAGAAAACAATTTAGCTGAGCACCTACAATGAGACTTTTGAAAGGTGAGAACTAACTCTCATTAAAGATTTGCAGCTGACCAGACTGTCTGCAATTTTGCAACTATTTTCCTTGCAATGTGGATCACATCACTTGCTGGAACCACGAATAATAAGATGAAAAACAACAAAAAATCGAGAACCATTTTTGCCCGTGCATTGTACCTTCGTGATAATTGACAAAGAAAGACTCTTGATGACGTAAAAAACTGGTTGCTCCCAAACTCGCCCTTCCTAATCCAATCTTACGTGTGTGTGTTGTGTGGTTGTGGTATCACACGTGCAAGTTATTCGGCAGCATAAAAAATCCAGCAATAATCTCCGCATCTGAAACGACTTGTACACATTTCTGCATTTGCGCATTTAGCTGAATTTTACTGAGCGACTTATTTATTGTTCTTATTTGACGAAGAACAGAAATTATTTTCAAAAGGACTGATGCAGGCGGCAAACGCCATCGCGTGTGGAATGTAGCTCTGGTCGTTGACGCCTGTGAACAGGTGGGCGAATGGACCCTTGGCGAAGATGAGGACGTCCTCGCCAGCGTGGGTGGCTGACCCTCGTGGGACCTGGCTAACTTGCAAATAGTCAATGTCCAAAGGATTGTCCGAGGAAATATTCTTGCGGGAACAAGTAGTTTCGTTGAATGGCTCCGCTGGTCGATACCCCTTCCCGTTAATGTATGCCAGCGTGGTGAAAGGCATCCCATCCTCGTTGTCCTCGTTTCCCGAAAAGTCGAGAATGTCGTTCCCTCGGAGTGGGTCGCCTTGAAAAAGAGAGCAAATAATTGCAATTAGTAGCGGAAAATGTGCATGGTCTGTTCTAAAATTCCACAATATTATTATGAAGCCGCTATATATGTACATATCTATGTACCTGCAATCGTGAATAAGTGGGAATGGTCCGAGGACACGACAATCAACGTGTCCGTGTCCTCTGTTCTGTTGTCTGCGAGTTGTATTGCTTCATCAAACTGGAGAGTTTCTGCCATCGCTCTGTACGCATTGTTCGCATGGTGAGCTTGGTCTATCCTCCCACCCTCGACGAAGAGGAAGAACCCGTTCGGGTTTCTACTCAGAATTTGCAATGCTGCCGCCGTCATCTCAGCCAGCGTGGGGTCGTCCTTCTCCAGCTGCTTGTCCGCATATTCGATCCCCTCGGGAGCAAAGAGGCCCAACAAGTAATCAACCTAATCAACAAGTCGACATGGTTTACTGATCCGCATTCCTTAAAAGTGCAACTGATGCACCTGTGACAAATCCGTAGCCAACAACTGGGCTCTGCCATTGACATGAACCGCTCTCTCGTCCCACTTCTGTCCCAACCAAGTAGAAATGAGGTCTTTTCCGTCCCCCCGCTTGCCAGGCATCCCTTCAATGTCTGTTGTCGTATTTGGCAACCAGTGAATTCGGCCACCCCCCAAAATTACGTTGATTCCCAACCCTGGCTGCTTGAATACCAACTGTTCTGCCTGGAATATAACGAGTAACAACTAATAATAAGTAGCATGAAATTATAAACTACAAGTTCGTTTTTGACACACAATGTCATCACAAAATTCAGGATCAATCCCACTCTCCGCAATTTTCAGGTCATTCTCCCAGTTGCGATCGGCAATATGCGCATACGCCCCCGACGGGCTTGCGTGTGTTACCGTGGTCGTCGTAACCACCCCAGTCGACATCCCGGCATTCTATCGTACACAACTTGTGAATTGTCAACTTCGCAATGCACAAATTACAATATCGAAATAGCACCTGTGCCCACAACAGAATTGAGCTGGCTTGATGGTCCGGATTCATTTGGGACTCGCAGTCTCGGTAAACGACGGAGGGTTTAACTCCAATCGTCATCGCGTTACCTTTCGTTCCCGTGAAATAAGCGGTTGAACTGCACGCCGAGTCCGCCACTTGCCAATCGCTGCAATACGTCTGCATCGCCACACTCATTTAGTTTCTCAACAGTTTTGCGTATGTGCGTGTCTAACCTTGGATGCACCGACGTAAGGAAATGTGTCCATGTGAAGTTGGCCCTCTTCTCCAAACAAAAGTCCTTCCCGCTGACCTTTGAAAATTCGTGAGGCTGTGACCGTACTGACAGACATCCCGTCACCGATGAACATGATCAAGTTCTTTGCTTTCGACTCTCTTCTTGGCTCTTCGATCCGTTTTCGGAGTCCTTCTTGGCCCAGTCTGAACCACGTCTCGGCATCTGAAACAGACAACCACGCACATTATTTATAAATAATGTGCGTAATAAATTACAACTCCTTACTTAATAGTAAAAAAAATATACTGTAGAATCTCTATGTCTATGTAACCTTCAACGTCTTCTTGCCGTGTCCATTTCCGAGAATTTTGTGGCCTGGGATGCATTTCTTCATCACTTAAATGTACGCTTTCACCACCTTCTTCAAAATTATTGAGCAATATTCAACGTTCATAGTTTAAAATCATTCGTTGATAAAGGAAACTCACCTTCACCCCGATTAATTGCGCTCCCATTGCACAAATCCCAACCTAACAGAGAGAAAATTAACACAACCGAAATTGTCCAAGAATTCATTTTTATGTAAATTTTTGTAACTATTGTCCTTCATGCACATTAAGTGAATGACTGTTGGTTTTGTAAATCCGTAAATCAGGTTGAATGTCAAGTACGTTTTTGTTCCAAAGATAAAATAAATGTTGCATAAGTGCATAATAATAAGTAAGTAACACATGGCGGACAAAATGATGAATAAGCTGTTTAAAATGATGGATGCCTGGATCAGTGAGGAATGTCGAAATAAGGTTGAAATTAATACAATTCATTGAGCTGTATTAATATGATAAATGTGTATGACCGGAGACGCTCTCTTTTGCACATTCTCGCTCACATGTGCTGCACATGATGTGCATCAAATGTTAAATATTTTGTATTAAAATCGTAATAGTCTCACCCCCTCAACGTGTGGTTGCCAATTATAGACAAAAATTTGATTGGGAAAAATAGAAATCTCTCGATATATGAATTGATTCCTACAAATTTTATGAAATTATGACGTAGTAATTGGTGCCGGTGGGGGTCATATGGATGAGTATGGATGAGGATGGGTCATATGGATGAGTATTCTACACCAGAATTTCGTACCAAATTGAATTGGGAAGAAGACAAATTCATCATTTCCTTCGATAGTTATCAGTGGAAGGTCGAAATTAGGTCAAAATAAAATTGAACAATCGCTGCTGAAAAACAAGTTTTGTTGAGTTCGATTGTGTAAGATTTAATAATTTTCGTTATGAGGTTGATAATCACAATTGGTTTTATCATAATACGGAATTGTAGCATAATAATATTCTTTGGTTTTAAATACATGAGTGAGGTTCATATGTATTACCCAGCCCAGGACTGACACTACATTCAGGTACTATGTAAGTACATGCACATTTGTTTCTACCGGCAGTATTTTAAAGGTCCAGCCTTCCCTCGATCCAAAGTGAGGTTAGGAATGAGGGGAGATTCTGCAAGCTTTGGTTCGGATATCGACACAAGAGTTTCATCAACTGCTGATTATTTTTGTGAAATTGAAACGCATCGATGGTTTCGTCAAACTCGAATTTTATTTGCTCCACCTTCACAGTTCCCCAGGGTGGCAAGCAACGCTGTAGCTCAAAACTTGCTTCTCCGGATATCTGTGCGTACAACAATAAGTAACTAATTTGTATTGTGTCGCAGGTTTGTAAGTATATAAATCAAATCGCTCTGGTTTTACCAGACTCCGATGGATAAGAATGTTCTTCAATTCGGGCATTTGCATGAATCCAAAGTAAACAGCAACGTCACTAGGAAGACATGACAATGTTTGCAGTTTGCAATTCAATCTCCCGTTCATTTCAAAGCGTTCAAGGTCTTTGGAGAGAAACAATAATTCATAAAATACAACAATGAACATATTTGAAATCTCAATTTATGATGAGTGCATCCCGGGGGCGCCTTACATTTCAAGTCACGAATGGAAGGGACAGAACCATCCAAATATGGATACAAGATGCCACCCTCTTTCGTATCCAAATCTTGGTTAAAATCCCGATCAATTAGAATCCGTCTACAAATTGGTGTCGGGATACCTGTGAGAACTTCGTCAATTTGTGGGCACGCCGAAATAATTTTGAGTTCCTACATTTCCGAAGAATATTCGATTATTTAAAGAGTTTAATAAATTAACAATTGAGGTAACCTTGAGTTGTGGCCAAGTTGACCACAGTGCTGTCAAAGTTTTTTTCAAGGGTCGGCCAAGCGTGAGGGATTGGACGTTTGGAAATGTCATCATTAGGTCGTAAAGGCTTTCTGGGAAACGCAACGGCACTCCAATCAGCTCTAGTTTCCACAATAAATGAACTTTTTTTGTGGACAATTGTACCGGTTTCTGCTGCGTGCCCAAAAAATAATGTCATCAATTGTATCACCTGAGTTTTAAAATGCATGAATTTTACCTGAATCAAATCCTCCCAAAAGTAAATGCGTCCTCTATTTCCCGTCTCTTTAACCTTTACACAAAGTTCTTTTAAACTGGGGAATTTTTCTTCAAAGCAGATCGGCTGGTATCGCTGGTTATTGGCGAGCTTCAGGCTCAAGACCCGCAATTTTGGAAAGTTTTGTGGAAAGGAGATCTCCAACACGTCGCCACGATCCTGTTCCTCCGTCCATCCAATCTTGAGCGTTTTCAAGGACCCAGATTGATAACATAAAATCCTTTCAAGTAATCCTGACTGTATGTCCGAAGCGATTGCAGAACTGATAAATTCCGAGAGCTGCAGTTGTAATTCTTTGCTTTCACACATCTTCTCCAGCACTTCTAGATCTTGACGGCGTAAAGTAGAGAATTGTACAGAATTGAGACGACATAAATCACCTACACGGAATTTTCATAAAAATAAACCACATACTTTAAATTCTCACAAAAATTCCCTCGAGTTTCCCATAATTTCTGATACCCAGAGTTCCAATAGCTTGTAAATGTCTCCACGCTTCGATTCTAGGAAGTTCTAATTTTTGGAGAGAACATGTCACAGCTTTGTAAAAAGTGGAGAGGAATTCTGTCCCATAGATAATTCCGACATTTTCCTCGTCTTCATCCACGTCCAAGTTGGACGATAACCATTTGACTCGACTGACCTTGGTCAGCCTAATCCTCTCGATTTCTGCGGCAGGTGAGGAGGAGGTTATTTCTGGAGGAAGGCCCAACTCCAACTCTTCCAATTCTTCCAAACCCTGTATCAGCTTCCAAAAGTGGTGCAATGCCAAGGACGACCTGTTTCTCGTGACCAGGCGAAGACGTCGTATTCGGGGAACAATATGAGTCATGAAAGTCCTACAGTAGCGAGGGATAAAAGCTAAATTAGTCGCTCATTTGCACTATAATTAATTTGTTACCGACCTGTCCAAAGATCCCACTCCCAGCCTCATTTCCGACATGTTAAACGAATCAAATGGCAGTGGTGAGTCGGAGGGCATGGCGTAAATAAAGCGGGCAACTTTCCTTGACACGGCCGTGATGCAGTTTCCGCTGAGGTCCACGGTGTACTCTTGTCTGAATCTGGGGGCTGAGTAGTGTGCCCATTTGCTACACGTTTTACGGACATGGGCCAAGTCGTTGGGCGAGATATAGGTCACAAGGGTGTCCAGCACCTAAATGGGTAGTAAATTGTGCACATTAAATTATCAATATGCAATATACATACTGGCTGATTGACAAATGCATACCACGTCGTTGAGAAGCGGATGAAGCCTTGTAGGCAACTCCGACGATATGACTTCTTCCTCACCCATCTGACCCAATTGTATTCAGTATGTTGGGTCACTCTGTCCCATTCCCAGGGTCCTGTCCTCTTGTACTGGTTTTAAATAAATAAATCTAAATTGGCAGAGGCCAGCAGCTGTTTGAGGGTGACCCCGCAAACAACGACCACAACTTCACCAAAGTCAGACTGACTGACTGGCAACCTGCAAACCAGCCTAACAACAACATGCACAATCAGCAGGCAGGAAATGTTTGTTTCGTTACAGGCAATGAACATGAGTGTTGCGGAACGGGATCACGGCAAAAATAAGTGGATCGGATCGAGTCGATATTTGAGAATGGGCAATGCGAGATTCGTCTCATTTTTTGAGATTTACGGCCGTATTCTGAATCACAAAAAAATCTCCACGTACACCATAGAAACTTAATATTACTAGAATGCACAGGCTGTGTCTTTGTCAAGTAAGCATGGTCTCCAATTTCGGGACCAGTCAGGAGGCGAATTCAGTGTGCGATTCCAAATAGTCGCCTTGGTTAAGACCAGGTTGGATAAAATCTAGTACAGTGGAGTAGCTCGGATTTGACTGAAGTTTTTTGTGTGAATACCCTATGGTCCCATGAGCAAGAAAATACCGTTTTTTCGTAGCGGTCTCAAAAAATAAAATCTCTAGAAATTTTCGAAATTTTGTATAAAAAATATTTTTTGCCTCAGATTTTCATGAAAATGGTTTTCTAGACTAATGAAACTTTGCTGAACAAGAATATTAAGGAATTTTTTTAGTTAAAAAACCTACAGTGCAGACTCCATATAGCCCGAGTCAGGGACATAGTCCCTGACTCAAAAAGTCCGAGCCCGCTTCTAATTTTTTTCCGAATTGACCGACATAATAGCACCAACTTCCGCGTTGTGGATGGTTTAAAGTTTGTTAGATAGTTTCTACCATTGGGTACCAAATTTTTGAATTAGTTACAAATCATGTGCCTTGACCACCATGACCAGTGGGCTTCTTTAACATCCTGAAGTTCTAAGCTGTATGCATATGCTATCCAGCAGTGGTTTTCACTTTTTCAGCCTCCATATCAAATTTCAGCTCGATATAACGATTTGGAAAAATCAGTATGGGTCACCCCATAGGGTCACTCTGGTCGCACTTTGCTCTCTTTTAACTTCATATTCTTTAATTAGAAGCCATTAAGTATCATTGTGCCGGATTTCATCTTGTTAAAGCAATTTCTAAAAATCGGTACGGGTCACCCCACAGGGTCGCTCCAGATAAAAATTTTACCAATATCATCTCATATTCTTTCATTAAAACCCATAAGCAACCTCTCCACCAAATTTCAGCTTGTTATGACGATTTTGAAAAATCGGTATGGGTCACCCCCTAGGGTCTCTCAAGATGAAAATTTTTCCACCCTGAAGTTATTTTTTTCTATTAGGAGCCATTAGCAACCTCTGTACCAAATTTCAGCTCTCTACAACAATTTTGAAATTTTGGTGCATAATACCCCACCCACTCCGACGACCCCCACCGGTGAACCACTGAACCGATTTCGCCCATCATCGAACTCGTTTCCTAACTTTGTCCAATATGCATATAGTAAAAATTTCAAGTCAATCGGTTCAGCCGTTTTGGCTCTATCGTGCCGGACAGACAGACGGACAGACAGACAGACGGACGGACATGACGGTTCCATAAGCCCTGACTCGGGCTAAAAACTCCCTATATTTCATACAATTATCAGATTTACTGTTTTAACAAAGCCTTGTTTGGTTTATTTTTCTTTCTTAAAATGCAATATATTATTTGTACCTTGGACAAAAACAACGTTTGGTATTTTTAAAGTCGTAAAATGTGGGGGCCTTAAAAGTGAATAAGTTGTGTGCACCAACGCCTTATGTGCTGCAAGTTAGCCGTGGCCGAAATTCAATTTAGACGTAGCCGTGGTCGATACAAGTTAGACATGGCCGTGCCGAACAATTTCACAAAAATTGTATTTTACCCCAAAAATTTCATTTTGCCCCAAAAATTCCATTTTACCCCAAAAATTTCATTTTGCCCCAAAAATTCCATTTTACCCCAAAAATTTCATTTTGCCCCAAAACTTTCACTTTACCCCAAAAATTTCACCTTACCCCAAAGATTTCGCTTTGCCCCAAAAATTTAACTTTACCCCAAAAATGTCATTTTACTTCAAAAGTTTCATTTCACCCCAAATTAAATTAATTATAAATTATAAATTATCATTAGAAATTAATTTACTTATAGCGGGATAGTTAAATTAGTTAACATTCTTTCAAAGTAAAAACAAATCATTGAAAACCAAGTTATAGAGGTGTTACTCCATGAGTTATGGTAATGGACCTGATGTCGAAAATCGACTTTTTTGAAATACTTGAAGTATGTGTTATAGGACCGTAAAATATACAGGAAAATCATTTTCCTCAAATTTCTTAGTGGTCAATGGTCCTTCCTAGAGTTGCCACTTCACCTCAGCTTATTGATTTATTCGAGTAAAGCCGAGTCGAGTTGACCTCACTCAAGTAAGCCGTCGACTCAATGAGTCGGCTTAATGAGTTGTGACGACTCACTCACTCAATAAGCCGTCTGGCTCCGCCTCCTCGTACTTACACACATGCACAAACAAACTCTGTTCGCTCCAACTTGTAAACACAAAATGTATGCACACGTATGTACATTTGCTTCGTCAATAAGCTGCCTCGACTCACTCAGATACTTAATGAGTCGAGTTAAGCCAAGCCGGCTTGCTTCGACTCAGAACTCAATAAGCCGGCTTACTGGCACCAATAGTCCTTCCGTTGATATACCGCCTTTACGCAGCCGCTAGGGCACGCAGAGGCTCCAAGTTTCATATCAACCATGGGCCAATACAATTGCGGGACTTTTTCTCGTTTTATGAAATTAGGTCACAGTGGCCGTTTTTAGGTCAAAATTCACAGCATGTCAAGTTTGCCTGAAAAGTCAAAGTCTCGATCGGCAAGAAGCTTAAGAATATATATACTTTGGCTTTATATACATATAAATATATATACTGAGGATCACAGATCGTATTTGCACAGGTTTTAAAATTGACCTCAAACCTACACTCGGCGTCGATGTATTTGTTTCGATTATTCAATACGTTCCTCAGACCTTTGGCTAGCCACCCTATATCGCCGTTTTCACGAATTCACTAGTTTTTCTATATTTTCGAGAGCAATCTTCTTCAACTCCACCTGAAGGTTTTTCCGAAACACCAAAAAAACTGGAGCTCGTCTGAGAAGAAGCTATGGTTTCATGGCCATGGAAGCGTGGGCCATAAGAATTAGCGTGGGCCATAAGAATTAGCGTGGGCCATAAGAATTAGCGTGGGCCATAAGAATTAGCGTGGGCCATAAGAATTAGCGTGGGCCATAAGAATTAGCGTGGGCCATAAGAATTAGCGCGGGCCATGAGAATTAGCGTGGGCCATAAGAATTAGCGTGGACCATAAGAATGGCCAATGGTAAGACTTATGGCCAATGGTAAGACTTATGGCCAATGGTAAGACTTATGGCCAATGGTAATCCTTATGGCCCAGGGTAAGGCTTATGGCCCATGGTAATCCTTATGGCCCATGGTAAGACTTATGGCCCATGGTAATCCTTATGGCCCATGGTAAGACTTATGGCCCATGGTAAGACTTATGGCCCAAGGTAAGACTTATGGCCCATGGTAAGACTTATGGCCCATGGTAAGACTTATGGCCCATGGTAAGACTTATGGCCCATGGTAATCCTTATGGCCCATGGTAATCCTTATGGCCCATGGTAAGACTTATGGCCCATGGTAAGACTTATGGCCCATGGTAATCCTTATGGCATATGGTAAGACTTATGGCCCATGGTAAGACTTATGGCCCATGGTAATCCTTATGGCCCATGGTAATCCTTATGGCCCATGGTAAGACTTATGGCCCATGGTAAGACTTATGGCCCATGGTAATCCTTATGGCCTATGGTAAGACTTATGGCCCATGGTAATCCTTATGGCCCATGGTAAGACTTATGGCCCATGGTAAGATGTATGGCCCATGGTAAGACTTATGGCCCATGGTAAGACTTATGGCTCATGGTAAGACTTATGGCCCATGGTAATCCTTATGGCGCATGGTAAGACTTATGGCCCATGGTAAGACTTATGGCCCATGGTAATCCTTATGGCCAATGGTAAGACTTATGGCCAATGGTAAGACTTATGGCCAATGGTAAGAATTATGGCCAATGGTAAGACTTATGGCCAATGGTAAGACTTATGGCCAATGGTAAGACTTATGGCCAATGGTAAGACTTATGGCCAATGGTAAGACTTATGGCCAATGGTAAGACTTATGGCCAATGGTAAGACTTATGGCCAATGGTAAGGCTTATGGCCAATGGTAAGACTTATGACCAATGGTAAGACTTATGGCCAATGGTAAGACTTATGGCCAATGGTAAGACTTATGGCCAATGGTAAGACTTATGGCCAATGGTAAGACTTATGGCCAATGGTAATCCTTATGGCCCATGGTAAGACTTATGGCCAATGGTAAGACTTATGGCCCATGGTAAGACTTATGGTCCATGGTAAGACTTATGGCCCATGGTAATTTTTATAGCCCATGGTAAGACTTATGGCCCATGTTAAGACTTATGGCCCATGGTAAGATGTATGGCCCATGGTAAGACTTATGGCCCATGGTAATCCTTATGGCCCATGGTAATCCTTATGGCCCATGGTAATCCTTATGGCCCATGGTAATCCTTATGGCCCAGATGAACATGTTTCAAAATTTGAAGAAATTGAAGAAATGCAACTTGAGACACAATTTCAAAATCCGCATACAATGCCACTTTGAGATGAGGCTTCATGTTCCCTTGAGGAGAACTTAAAATTAGTTCTCCGCCGTTAGTCTACATTGAAGACTATTCAGTGAAATTTACATGAACATTACGTTTTAAAATTCTGTACTTTTAACTTAACAAAGTGGTCAAATCAGACTTTAGATCACAATTTCTACCTAACTAATGAAGAAGAAAATTTTTAAATTTATTTTATTTTATTTATTTATTACGATTTTTGCGTTACATAATTTATGAACGGCCCCTAAGTACTTATGAGACATTTTTTTCCTTTGCGAATATTTAGGAGACGCGAAAATTTACTTCCGACAATTTATTACTGTTGAAGCTCAATAGAAAGACACATAATACTAATTTCTGATACGACACTAAAAATTAAAAGTTATTGCCGTTGTCGGACTCGTTGTCGTCTTGGTGGTGGTGGTGATGATGGGGCAGCATCCTCGTCGTCCTCGGAATACTTTGGCGTCGTTCTCACCACTGCAGGGACGATTCGCTGCTGGTGAAATTGTTGCTGTGGGCGTGGTCGTTGGTACTGGGTCGTAGTCGGCGTACGAAGGCTGGAGAAACCAGTCACTGCTGTGTCGCCCTGCAGGCGTTGGTTGTGGGAGGCAGGCTTGATGTTGAGGCTCCTCTCCTTCCCCTCCACTGCAGTCTCTCGCTCCACCAACGCCCATTCTCGCTGTCTCGACGAGGCCTCACGCTCACGGCTCAATCGCTCAATCTCCTGTTCTCGAGCTTCCGCCATCTTCAAAATATCTTGCTCACGAGTTGCCAATTCGCTAAATAATGAGCACGCAATTATTTCCATGCGCGTGTATGAACTTATTGTGGTATCGCATTATAGACAAACTCACGCTTCCCTCTGAGCCAGCCTGGCCTCCCTCTCCTTGAGTCTCTTGTCCACGTGGAGGGTACGTTTGTCGAGGTCTCTGCTCCTTTGGTCGAGATCGGCATCTCGAGCGTCCAGGGCGACTTCTCTCTGTGCTAGGACTTCTTCTCGCTGCGCATAAGCCACCGCGGACTTATCAACCTGCGATTCACGAACTCTTAGCGACTTTTCTGTTTCGAGCAGGAGACGTTCTCTCTGCGCCACTGTCAACTGAGCGTACTCTGGCTCCTCCACCAACTGCTCATTGAACTACGAGGGGGTGAGGTCAACATTAAGTTCGGGCCAGAAGACGAGAATAGTTGGGAACGATATGGTCAGAAGATACGTTGACAAGTTTGCATACCTTTGATTGGGGTTGAACCCTTCTGCCTTGTCCCGTTGAGGAGAAACGTACGCGTTGCTGCGGCTGAGATTGCTGTGCATCGACAATTACGGTACAAATCAGAAGTGCCACCCACACTTGTATGTATTTTCCCCACATTTTACCCATACTGTGGCGAAGATAATCAACTTAAAAAACAATATTTTAGTGTATGCGCATGTCTAAATGCGTATTGTATAATATTCACAACTCCAATCGCACCACGAAACAATTGATGACTTGTCGAAGGGAGGAATAAAATGAAATTGATTGTAGAAATAGGTCACTCGACATAGCGGTTGAGTGAGAGATAGTCATCACTGGATCTAAATACGTGTGTGTGTGTGTGTGCGTGACTGCTGTGGTCACTTTTGGTATACAAATCAGATCACTTTCACTTTCTGGTGACTCGACGACCTCCAATCTACATATTTCCAACATCGTCATCCTATAAAGTCAATTTTCACGTGATCGATTTGCAGGTTCACCTTGTTTCGCTATTTTCTATTTCAAGAGACATGTATGTATCTCCGGTATGGAATAGTGTTGGACGGACTCCGCCTGTGGAAAGTTATTTCACTGAATGGTATCAGATGCTGTACCATTCAATATGCTGTGACATATTTATGTCCCAAGGTGACTTCCCAAGGGATTGAATTTTGATACGATTTTGGAAAAATATTCACCAATCACCAATGGAGAATCTTTGAAAAATTCGTATAACAGCTTCTCGTGATTCAACCATTTCGCTGATTATAATAATATCGAAATTAGAAATGTATAACAGTCGATTCGAGCTTCAAAATTAATTATTAATTATCAAAATTATTAAGTCACATTTTACAATCACATTAACTGTACCACAATGTCAGGATTTTATACTGCCAGTCAAGTAAATCCTTACACGCGATCAATTTCTTGACAAAATACGATTGTGTTAAATAATTCTGAATCTAGTTCGACCATGCATTTAAGCCCACTAAACTTCGGAACTGGGAGTACGGTACGAACCCCTGGCCTGGAAAGTATGCAATTTGTTCTCCCATCCGGTGTGACAAGACGGAATTTATCGCCTGTGACAACGGCCACCTCTTCCCTTGTGTCCCCCGAAACGGTTGTACGTCCCCCTGGGGAGATTATGCCACCTGGATTTGGGAGCAGACAAAGCCGTGCTGTTGCATTCGGCAACTGCGACATCCTGAGCAATTAAAACCACCCCGGCTTATTTATGTCACCAACGAAGTGAGGATTTCCAAAAATCTGACACGCATACATAAATATGCGAGTCCATTATTCAATAAGGAATTTTGTACGCAGATCCCACGCCCTGGAAAATTTGCATCCGACGCTGCGAAAGAGTTCAACTGTGCAGAAACCAAAGAGGGGATGATGGACGATGTTGCGTCTGGTCGTGATCCGTGCTGCCCTGGACAAAAACGTCCAGGACCATACGTCCAAGTGATGGGGCGACAGATGGTTGGAGACCGGGCGGCCATGAGGAAGCAAATGATGAAAGAACGGAGAGCGTTGAAACGTTCCGTGATGTCCAAACGTGGTGCCCGCTGCCCGGATGTCATCACATTTCGGTTCTCAATGGGATGCCCGCCCGATTTGTGTCAACCTTGTAAAAAACCAGCCTGGCGTAAGTAGGTGTATAATCTTCAATCAAATCGCCCCAAAATTCATGTTGAGCTTTGTCAAATCAGAGAAAATAATAAACGTCTCGTGCGTTCGTGCTATACGTGTCATTTGGCGAAGGCTGGAAAATAGCGACTATTTGTTACTGCGAAAAACTTGAGTGATACTCAAAAAGTATGGATTTTTGCATGATTTGTTGTTTCTTGTGGTAAAAGTAAAGCGTCGCCACTATCTCATCTCATGGACGAGATCAGTTGGACCGAAAACTCCTCGGGGGTTGTGGTTCCTCTTCTTCTTCTTCTGGTTGTTGGGAAATTGTTGCTGGGATGTTTGATTGCATGGTTAGTTTATTAGCAGAAGAAGACGATTCAGGCTTCAGGCTGTTGAACTCCTCCTCAACGAGTTGGCCGTCAGGTTGGTGGACGAGCGGCTTGGGGCATTTTCTCCACTTCCTCCTCTGTATCACCCTCAGCATCAATGTGGAAGGAAGTTGTTATATGCTCGCGATGTTGATCCCACATTTACTTGCGAATTAATAATGCGTTCACTGACCAAATTGGCGTGCATTCCCGTTTTTTCACACAGGACTTCAAAACGGTTACTTGAAATGCTCCGAATTTGTGACCCTTCTGTCCAGCTTCGCCTCCGCCTAAAAGAAGGACATTTCCAATAATTCTTAGCAAGTATCTATCATTCACCATGCAACAATTAGCTCCTGATAAATCTGTAGGCATGTGAAAGATAGCAGGATTGCATATGTACATAGGTACGTTTGGTAGGTATGTATGCGCGGACCAACAATAAACAATCCACACCACAACAAGAACTACATAGCAATCTGCACGTATATGTATGCTGTGTATGTACGTGGATGCCTGTTATACTGGCATTGTTGGTGGTGCAGGGATTAAAAGACAATTTTGAAGTCAGTCGTCATTCTTCCTCAGGCTTGGAAGGAAACTAGCAAAAGTGGCGACGGACAGCAGCTTTGCTTCTCATCGGTTCACTCCCAGAGAGGATTACTCACCTGTGAACATAAGTGTTGAACAGAGAGCAAAATTAGAACTAATAAAAAAGCGGTCCCCACTTTGCATTAGTTTTGTCTCTTTCTTAAACTCCGTGTGTGTGTGTGTGCTTGACAATTTCGGAGCATTTTTGTCCTCGTTGACGAGGTGGGTTGTTTGTGAATCACTGGAGCACATCTTTCCAAATTCATTTAAATCGTGACATGTAGAGTGGAGACAAAAGGTCCATTTCCCACTTGGATGGCTCTAAAGACGTGTGAATGAGTAGTAGCAGACCTCTCCCTCCACCCACTCGTCGTCCTCTCTTTCCTCCTCCTCACAATAATAATGACTTAAATCACCAACGATCGCAGCGAATTTTTTAAAATAAATTATATGCAAAAAAATCCTCTCTGCCACCCAAAAGTTCCACCATTGAGACTCGATAAATAGTGCTCATGTTTCTCGTCAACGGAGTCTGGGCGCAGAGTGACCGACGTTTCACCTCCTCTTATCTGGACGACGTGGTCAGTGACAACACGGACACGGACACCACCACCGACATCATGAGGGACTCGTTCTTTGAAGACTTTGAGATCGCGATGAAGGTATGAAAAAAAAGATTGCTTATCATCCTCGTTAAGAGGGCGCTTATCAGGCGGAGTTATCATCTCACTCCAACCAAGCGCACTCTTCTTCTCAGGCCAAGTACAACATATTCCCACACTAGAAAAGTGCTCAAGTCCACTTTGCGCGTGATGGATAGACTTGACTCTTGAGTGTGAGAATATTTTGCAAGCTCTAAACTCGCCTCTAGTCCATTCCATCAGATACATTTTATTGGCCATTGGGCAACCTGTTTCATTATGTTTGGCGTTGATGCAACAAATGCCACTGAACTTAACCAGCAGCCAACAATCACAACGACCACAACTTTACTTGCACTTTCTGCCTACCAACAATAACGGTGTGCCCAGAGCCATTCCATTACCTTTGTCTCAAGTTTCTCGAGTCAGAATGCATAAGCACGATGACGAGTTGTTGCGCTATTGCTTTTAAGTTTTTTAATCGAGTTCGATCTCTATCTCTTGTGAGACCCACACGGTTCTATAAGTTCATGTACTTATTCTCTACGTACCTCGACGGAGGAGTGCACATTTTTCTCGATTGTCGTCCGATAGATTTAAATAGAGAATGTCTGCAACTGTTTCGTAATCCCACATGAGCGACGTGGTCATGATGATTGTGTGTCGTCCTCGACAAGAAAATCGCCAAAGATAATATTAAACCTGTCCAAACACCAATTAACATAATTTCCCATAAAGTTCTGTTTGATCAAAAGGAAACGTATTGAATTTCAATTAGCAGAATAAGCCGTAAATTGGTGAGCCTTTATTCAAACTCCTTTTTTAAGGGAGATGGGATGAGATTGGAGATAGACGTCGTCGTCATCGTGGCCAAATACGGCCAACACCACCGCTATGCTGCTTATTATGATTACCTAAACGTAAATTATTCCCTTCACACTGATAAATAAACACACCACTTGCTTGCTTGCTTGATAGTGGATTCAACTCGATTCTCGTATTTAAAGTCAGGAATATTAATTCCAATTCTCAAAGCGATAATGGATAAGTATTTGCAAGCTCTTAAGTTTGGCCACGTTGTGTTAATTGTTGTTGTGACAGGTCTCTCAGTTCCACGGGACATAACATTTTGACAATCACGACTTAATCTCTGTGTGCACTAAGCACTTAATTTGTTAATTAAATGTGTAAGCGACTCGAGACTTATGTCCATTAAAATGGAAAGCAGGTATGCACACACAATGATAATACGACAGGCGTGGATTCGACCATGCACGTATATTTTTCTTGTAAAAGTTAAGCAACATCCAACGCCAAATATCACGTTCACGTTCATAAATACTGCATAATTCACTAAACAAATTTCCTTACTATTTGCAAAGTATGAAAACCCTTTGACAAAACAGAATGCAAATGTGATTTCAGTTTTCTCCATCTGTCATGACATCAAATTATTTAGTGACGCTCATTTAACGAGTGAATGGGTTGAAAATGAACTTGAAGTGGTTTTTAAACTTGTGGTTTGTCATTTGGTATGAGGAATTTTTAAGAATATATGAAATTAGAATTGCGGTCGAAGTTGTAACGCTTGAGTGACTGGCGACGCTGTTGGAGGTAGACGCGCACATTTTTCCACTGACGATCGTCGTCCACGTCGCACTACCAACAATTTTCTTAGGATAGGATTTCATCTTTTGCTAACGAGAGGACCAACATTCCTAATAACGAGGAGGATACACGTTTTATTCATCCGAATCCAGGCTCTGGCTCGATCTCGAGTTGTGAGTGAGTGGTGTGAACAAGGCGACGTTGGAGATGCTAAACGTGACACCAAAAAGCTAAACACGGGTTGCAATAAATAATGCAAAAAAGCTCATTGTCGCAATTTTGACAGGACGCAGAACACGTAATAAACCTAAAAATTATCCTTGTTTTTCTCTCGTTGAGCTCGTCACATAAATCTGAATGCTCGAGGTTGGGCGGTCTTGTCACGAGGACACAGCTTCTGAAAGGGGAGGAGGTACAAGCCCCACGAGAAAGCTACCCAACATAAAAAACAACAAGAGAAAGTAAAGTGGTGGAAATGTGAGCGTTTTAAATTTGTAATTATCACCCCCACCACCGCAGAATCACAACAAACGCGTCACGGCGGCTGTACGGAATGTCACGCCACGCCATGACAAAAAAGTGCATGGTTATCTCTTCAACCATATGCGTTCATGCCCACTTATGTGCAATCCTAGTTATTGGACAACCACCTCCTCCGCATCCATTCACTCCTCTGGTTCCTTCGAGGAAAATTTGTCACTTTTGACAATTGTTTTGTTAGTTGTCATCCAATTGGGAAGAAAGTTATCCTGTCATCAGCCCCCATTTAGCATGACGAGCAGCATTATATTCCTCACTCAGCCAGCCACACTCACAGGCCACAAACAAACGACACTCGATTCATAACACATAAAAACCATGAGCAAAGCATTACAACTCTAGGCGTGACGATAACTAACTTGGAACCCAATGAGATAAAAAATTAAATTTTCCCCTCCTCCGTCGCTCAAATTGTCTAAAATATCGTGGCTCAATAAACGTATCCAAGTTTTTCGCAGATTCGTGAACGATCTTCGACCCCTTTTTCCCTAATTCTATCAATCCACGAATGTGTACATATCATAATGTGATCATCGTAATAAGTATCTGATTCTATCGAAAAGCCAGAACCAAGAGCAAAACAACTAATCTTTTTATAATGTTTAATCCTGCTGAATACAAGGAACGAGGTCGTCAGAAATCATCCTAATAATAATGCCAATAATAATAATGCGCTGTTTTCTCTCCACTCGAACAGACCATCCAAACAAAACAACAACAGTCTTAAAACTTTGAGCTGAAACAATGGTTGACTTGCTGAGCTGCATAAATATGTAATTTATTACAGTGTGCAATAATTATTGCAGTTTTATGTTAAACATTTCTGCTTTACGTACATAAGCAGCAGCTCTCACCATGCACAACCACGATTAAGCATTACTCACAGTGCGTTAAGCCACCAGTACGATAACTTTCCTACGATTACGATAAAGCAATAGCGAAGGAGACCAAGAAGGGGTTTAAACCAAGAAATTGTGCGTGTCCACGCCATGAATTACACAGGAAGAACAAGTTGATGTACATTAATTCGCATAGCCATTGTCCGACCTCTTTCTTTCTCTCTCATAAAGCACAAGATTCTTTTATTTTATTGTTGTTGGTGGTGGAAAAGTATTAACTCGTTCAGTTCAAAAGTGCAAATCCTGTCATTTTCCACTAGAACACCTATTTACCATCCATATCTGTATATATGCATGCCTGTACTAATCATGTCGTTCATTTCATTCCACCACCACTGCTCAAATTGCCATCACGAGAATTATTGAGCTCCTGATGACAATGGATGCATAATTATTGCAGGAAAATGAAGCAAGGAGGAAATGTAATGCAGCCAAATTTAACGAGAAACAATTGAATATTGGATGAATGATTGAGCAGGTGTCGTTCTAGATATTTTCTCGTCGCACTGCATTACACAAATTGAAATTGCATTTTATTTTCATTTATCAACATCTCCGGATTTGTGCTTCCTTTGAATCTCTTCTGTAGCAAAAAATAAAAATGAATTCGCAACAACGAGTTGATAAAAATGCTCATTTTTAACCAAATAATCCGAGTTGACCCACTTCATTTCATGCACAACAATGCAATGTATCGTCGTCATCATCCGTACAATAATATTATTATTCACTGCATAATATCCATGCCATGTCAGTAATTAGTTCTAATCTAGTTGTGCTTCCCCAGTGACTTGATTTCAAACTCATTTGCAATTACACTTGCTATTTTATTGCTCAGCCTGATGCGGAATGGGATGGATGGACATGCGGACAGACTCCTAATGGGCGAAGGGAATGACTCGTTGAATTGTTTTACCTACTCGTTGTGGGGGGTAGCGACATTTTTAGACCCAGTTGCTCATACAGACAAATAGTGTGTCAATGCCATATTTTGCAATAAAATGCATGTTAAATTAGACTGGAATGTACCACAATATTGTAATCAAGGTAAATCCTAGCCGACTCTGGTGTCGGAAGTTGCGTACGTATATACTCCTGTGCCGTTGCTTTGATAAGAACTAATAACGAGACACGGAATCTTGTCCGCCAATAGATTTAGAAATACATGTTATTTCCGACGCTTATTTTTTATTGCGAGGGGCGATAAGAGTTTGAATTTATCAAGGAATGAAATGGTAGTGATTTGGTCGATGAGATAGATGACCAACATTTCTCATTCTTTTATTGCGTGCGTATCACAATGCGGCTGCCTCCTCAGATACCTTTACGCGGAGTCTAATGTCTACCGGCATTGGTATTATTTTGTATGGATGTTAAATTGAAATTTAATGTCATTTTTATGATAGTTCGCCCCTCTTGCTGGTTGTCACATATATTTTTTTATTGTGCAAATATCGCATGTAAACATATTTAGTGTGGGAGGATGGATGGAATTCCACAGTAGTAAATATGTATGTAGTAACTGGCACCTTATTGTATCAGAGAAAATGGAGCCATGTTGTAAATCTGGCAAAATACGCCAGAAAAAGAGTTATCTTTGAAGACCAAATAAAAAACGGGTTTGCGTTCCACTTATTCCTTTAACCCACGTATGCAGGGCCTTATAAATAAATACATGTACAAATACATACACACCAGGAGGAGCGGATAGTTAGGTGGATTCTTTAGTGACTGCGTACCATTGTTGACTATTTTCATCCAATTTGATTCAATTTGCATCTTATTGGAGTGTTGAAGTGTAACAATGAGAGTGTTGTAGGCATTGTATGGCGAGCAACACCTTCCTCGTCGTCCCGTTCCTCGGGCTTGTCCAACTTTTTTCTTGGCGTTGTTGTTGTGTTTGGTTATTCCGTTCCGTCTCAACCCACCAACTCCAAATTGAAAGCAAACCAAAACCAAGATCCTTCCTCATCCATTTCGAAATGGGATTCAAAGAAATGCCAAATCCTTGCTTTGCGTGATTCAACATGCAGCACATATGTTGCACACTCGTAAAACTGACGACCTATGCGGTACATACTACATACGTGTACCCTGGCAGCGACGTACATATTACGAGATCGGTTCCGTTTTCCCTTGTTAAATTAAGGATGGCGATGATGGTTGGGATGACGAAGGCCGAGCCAGCCAGGTGTGATTTTGATGTCGTTTCGAATTCTAATTTGTTATGATGGTCTCCTGCTCTTCTCCCCTGCCTGAGTAATAATATGCAAAACATGGCGTGGAAATATGTTACCAGTCTCTGTGTCACACTCGCCCGCCTTCGATGCCAACGTCAATAACACTTATTCAATTTGCGTTCTGGTTTGGGCCACATAAATAGCAAATACACTTTCCGACGATTGTGTATGATCCATTTTATTTTCTGTACTGTGAGTTTTTGTGTGAAGTATAATATGCATTATTCTCTACATGCAGTTAATCACCCCACACAACATTTTTACAAATCACGACGATGACCACTACTCAAATGTACATACAAATATGACTTAAAACCCCATAATTTTTTAAGTAAACTTGGCAGTCAAGAGATGAAATTAAATCCTTGTAAACCACCATGTTTAGCCGTAGGTGGTCTTGCTCTCGGACACATAAAATTACGTACTTTATGTGCCTTGTAGTGCATGGCATGCAAGAAGCATAGGTCAGGCCGAGAGACAACCCAGGAAGACGAGCGCTTCGTTGTGTGTGCAAAAAAAGTGGATTTGAGTGTGCAAATGAGAATAAAAGCATTTTCTTTCTTCTCCAATTTTCTCCTTGCCACTAAACTGCGACGCCTCTATTGACCCGTCACCAAACAATAATGGTCATACTTTGAGAACACACTGCACCACGGGGATGAAGATGACTGCTTTATCAGGTTGGCGACCATAAGACCTGTCACATGCCATTGGTCACGCCAGCTCCCATGAATTAATCAGACTTTGTGCCAATTGCATTCACTAAATTATAATTGCAAATAATAATATCCAAGTCCGGTTGAGTCGCATTATTATCACGCTCTCCTCTCCTCTGCTAAATTTCACCCTTACAAAGAAACTATCTTGAAGACTTGAGCTGCTGCTTCTTCTTCGTCTTCTTCTTCTGGTAGTGGTGGTGGGTTCTCATATTTCAAAAGGTTGTCTCCTTTTACCAGCCCATTAATAATTGTTGGCATTTGCTCGCTGCTGAATCATAGATAAGTTTCATTTCATACTTTTTGAAATATTTGGCTCATCTGCAATTCGAAGGTGCAGCCGGTTGTTGTTCTTGTTGGTTGCTAATTATTGCTCCTCAGATTTCCTGCCTCCATCCCTTCTTGGGCAAAATATGTATGTACTCGGCTCTCGAGAGGAAAGTAACGATCAATAATTTTGACCTCAACAACAAATTATTTTGGGAAGATCGACATCCTTGGGCAAGAGTCGTAGTCTCATATTCTCGTTAAAAGTGGATGATGGTTTATGCATTAATAAGAAAAGCCACACGACCAATCCGCCAGCAGAGATGAATTAATTAAGGACATGATATCACTTACTAAGGCAGAAGACGCATTTTTGCTGGTCTGGGCGGAGTAGGTACATGTATATTTTTGTGCACATTAGTCCACTTTCATTACCGTGAAGTATGTACATCTTAATCTGCAGTAATTAATGGAGGGAGGCGATCATATAAATGGATGATGACACGTATGAAAAGTGCTCACTGACAGGTGGACGTCCACCTCCCTCCAAATGCATTCCAAGAGTGCTGACCTGTTTTCATTTCACATTTTTGTTTCAGCGTCTCTCAGCAGAACGACATTGAAGTATCAAATGGATGATGCATGTGCATATTTTGGGGGCTGTGGCAGTCACTATTTACATTATTATTCGCCTGAAAATAAAATTACCTACGGTTCAGCAGACTTCATTTAGCCCGAGTCAGGGACAGAGTCGGTTTTTACATTTCTTCGAACTTAAATAACTCCTAAGTTTAATCGTATAATACACACGTGTGGAAAATTTGAACTCAATTGGTTCAGCTGCTTTGGTCTATCGTTTTTCGGACGGACGGACACACATGACGATTCCATAAGCCCCTCCTCGGGCTAAAAACTAACAGAAATTTGTAAGTAAATATACTCGACACGACATGACACGAGGTCATACTCGCTCACACTCTGATACTTGACTCAAGTAACTTGAGAAGTGTATCCACTCAAATACGCCAATCAATCTCAGCCTTCTCTAATTCTGAGAGTGGTATTCTAATGTATGCATAAAACAAGAGTGGTGGTTATTAGAATCGGCTGAGAGCCTGAGAGGATAATGATTTACTCGAGACAATCATAATTGATGTATCGTGAGCTCAGTGTTTTATGCAAAATGATACAAAGCTCGAGACGAGAAAATGATGGACAGCTTGACAGCCACTCATCATTACATTTTCAAACTTTTGTTTTGTCCGCATAAAATTGCATCCTTATTAAACCACACAAAAAGTGTTTTGTTGTCAAAATCAGTTAATTTTGCACACACTGACGAAGATTTATAAATCTCGTGTTTTTTTACACATGAGCAAGATCCGGACTCAGATTTGGTTGGGTGACAATGCGTTCTCCTCTTTAGGTTTGATTGCCGATTGTTTCCGATAATAAATGGAGTCAGTCCTTCTCTATTCCGCTTAATTGGAGATGAAAGCAGTGATAACCAAGCTGGGAATAATAGGGAATTAAGTTGAGGCGAAGAAGAAAAATATCCATCGAGAATCTCATCTCAGCAAAATTCAGCCTCACAATTCCACTTAAATGGAAATATGTCTTAATTTGCAATCAAAAACATGTTTATCTACACGTGTGATGATGATTAATAGCGTTTTTTCCCATTTGTGATTAGGTGGTCATCGTGGGGAACGGTTCCGTCGGGAAATCGTCCATGATCCAACGCTTTTGTCGCGGCATCTTCACCCGGGTAAGAATATTTAGTCGAATTTGTGACGGCAAATGTTCGCATTATCGACTTATTTTAGCAAAGTATGTGTACTATGACATTGGATAAATCATTTATATCCTACAATTATTCAGGATTACAAGAAAACCATCGGCGTGGACTTCCTCGAACGAGTGATGACCATAGATGATCAAAGTGTCAGATTGATGCTGTGGTAAGTCAGTCACTCAACAATCAATTATGTTGATGAAATATATCGAGATTTGTGATTGATGATTGTGAGTACAATAATCGTAATAATTTGACTCTGATGAAATGTGTAGGGACACGGCAGGACAGGAGGAATTTGACGCCATCACACGCACATATTACCGTGAGTAGAAATTTTTCAGTTATACACGCCATAAAATACCCGTTCATGAAATGCTTATATATTTTTTCAGGTGGAGCAAATGCCTGCGTCCTCGCGTGCAGTGTAACGGACAAAGATTCATTTCTTGCCCTTCCAAAGTGGAAAAATAAGGTGGGTCACATGCATTTTTTGTTCAAACGTTATCATATCGAATTATGCGTGCCACGTCCTCCAGACACAAAGCACACCCACTCACAATAATGGCTCCACGCATTTCAACACATATGCACATACGCGAAATGCATAAACATGTCTATGCAAATGAGTATGTATGTGATCCCGCACAGGGTATTCCTCCCGAATGACAGGAACAGGAACAGTTTGACTCATGCAAAACCGACGACGCCGAGTATTAGATTTCAAGATTAGACAATGACCCTTCACTCACCTCTTGGTAAATAATAGAAGAAAAAGAATGGGTGATCCGTTCGCCAACAGAATTTAAATATTCACGCTGCTGCTGCTGTCAATGATGTGGGTGGCAAAACAATGATATTCGTGGTGGACGTGTCCCCCGGCATAGAATTCCTCTTCTTGGCGACTCTCGAAAATAAATCTTAGCCTCAACAACCACCAAGCAACTCAGCACCCACCACTCGACTTTTGCACCAAGTGTTTGATATCAGTTTGGTAATATATTGTCTCTTGGCTGGGGCTGCGTGTAATGAGTGGTTCTCTCTCTCAATCCGCTCTTGGGATCAAACATTTTTTAACGATTTGACATGACATGGACGAAGAAGATCGGTCCTTGTTCTGTTTGTTGTTGTACTTTATGATGTGGAGTCGTCTAATTTGCATTTCAAATTGCCCATCTCATTTGCTCTACAGGTCTCTTCATTCATGCTAACAAACCGTGCAAACAAAGTTAAACGTCTCTCTCGTTAATAACCCTTTGAGGATCGGCATTTACTTACGTGCAAGGGCTGCGCACACATTCATAAATTGCAAATGAACCGTGTTCTCTGCTAGTAGTGCAATCACGAGGTGATAAAACAGAACGACTGCAACGAGGAATTTATGTAGCAATGCAGAGAAAATTAGTACGTCCACAACCCTAAATTAACAAACATGCACACAGAGATCGGTCAGGTCAAGAATATTGCGTATTTATAAAGTAACGGTGTTTATCATGGTGCACAAATTCAGACAACTACCTCGCATGAGCAATAGTACTAAATACTAATGGTTTAATTATAATCATCACTAATAGGATTTTAGAGTGTAAAGTGGAAGTCCTCATTTTTTCCTGGACTGATCACGCACACGAGTTAAAAATATTAGGATAAAAAATATTTTACGAAAATATGATTATGATTTCCTGTATGAAACTCTGGTGATGTGAAATTGTCAAGCATGTCGAAAAAAATTATTAGTCGATTCGATGATCGCCCATAAGTTTCAGGAGGTAAATATATGGTTACAAGTAGTAACTTACACTCTCATCATGTGAGGCGGCATGAAATGTTCACCGTTCGTGAAATCGAAGTCAAACCATATTTTTTGGCATATGCAATAAATTAGCGGAATGAAGTGACAGAAATGAGCCAGTCTCGCCCATAATATTTCCCACGTGCGGTGTTTTTTCACCTTTTTCGAGAAAATCAATTTATTTTGTACCTTGGCACAAAGTGAATCGAGTTAAAATTTAATGTGGCACTCATTAAATTTTATGGTCTTGTCATTTAACTCTTTTCTTCCCACATTATTGAAGTCTTGTTTTTTTTGCCAAGTTTTCATCATTTTGCCAATTCAACCAAACATTGCGATTTGTAAGTAAATGGTTCTATTCTACATGTATTTTTTTCTCCGTCGTTCATTTCTACGTGCGACAGTAGATGTTGCACATTTCTGACACTGCTCCCTGAAATCCTGCATTGTAGTCGAGCGTGACCTCATTTGCCACGTAGTCCTCCCGGTCGTCCACGTAGTTGTCATTCTGATCTGGACCGCCGACCAGAGCTCCATGCAACACTTGCGGGTTGGGCTCAGGTTTCGAAAAGTCGGCCCAATCGCAAGGTGCGGGACGATCACGGCATGACCTGTGCAAAATGGGTACGATTTAGGATAACGCCTTATCATAACTAAATGGTGAATGGACTGACGATGATGCGTGGTGGGGGCGTTGTGGGGGGTTGGTTCCGAAACCTATGACGAAACTGCGCCCACTGTTTCCCAACATGTAGTCGATCTGCTGTTTGCCAAAGTCTCGATAAACTTGCTGATTGATTCCTGCATTGGCGGCTTGGAGGCAGAGGAAGACGACGTTGGAGGCGTGGCGCAGGGAGCCCCACATGCTGATGAAGACGAGGCCTTTGGGAGTTTTGGGGGCAGTGTTGACCACCCAGTTGCAAAAGCTCTCGGCCGCCGTTCGGTATCGTGCCGCTCCGTCGACGCTGGCGAGGAGGACTTGAACATGAGCCTGCTTCCAGTCCCAGCTCGCCTCGCTTGGACGTCCGCTCAGCCCAAAGTCTGACCACCACTGCTCGTAGTCCGCCTTGTACCCCGCCTCACCCGTCGCCCTGTACAGCCAGGACGCTGACCAAGCCAACTCGTCCCCATAGCCGGAATACGAGCTGATAAGAATTATGCACCCATGAGGCAAATTGAGACTAAAGTCATATATTTACTATTGTGACTTCTTACTCGTAAAACTCCTTCACTTCGGGGAAGCTCTCGTTGTAGTGGCCACGGTACGTTGTCGCAAAGGTGTACAATTCTCGGGCATGTTGCAGCAGGGTGTCAGCATACGACGTGTTTCCGTTCTGTCGAAAGGCAATGGAAGCTGCAGCCATTGCAGCGCTTTGCTCACCAGCCACCTCCGACGCTGCATGAAATTGGTGGCTGGTAAATTGGATCGAAATTCATGCAACTGATCGTGATTTGATTTGCGTTTACCTGGTTTGCTAGAGTTGGCCTGGAGGACGGGTCGAGGTCCGTTAGAAGTCGTCCAGTCTTCGGGTCGACCTAGTTAAAAAAAAGAGTCTCAACTTGCCCCTTCGTTACATTAAGTAACCTAAATAATCACCCCAGTAGTTGTGGTCAATTTCTCCATTCCCGACTTGAACGTAGAGCACGTTTGGGGAGGGATGGTTCTAAAGATTACAAATATTAAGTTTCATGTCCACGTGACATTTCAGTATTTCGACATTTGCTAATTAAAAACCTTGATCATATAATCCATCCCCCATTTGAGAGAGGCCAACGCATTTTCCCATTCACCAGCCTTTTTGTACCCTTCCACCGAGTCCACCATCCCCCAAGCCAGCATGGACATTGCGGATGCCAGTGGAAACCCAAACTTGACAAAGTCACCCGCTGTACATGGAATAATAAAGTTTCGCATACAATCAGACCTTGTCGAAAGATGAATGCCTATTGACCACGCACCATCAAAGTATCCACCCGACAGGTCTTCGCCGCTCAATCCTTTGTCATCCAGGAAGGAATCGCCTCGCCACGGGATCCGGTTGTCTGCTGGAAGTCGCCCCGTCCTCTGCGCCTCGTAAAAGAGGAGCGACTTTGAGATGACGGAGGCATAATCGTACTGCAGTTGTCCTTGAGAAAGGACGATGCAGGACAAAACCACCAGAAATAGGCGCAAAGGAGACATGGACAATATTTGTTTATTTAGCCGTTTGCGTAGACAAACCCAAAGAAAGAACGACTGCAAACTCGTGGGTTAAACTTAAAAGTGGTTCTATTTATATTTATTCATCAACGTCCTTAATCTCTCGTGGTACATATCTCTCTCATCCTGCATTAATTCGTCCCCCTCTCGAAATAGGATCATTTGATAACAATATCAAATGTAACGAAACGAAGTGACATGTGCAAAATTGGTGATTATGTAAACGAGATTATGCCGTGTTACAAATAGTAATTTATCTCTAATAGTAATGCTTAATAAGTAAGTGAGTAGTTTGCACTGTCAAAAATTGTTCCACCGCTTTCGCTAACACAAATAATCGATCATTGTCTTTCTCACTTGACCATGCATGCTCACACTGATAATCTTATTTGCAAAATAATGTGCTCGAAGGTGCTTGAAAACAAAGCAGAGTGGATGAAGTTCGTAATCACATAGGAAAAACTTTCATCACAATGGAGCCCAGTTATTTTTATACGTTATTATTAACAGGCCAACCCTATTCTTTACTTTACTTTACTGTTTAAAATATCCTTATAATTTCTAACAGCAAGCAAAACAAACTGAAAAATGAAAATGTGTTGTCGTTCAAACCCAAGAACAATATGAATCGATTAGAGAATTCTTTAACTCAACTTTTTTTAACAAAAGATGATTTTGTCGTTGAAGAGGATGGAACCACTCAATTTCGGACTCACACGTAACGCATGTGCTTATGGATAAGTAGATAATAGTTGTTGGCTTTCTTTTGTCTGGAAATTCTGTACTTTGCCCTCAGAAAATGAAGTATTTTTTGCAAGGTCCAGTGAGGGTCACTCATTCAGTCGGTCGATCGGTCGTTTTAGGCGTTTTGTTCGTACTTTTAATCATATGCTTTCTTCATTGTTGAAAATGAAACAATTTCAATGTCAGCTCGTACTTGTTGTCGTATTCCTTGGTCTCAGAGTTCGAGGTCATTCCTCCTCCTCCTGGCCCCAAATCTTCTCGAGTCCTTGTTCCATCCACTTTCTCGGCCCCGTTGGGGATGAGGACGTTCAGCGTTATTATTATGGCCAACGGAACAACAACCGAGTGGTCGTGGGGCAAATCAACAATATTCCAAACCCCAAAAGTGGCATGACTCCTCCTCCAGCCAGGCGATCTTTCTCCCACCAATGTTCCACCCTCTTGATTGTCCTGCCGAGGGATGCGACTTCTCGGAGGCCCAAATTCTGGGCTAACTTGCTCGACTACATGCAGAGTCCCAAATTCCTCACGGCAAATCCGACCTACATCCTGCTCCAACTCCCGCATTCCTGGTCAGATATGGCCGACTTTGTCCCCAAATTTCTCACCATTCTAAGATTCATACACACAACTTCGAAGTACATTGTCGTTTCGGAGGACGAGGATGCTCCATCCGTGCATATCGTTTGTCTCCATTGCCCTCTTTACTCTCAGCATGGCCCTGGAGTCGAGCTTCTCTTGGACGAATTCGCCACGATTGGAGAGATTCGAAACTCGATTGATTCCATGTGGCGAAATTTGCACTGTCGCTTGAACGGGACGCAAGTGCAAGTACAGCGAGATTTTCTCGTTTTTAATACACAAGGCAACGTCCCAAATTGCGACGATTTGGGGAACTTTGTTGGCGATCCGCGTCTCTGCATTGTGGACCTGTTATCAAAGGTTCTGGAATTCCGGGTGGTGTTCAACCCTGCCGGGAGTGGGTTCGAGAGTGGGTCGGCCCAGTTTGAACGACTGTTGAGGCATCCTCAAGCCCTGGAGGGAACCATTTCTAACGAGATTGATAATTGGCAGTCCACATAGTGCGTAATATTTCTTTGCCTATAATTTCATAACGTGGTCATGTAATGCTACCTTTTACTAATTTGTTTAGTTTGTACTTCACGTATTCTGCGAAGGAACACCAACGAATTGAATACATCGTTCAGGGCTGGATTACAGATCCGCTCAGCTTTGTAGTCATCTTGGACAGATGGGGTGTGGGCAAATCTGCACTTCTCCAACCGTACGATTCTCGGATTTGGACTCTTATCGTTCTCTCCATTCCTGTCGTGAGTCTGGTCCTTGCCGCAAGCATCAGCATTAATCATCTGCCCACTGAAGGGTCAAAAAACGGGTGGAAGTTGTGCTCTGGAAGCTGCTTCCTAGCGGTCCACCTGAGCCTCATGGTCTGGGCCGCCATGGTGGAGCAGAATCCGAAGGAGCGAATGGTCAAAAAAGTGCTCCTCGTCTCGTTCCGAGTCCTATTCGGCATCTGGCTCCTTTCCACTCTCGTCATTAGCAATGCGTACACCGGGACGGTCATCTCTTTCCTCTGCGCCACCATCATGCCCAGCAATCTGCCCCTCAGCTACAAGGCTTTGCTGGACACGTCCCTTCAACTCGTCGGCGTGGACGCTGTCTATGTCCCTCCTTTCAAACGGATGTTGTACTATTCAGAGATTCTCATCGTCCAGTACTTGTTCATGTCGGGGCTCTCTTCTCAAGCTTCAAACCAGTCGTACCTTTACAGACTTCATAATCGGACCAACTATGTGGCCAATTTCAGCGGCAGCAAGCTGGCTTATCTTCTCGAGGAGGGAAGCTCCATACCCGCACATTTCGTCAGATTGGGCATGAATACTAGTTTGACAACCCCTCGGTGGAGTTTGAGCAAAAATTTCGCTTATCTTTCTCGACAATCAGAGACCACTCGGTTCGCAAACCTGATGAGAAAGGCCAGTCCAGACAGTTTGGTTTGGGAGCCAACAGAAAACTCTGAAATTATCTCGATTCAAGGCGAGTTTTTCTTATTTAATACTTGGCGAAAATTTGGTAGGAGGCATTTCATAATTATCGAATATTTGAAATTTCATAATGTGCTTGCTTATGCAGCAACTTTCGCCTCCATTCGCAACTACTTTTCAATTTTTGTCCGAGCCTACATTCACCGGATAGTGGAGGCTGGTCTCCCCATTTTGTGGAAGCAAAAGGAGGAGGAATTCTTTTGTCTTAATGACTGGGAAGAGTTTGAGTGCTGGAAGGAAAAGTGGGGACGGAAAGAAATGGGCGTCAAAAAATGTGTTAACCTCACACCCGAGGTTAAAAGTGGTCACAAAGTGTCCAAACATCATCATGGTCACTCCCACGGGAGTCACCCTAATGAGGACGGTGGTCAGAAGAAGCAGCCTTTGGACTTGACCGTCCTCCTCCCAACCTTTCGCCTCCTCTCCTATGGCATTTACGCCTCCACTTTCTCCCTCCTCGTCGAATTCGTCATGTCGCTGGCTCTGTCGGAGTCGACATGGGGTGGAACTCGGTTCATGAGGTGAGCGCAGGTGAGCAGGAGATGGAAGAACCAAAAATGCAGGTTGTTGATCTGAGCAAAATGCTGCGACGAATCGCACAATATCGGTAATTCAATCAGTTCGAATTCTTCGTCCTCTATGCGTGCACGACACCACCACCACGGACCGAGTGTGTGTGGCGTGGTTGGTAGTGCAAAACGCCACTGCACCGCATCACACGGATGGCTGATTTGCATTCGACGAGGGTAATGAAGCATAGCCTGGATTCAATCAAACTTGTCGTCGTCACCTCCGAGAGGGAGATGGGCATAAAATTCTTGTTACACAACAACTCCTATACAAAAGCGTCTTATTCGTCGTCGAGTAGTGGCAATCAACTTGCATTGTCTTCCATAAGTGGTGCATTGTTGAAAATCATGATCAGAAATAATACAGGAAATTGATCGCAACACATATGTGTGAGGTTTCTTGGCCATAATAATAATTATAACAACCCAAGAAACGCTCATCGAGGCAAATGAACCATGGGTTTTATAATTAAGGTCTTCTGGCATGACATGCAAAGGTATAATTAAAAACAAGAGTGCGGTGATGTCAATAAATCTTGGTCGCGCAGCGTGTGGTGGACGATTTTAAATTGATTTAGCATGTGGCGAGAAGAGATTGTTAACTAATTCCGTGCTATGATTTGTGTTGCAGGTTTGTCGGGAATGCGGTGACATTCCGATGGTTCTCGTTGCCAATAAAATTGACCTGCACAAACAGGCCGTTGTCGATAGGTAAGAAAGACACGGATAATACGTATAGGCTGACACGTCTCAACTTTTACCTTTATTTATTCACTGGGTTTTCGTTTTGGTCCGTTTTTGTAGTGGTGATCTTGAAGGGATGGCGAGAACGCTTGGAATTCCCAAGTTGTTCCGAACCTCTGTCAAGGACGACGTAAATGTAAACGCCGTGTTCACCTTCCTCTCTTCCGTCTACCTCCAAACGGCCATGGCTCCTTCTCCCGTTCCGCCAGAGGAAGACCCCTCCGACAACCTCCACTCGACCAACGACGCCCTCGCCCTCGTCCCCCAACTCTCCCCACCCACGAGAAAACCCTTCTTCAGCTTCAACCGATCCAACACGAATAACAACAACAACAAGATGGCCAAGCTCAACCAGGTCAACGCCGCCTCCGCCGCCGGAGGTGGTGGCCTCATCCTGCACAGTAGTAGTAATAACAAAAAGAAGGGTGGTGGACTTATCGACCGTGATCGTGTCCTCAAAAATCCCGTCATTCTCACCTCTGCCACCACACCAGTCGGAGTCTCCAACAACAAGATGAGCTTCTTCTCCTCCTCCAAAAAGGGAGTCACGCAACCCGCAGTATCACAACAGCAACAGCCGCAGCCGCAACTGGTAGTAGGTCCTCCGCAGAGGGGAGGAGGGTACGCTATTCTCGGAGGCCATGGGAAAGGTCACGGCTTCATGCTTGACCCCCACCACCCTTCTGGCTACTACCGAAGTGGGGGACAGCAACAACACCCACACCGAACTTATCACTATGCTGCAATTGACCCTACTAGTCGTGGTACTCGTGGAGGAGGAGGAGGCTGGACTGACCCCAACGTTCCATTCAGGTTGGACTTGATGGGAGGAAAGAAGCGGCGACACAGGGAGAGCAGTGGTTGTTCCATCCTCTAATAAACTACCTCCTCGACCCCGTCTTGAAAAAAAACAAGGATCGATTTTGTATCTGTCTGCACTGAATCCATCTTTATATAAAACTAAATTATTGTTACGTATCATGATGTATTATATGAATGAATTATCGCCAATTAAATAAATATTTTATATGTACACACAATTTGAATTTATTCGACTCAAGATGACAAGTATAACTTGGAGGCGTCGGAGCGTTGCTCCATCCAAGTCGTCGAATGGGGAAGGATGAGATGATCAAGCAGCGGGAGGACATCGGATGGACATCAACATCTGCAAATTGCAAACCACAGTTCATGATTCATATTATTGTCTTTTTGTTTTCGAATCCAAAGCAGTAAAATTTTGGAGATTTGTTTTGCTATTCATGGTAGCATCAGTAGCATGTGGGTTAAGTTATTTTGTGGCTTAGTGGCCGTAGTCGCCATCATTTTGGGAGTGGCCGTCGAATGGCTGAGTGTGGGATGTCACCGTGGGATTCAGTCACCACACCAATTCCTTGCGACGAAAACGCCATATCTGCACCCAGCCCAGTTACGCCATCACGCAAGTCATGGTAAGGCTACAAATCCTAACTCATCTTGGCATATGTTTTATTATGTATTTAATTATATTCGTAATTGTTCCGGTGTTTATCTATCTGTTGAACAGATAGCTGCACACCGATACAAATATGGATGGTTGTGCGTCATGGGACTAGAAATCCAAGTGCAAAAGTCATTCGCAAAATTATAAATCTTCTTCCTAACGTCCGGGACCAAATCGTCAAGGCTCACGAAAATGGAGTGGGTTAGTAAATGGAAATATTCATGCCTACATATAACTCTCTTACTTCAAATGATTTTTAATTAAATTTATTTCCAGGTACCTTGTGTCCTTCTGACTTGGACGCTTTAAAGAAATGGTCTCCACCTCCCTCGCTGACAGAGTCTAATGAAAAAATTTTGGTTGAACAAGGTCGCGAAGAGCTGCGAGGAATTGGGCGTAGATTCAAGGACAGATTTCAAAATTTACTGGGGAAAAAGTATGACAATAGCACTTACAAGGTATTATGATAAATGCTCACAATACGTGTATTAGTCACATACCGTCCTTATCAATAAAAACTGCACACCTTTCTGATTGAATTTTCAGTTCAAATTCACAAAGACTGAAAGAGCGGCTGCAAGTTGTAAATATTTTGTAGAACAAGTCGTTGGCGAAGAAGATGCTCCATCCGTCTGGTATCCAGAGGCTTTAGCAGCGGATCCAATTTTAAGGGTATGTGAAATTCCATATTAACAACGAATATCAACGAATATTAATGCATATTAACTCGTTTTTATCACACGTAGTTCTATAAAGGTTGTCCAAAATGGAAGAAAACCGTCGACAAGAATCCTGAAGCGTACAATGAACGAAAAAAGTTTGAGACGTCTCAAATATTCGAATCTGTTCGGAGGAATGTTCAAACCAGGACAGGCTCGGCTGACCCCGTTCCATTGGAGGCGATCGAAGGAATGTATATGACTTGTGCTTTTGAAACGGCCTGGACCCCAGCTACCTCGTCCCCTTGGTGCGCCCTCTTTGATGTAGACGACTTGGAAAAAATGCAGTATCGTCAGGATTTAGAATACTATTGGATAGATGGATATGGATTCGAGTTGACATACAAACAAGCATGCCCTGCAGTCAAGGACATGGTGGAGCATTTCAAGTAAAATTGTCCCACTTGTGGAAATACAATGTTTATAAATAATATATGAAATAATACTTATTAATTTTTTGTACAGGTCTAAAACTGAGTCTCCTAATGAAGGGCCTTCTCTTATCGCGTATTTCACTCATAGTGGAACCTTACTCAAATTAATTAGTCGCCTGGGATTGTTCAACGACTCCACGCCCCTGCTCCACGACAACTATCACTTGCATACAACAAGACAATGGAGGACGAATGAAATTGACAAGTTTGCAACCAACATTGCTGCAGTTCTCTACAAGTAAATGGATATTCAGTTTAATCGAATACATATTTTAGATAGTTTTACTACGACCACTGAATTTGAACTTCAACTTGTGCATATTTTTTTGTCTAGATGTCCAACAGATAACTTCAAAGTGGGGCTGCTTTTTCAAGAGCTACCAGTTTCTATACCCGAATGTGGCGATGATCTCTGTCCGTTGGATAAATTCTTGTCCATTTACCACTCCGTTCTAAATGACTGTGATATACCCCAAATGTGTCAACTTTAATAATAGTTGATGAACAATTTGCGACTAAATAGCCAAATTAGTACTAGTAAACTGTTTATTTTATTAAAATTATTACCGGGAATAATTGATAATAATTTTACACCAATATGAAGTAATTTCTCTCAACCTGTATATGTCATGTAGAGTCGTGACTTGTAGGTTGGTGTTTCTCCACTGCGTAACGTGGATGTCAATAATAATTTCTAGTGCTGGCTCCACTTAATTGACTTGAGGTCAATTCCTTCCTGCACCATTTCCCACAAAGGACTGAAAATAATACATCGTGGTTAAGAATCTTACCATCATTTCCATAATACACAGATGCAGATACCTCATCTCTCTCAGAGTATCCACCACCTTGATGCACTTGTCTGCCGTGTAGTCGACTTCCTCTTCGGTGGTGAAGCGACCGATTCCAAAGCGAATGGATGAGTGAGCCAGGTCCTCATCCGCACCAATAGCCCTGAGCACGTCTAGAAATAACGAATACGATAAATTATAAATACAATAAATACTAAATAAGTAAATAATTATACGATATAAATTGTTATTAATTTTTTGCAGTAAATATATTCATAGTATTAATCCAAAACGTAGACGTACATGAAGGTTCTAGTGATGCTGACGTGCAAGCAGAGCCGCTGGACAATGCAATATCCTTCAGGGCCATCAAAAGACTTTCTCCCTCAATGTAGGCGAAGGAGAGGTTGACACATCCCGGGTAACACTCTTTCTCATCCCCGTTTCGAATAACTTTTGTCAGTGACCCGTTGATTTTGTCGAGGAAGCGTTGGCTCAGCCTTTCCACACGCTTCAAGTCATACTACAGGAAGAAGGAACAAAGGAAACACTTAAATATGTACCGAATATTCAAACTAATTAAGAAATCACGTAAGAATAATTACAGCCATCTCATCCATGGCTACTCGACACGCAGCACCAATTCCTACGACCAGTGGAGTGGGGACGGTTCCACTCCGAATTCCTCGTTCTTGTCCACCTCCACTGAAAATTGGTTCCAGTCTGACACGTGGTCGTCGTCTCGTGTACAGGGCCCCGACTCCCTTCGGACCATAGATCTTGTGCCCACTGATGGACATGAGGTCAATATTCATAGCGTTCACGTCCATTGGAATTTTTCCAATGGACTGGGCTGCATCAGTGTGAAAGAACACCTTTCTCTCGCGACATATTTCACCTAATACGTCGTTCAGTTAAGTAAAAATAAATTTCTTGCGGAAGAAATACAATGTTACGTCAAGAAATCAGTACCAATTTTTTGGATCGGCTGTTTCACTCCGATTTCATTATTGACAGCCATGATGGAAACGAGACTAGTTTCAGGGGTAATCGTGTTCTTTAACAAATCGAGGTCAATAATTCCATTCTGTTTCACTGGAAGATAGGTCACTTTGAATCCCTCAGACTCTAACGCTCGGCAGGAGTCCAATACGCACTTGTGTTCCTGTCAAAACTATTAAATTAAATCGACAGCCAAATCTCAAAGCCCTCAACGTATCTGTTCGTTCCGTAACATACCGTTTGTGTCGTGATTACATGCTTCTTTTTACTCTTGTAGAATCGTGCCACACCTTTGATGGCAATGTTGTTAGACTCTGTTGCTCCCGATGTGAAAACGATTTCCTTGGGATCTGCACCAATCAACTGTGCGACAGCCTGTAGGCGAAAAGAAATAATAGTTTGTTAAAGATAAATTGCTTACTTTAATTGACGTACCAATAATTGCATTGCATACCTCTCTTGCGGCCTCCACAGCCGTCTCGCTTTCCCAGCCGTAAGCATGTGTTCTTGAGTGTGGATTTCCATACAAGGCCGTCATATAGGGTAGCATCGCGTCAAGTACTCTACGATATACATTAAAATAAGCACGAATACTTACAAATAAATATAATTGCGGCACAAAAACAAACCTGGGATCCATGCTCGTCGTTGCTTGCGCATCCAGGTACAGTGGTCTTCCTTCTCGCCCATCCACAGTTATTGAGACGCCCCCTGACGAATACAAATTTTTATTAATTAGTCAAATGTCTATTAACAATTATGATTATATTATGAGTCGTAATTTATGACGCTTACTGAAAGATTCTTCTCTCCGATAGCTCTCGACACTGCCAGCAGGCAGAGTGAAGAGTGACCTTAGCGCAGAATTGATGCATGTTTGTGGCTGAGACAAGGTCACAATTTTCGCCCCCGCGGTACGACGCAGTATCCCTTTCAACGCTCTCTGACACGCTGCCATAATGTTTCTAATTTATACAGATCTAAGAATGGTCAGTATGTCAAGCCGTTGGTCACTGGGCCGTAAATATGCGAGTAAGAAAATATTTAAGATGAATTATGTAATTTGATATTTATTTTTTTAGTATACTATGTGTTTGTTTGTAATGTCCAGTCATGCTACTAAAAATATGAGGTTTACGATTAGAACGTGATCTCAGTTTTGCCGCAGTAGTCAATTCAATCCAGATTGCGGCAAAACTGAGATTATTCTGCAGCTCACGGCAAAATTGATCGCCGACTTAATTTAATTAATTTGTAATTGTGAATTGACCGTATAATTATTGTGGGTCGGTTAGTTTGTTTTCGCCAATGGCTCAGCGACAACATAGACCTTCCGCACTGAGCTTAATTAGAACAGAAAGTACAACTTGGGTCTTTTAGGCCTTGGACGTGTGTCAATTGGAGAAACATGGCATCGTGCCAGAGAATATTGAAAGGGATACTGCATCGTCCTGCGGGGGTCAAGACCTTGGCATGCATCAATTCAGCGTTAAGGTCTCTCTTCACTCTGCCTGGCTGTGTTGACCACTCTCGGTATTTCAGTAAGCGGTCAATCCTTCTTAATTCTTAATGTGGGATAGGTCACACACCAAACCTATTCCAGGTCAAGATTTGTCCCGTGTGACCTGGACTAATCAGTGTTAAATAAATCCAATTACTTCATTTCGTTCTTTTTCTTCCTCCGTAGACATCTCAATAACTACGGATGGACTACAAGGAGGACATTTTGATCGCCAACAGTCTATCACGACACAAACGGTGAGTGACCACGTATTACTGAGGACTTTGGCATTTATCTGTCGGTGTGTGCAGGAGTTTGATTTAACCAATTTAACAGGAACACAAGCGTGTATTGAACTCTTCTCGAGTGTTAGATTCCGAAAAGTTCAAGATGACTTTCCTTCCGGTGAAGCAGAATGGAATTATTGATCTCCTGTTCCTGAAAACTCCTGAAATCCTGGACCCCGTTGTGAATCGAGTCCCTCTCGGATCCCCCACTTCTGGTGGTAAAGAATACATCATTCCTGGTGCCAATAACCCTGGAAAAACACTAGATGACCCAATCCCCTCCATGCGTATCCCATCTCCCATTCAGGAAGCTCCGAATCACGCCCCGAGACTAGAGAAACATGCTGCACGTCTAATCGTCATCCGGTTAGTACAGAATTTCACATTCAAGTTTAATTGACATCGTATGGCATTCTAGATATCCAACACATAGATTAAAAGAGTTAAAAAAGCATGGTGTTCATTTTTATGTTACATGGTTTCGATTATTTATAAACACTACAATTTCTAGACGGACCAAGATGAACAAACATAAATTGCGCAAGTTGAGGAAAAAGATGCACTACAAGTGGTCCAGGATCAAGGACCGAAGGTACATTCGCAAGGAGAAGGCTTATCTTGACCAAAAACTCGCCTTAATTCATGCTGCAATGAAGTTTGACGCGAAAGACTATGTGGCCGAAGTGATCAGAAAGGCCAAAGAGGAACCACTCCCACGAAAGTGGACAGATCCCCTCATGCCCGATTGGTATCGAGAACAAGAAATGGCCAAGGAAGCTCGACTCAAGCGGTTTCAAAAGGTAGTTAATATGTATATTAATAAAGACATCAAAATCAAGGTTGAGTAAATATATATATGTAAATGAGTCAAGAATAGTCAACTTGTTCCAATAATTCTTCTATGGTTTGAATAAATAAATAGTATGTCATCGGCTTTCAATTTTTAACGTCATTTTATTGTTACATAAAACACAGAGTACAAAAGATTGTCGTCGAGATTCTTTCACTAAGACAAGTATTACAACATTATTATGTACTTATGGACAAATTTTAATTAATTGCATTTCTTTGGCAGTTAGTAATAAAAGTATCTTGAGTTTTAGTCAAGTCTAGGAAGCGAGCATGGCCGTCGATTACAAAGACAACAGTAACAATGATTTAAAACAGAAGGCCTTTTAACAATAATTTAATTCAGTAAACACGCACAAACGCAAAAGTCACTCAGACAAAAGCGCTGATTATATTATATTAGCGAGATTTGTTTAAATAGTACTACATTTATACGTAGGTAGTAGTACTTGTAGCAGTACTAGCACTAGGAGTTCTAGTTTGTGTATATCAATCATTTAGTCTGAATCAGAGTCAGCCCTCCTTTCCGGGGGCGCTCCAAATTTCGCAGCAATTGACTCAGTCATGGATCTCAGGTTGGAAAGATGCGTATCCGAAAATTCGTACTCGGAGTCCTCAAACATTGAAACGGTGTTGAGTGAGTCCATTGAAACTAAAGCGTCAGAGTCGAAGAGACGAGAGGATGCTCGTGAAGAAATGCTGACGTCGTCGTCACCAGCATACACAGAGTTTACGTCGCTCATCGCTCCTGAAAAAGAGTGCAAGGCATTCATATCATAAGTATGCATCGTTAATTTGGGTGCGACAAGTAGTAAACAAACCTTCACAGTCCGTGAGACCATTTTCGTTCGTGACCTAGTTGTGCAAAAACAATAGGGATTCATATTGAATAAATGCACTAATTAGGATTGTCTCACCGAAATGTTATCCAACGCAGGATCGTCAGTTACATAGCCGGTGGATTCTTGATCATCATCCACGTCGCCGTGTTCGCTATCCTCATCACTCCATTCAGATTGACTTACTTCGTCCCCTACTGCAGAAATCATGACCAATTTATAACTTTAGGAACATCAACACATACCAAATTAATTTTATGAGAGTAATCAAAAGGACAAACCAGGTTTTCCTAGAATTCGCTTCTCCTCTTCCTCAAACTTGCGGATTTCTTCTTCCTCTCGTTCAGCTTCGTCGTCCTCGTCAGTCTCCACGTTCTCGTACTCGGAGTCTTTACCCGATTTCCTGAAAAGAATAAGTGTTCATATTAAAACATGTATGTGCATGCAAACACGAAGGCAAAGGTTAAAAGTTACAGAGTATGAAAGATATGTTAAGCAGTGTGAAAGCTGTGAATATAAAACAGGCACAAAAACGAGTAATGTACGTAAATCAAGTAGTTAATTACTGGAGTTTTGGAGTTGTTGTTATATAGTTTTTTTCTCTAAATTATACACTTAATTAAATTTGTCTTCACTCAAAAACTTGCCTCGGCCTACGGAACTGAGCAGCATGAGCTTTGGGGACAAGGAGTGGGCTCATTTGGAGAGGAAATCGAAAGCCCAACGGGGTCTTTTCCAACTGCTCCTGCTGCTTCATGGCTTTATGTTGCAGGGCAGCGAGTCCAATTTGCGTCGTTTCACCACCGCTTCTGCCTAATAAACCACTTCCGCCCATGGCTAACAGCGGGAAAGATAAGCCAGAATATGTGGAAGGGCCTCCCCCGCCAAGCTCTCGTCGTTTACTGGGATTTGGACTTCTGCAGGGTCATTTTGTCAACACGCAACGAGACGAACGTAACGGAACGGAACGAAATTGGACAAAATATACATAAAGAATAAACAAAACAATAAACAAATCAGTAAAAAATACATTACTCAAATTGAACAAATATATAATAAATAAATATGTATGACATGTCGCAACATATCTATTGTGTTCTGTCGTGAAAAGCGAGCAATATGTGGCGAAAGAGCTTACCCAAGCTTGCCCATTGCAGACAAAACCTTCTGAACAGAGGCCAACTCGTCCACTTGAGGAAGGTGTTGTCTTTCCAGCAACTTTTTTATTTCCTTTTCAAAATCAGAAATCCGATTCTGATTTCCTTTCACGTAAGATTTCTCTGTCTGACAACTGGAATCTTTTCTAGCTCCGGTTGAATGAGTACTTGAACCATCGTCACCATTATTGCCTCCACCCGCCCCATTGTTGTTGCTGCCTCCGGAACGCCCAGTTCCATTCTGTCCCTCCGTCGTCCCAGAATTTGTATGAGAAACCATCACTGAACTTGGAGGTGTTTTCCTCTTAGAATTTTTTCTGTGACCAGCATTGCTTCCTTGAGACGAGGTGTGTGAGTGTCCACTTCCCCCACCACCACCTTTATTTGAACTGGAAGATCGTTGAGTTTCAACAGCCGATGTATTGTTTGTGGTGGAGGAGGAGGAGGGAAGAAGGAGCAGACGATCCTCAGACGAAGGTTGTTGATTATGATGTCCTTGCTGATCACTTTTTCCCAGAAACTCGAAACTGGTACAGGAATCGCCCAAATAGTTCGTGGCATTGTGGACAGGAACAGTTCGTGGTTGCTGCTGCTTACTCGACACATTGGCGACACTTCCACTGTCATATAGACCATCGGAAGACGCTGCCGTGGCACAAATCTCTTTGAGTGCAGATAGATTAGGCGCCACAGGGAGAGACTTTTGATGACCAGAAGAAGACGTCTCTTTACTATTTGCACCAACTATTCCAGCTCCTCTGTTGGGATTCATGGGGCTGTGGTCGTCCGGGTGGGAGAGTTCTGAAGGGGACTCGTCAGACGAGGAACTGCCCGAGCTGGGATTTAGAGAGGAGATATCGTCCACGGAGGAGTATGGCACTGGTCCTCCAGAAGCGGATGCTCCCAACAGTGGTGCTCGTGATCGGAGGTGATGCGGACGCGAGGACAGACTCGTTTCAGACATATTTCTTCCTCGCAGGCCTCGACTACTTATTTCCAGTGGACCCAAGTTTCCTGGAGTACGGAAATTTCTCGTTCTGACCGGAATCTAGAGTGAATCAATCACAAGCAAATCATATAAATTGATGTCACCCACCTCTAAGATAATGATGTCAACAAATTCAATTACCTCGCGAGTTGGAGTAACTCGATCACTGTGTGTTCTTTTAACTGGAGATGTTCTCCTATTATCGGACGGATACACTTTGACCATTCTTGGCCATGCCATTTCACCCTCGAGATTTCTTGGAGGAGGTGGCGGTGGTGGAAGAAGAGGTTCGCATTCAGCTGGCATATTGATAGCACGGTGACCTACACTGCTTCCACTGCTGTTGTTTGGATTTCGGGGTGGAACTGCGGGCGGTGGTCCACTATTGGACAGTTGTTGTTGCTGGAGGTAGGCAAGTGGGGTTGCAATCCCACCAAAGGCATTTGTTCGACTCAGATTACTTGGTGTTGGATGCACCTCATCGATACGCATTGTGGTTGACTGTTTTCGATCAAGCAAAAAATACGTTGTCATTTCGCCCTTCCCCTTTACATTTATTTTTCCGCGGCACTGAAACTCGTATGGACAGTGGCGCAGAACTTGGTATACATCTTCCGTGATCTATATACACGCACATTAACTCATTAGATCAATTTTATTTTTTGAACTGCAAATATAATTAATTATAATCTTACATGAATTTTTCCATTCTTCCCATGACTCTCCAGCCTGGACGCTACATTGACTGTATCCCCCCAGATGTCGAACTGTGGCATACGGGCACCAATTACACCCGCTGTGACTGAACCCACTGATTTAAGGTAGAAATACAATTGGTACACATTAGCACATTATACTTTTCCTTAATTTTTTGTAGCAGGGCTTTGTGTTACATAATACCAATAACTATAAATAAGTAGATCTCACTCACCATTTAGACCGACTCTGAGGATAAAATTGTTGTATGAATTTTCGTTGATTGTGACGAGGCGCTCCATCATGGCAAACACAAATTCGACCAGTGTAGAAACATAAAGAGGTTCGTTTGACTCATCAATACAATGATCTGGAGTTAGCCCCACAGCTGCCATGTACGTGGACCCGATCGTCTTGATTTTATCTATCGATCGAAACCTGTCTTCATCCAGCAACTGTTTAAATGAAAAATAAATTTTCATGTCCACTTGAATGTAAATTAATTATTTAAATTGTTGCGAGGTTCAATTACCTCATCAATATCTGCAATGATCTCGTTGAGCAGCCGGAGACACTCGATCCCTTGATGCGATCCGTCTGACTCTGTGTAAAACTCATGAAAATTTGGGATGCTGGCGAATACCACGCCAACTTTGTTGTAACTTTGATGGTACAAATCCACATTGCACTTTGCCGTGAGAAAGTACATTGCCACATGACTGGGAAGAATGTTGAACAATATTTTTCGATTGGATTGTTGCAATGCTTCCATTTCTTGACGCTCTGAGTGAGCCTGCAAATTAAGTTTTAAAAATTAAACTATCAAATTGGATTATATTATTAATAAATATCTGTTGACGCACCTGCCATTGCCACAAAAAGTCTAATCGTGCCATCCATTCGTGTTGGAAGGCTGCAGCCAAAACGGTGAACAGAAAGAGCCAGATCTGTACGAGTGCTATCACCTAAAATAATATTTTTAAAACTCGACTATAATTTTGCACATTATATAAAATTGCGTATACGTACTATTTTCAATTCTGAAGACATACATACCTTTGAACTTGAAGGACCCACCGAGTCCGTGCGAACATCGAAGCAGTCAAATATTGCTGAATGAGTAATCAGTATCATGAAAGAGTATAAAGATCCAAAAATGAGCAAAAGAGCTGTTTTGAGTGTGACGGGAAGTCGAAGGAATAAGCAGATCGAGACGAACGACAACACGCAAGAAAATGTGATGTAGTGGGGGAGGGGACACCTACAGAAAAACCTTACTTGTAAATATCTACATCATGTAAAAATATGCACACTTTTATTGCGTACCATCTGTGTTCCCCAATCAGTTTTTCTGGAGCGAATGCCGCTCTGGATACATTGTCGTTGTCCACTTTCCCTCCGCAATATTCATCAGTGCGGCATGTAAACTGTGGAATTTATACAACAATATTCACTTATTTCTCATCAATGATAAGAAGACTCTGACGATGGACCTACCACATTGACTTGTCCTACAGCATAGACGAGCAGAACGGAGAATACGGAGATTCCAATTCTGAGCATGGGCGAGAGTGAAAAGTCGCACATGATAAGTTTCAACCTATTCGCGAGAAGAAGCATGAGAACGACAGCAATGAAGGCAAAACTGGTGAGGAAGAGTAGCAAAAGTATAAAAGTTCTGGGAAGAACGACGGCTTGAATGACGCCAACGCCTACGAGGATCAAAAGTAGGAGTGCTAGGCCAGAAGGAAAGGCATGGTCCGGTTCTGAGTGGTAAAGTTGTTCCATATTTCTATCCTTGAAGCATAGCGTCACTTTGTGAACATGTTCCTTCTTCTCACGGTCGATACTTCTTGCCAAAATCTGTGGTATTAACACAGCAAACCAATAAGTAAATCTCAAAATAAATCCTACCTCCCTGGAGGAGATCCATAAATTATTTCTCGCTAAAATCGCGATTTTCTAGACCCCCCATCCCCTCCCCCCCTTTAACATGTATCACATAGGCACGATATCATTGGAGCCTTGAACCCCCCTCCCCCCTCTCGCGTGACATAATTTATGGATCGGCATTTTATATATTACGATATTTTAATTAAACTCACTGAACATCGTGTGATGAATACAGTTAACCACTGATAAAAGCCCGACTTTTATCCTGACAATTTTTATTACATTGATAAAAAGTTATATACATGCAATAAAAATCGCCCGGATGAAAGTCAAGCCTAAGCCTAACTGTCAATCAATCATAAATAATGAAATAACTCACAGCTTGACCAAGATGCTTATTGGTCCGATTTGTCGTTTGGTGAAGAATTGAGGCGTGCCGTTTCTTAAATGGCCTTTTGAATCGTTCAGTCACGCTTGCCTTCCTCTGATGTGGCAACGTTTTTGCTCCCGGTTCTAAAAAAATAACAACTCTCATCGGTAATTTGTTTACATTGCTATCACGAAAACTTCTTCATTGACCACAAACCTGGTGGTTGAGAAGCAATATTTGCGAATGGAACTTCGACCGAATATTTGATGGAATGAAGAAGTTGGATGACCACATTTGACACATTTTTAAAGGAAAGTTTTCTACGCTGCGAGTGCATTTTGAGCGTGTTGAACAAGAGCAGTTTTCTTCGTCGTTGTGGTGGAACTATGAAATAGGAAGTGATGCTGTTTTCTCTTAATGTGCTGTGCCGACAGTTCCCAGGTTCCACTTGATATTCACCACCAAGACAGTTTAGCGTAGCTTGACTGACATGTACTCGACCGGGCTCCTACAGTTTTTATGGGCAACACAAATTTATAAAATTCAACTTGTATGGTTAATAGTACTAAGGAAAAACAATTCTGCTTACGCCTGTGCTTTCTAGCAAATTTGCGATTGTACTATCATTCGACCTACGTAGTAATTAACCTATATTTATTGACACCTGAATAAAGGAAAACAAACAAACAAACAAACAAACCAGACGTCAAACTGCCAGCGCCTGAGTCCAAGAACGCCGCATAGAACTCGACCCGAGTGAATTCCTTGAGTTATCAACAATTGTTCAAGTCTTGTATTTTAGAATTAAGATGAGAATGTAATTTAATGGTCATACCGACGCGCATATTGAGCTGGAACTCGGTGGCTTCTCGTACGGCAGAAATTGCATCAATCTACAATACGGATGAATAAAAATAGCATCAGGCACGATAGTTTTTAAGTTGTGCACCCTAAAATTATTTATTGTTTTCATTTTACCATGTCGAGCCCCATTTCCACAGCACAACGAGCATGGTCGGTCCTAGGATCAGGGAGCTGCATAGACAAATTATTAGTAGATGGCCAGTTAATACGGCAATTATTCGACGCTTACCCCTGCCACGGCGTAGTAACAATCGCCAAGAATTTTAATCCGAAGACAGTTATTTTCCTGCATAATAAAATAAATTGGCAATGTTGTGATAGTAGAAATACACTTATATTCAATATTTGTATAAATGCATACCTGACTTAATTGATCAAATTTTCCAAAAAGTTCATTCAACAGCCTGACAAGTTGATGAGGAGAAACATGAGAGGCCAACGTCGTGAATCCGACAATGTCAGCGAACACAATCGACACATTTTCATGACGCTGAATGTAAATTTTGTGAAACTGTCTAGCCACGGGAGGCACCAAAAAGCCACGGTCTTTTTGGAGATCCAATTTCATTTCGTGAGCCACATGTCCAGGCAATACGGACAATAGGAGCCGTTCTAACAAAAATCGATAGACAAAATGCATTGTTCAACTCAATATTCCATTTGTAGAAAATTAAGTGGGCATAACAATTACCGAGCTTATCGTTCTCATCGTGTGCATCCAATCTGGCTTGGATGGATTGTCTCGTGTCTAGAAATGCTTTCCTACATGCACCTTCTGCTCGTCGACGTATCCAAAATCCACTAATCCCAATCACCATCCAGAGCACAACGTTGGAAATCAACTCTGATACTGTGAGGAATCGAAAAAGGTCACAAAAAAGTACTGCCGTCGCGATATGTCCCGAGACTAGGAAGACCTGGAAATACCAAATTATTACTTTTCATCTGCTAGGAATAAGCAACTTACTTGAAATAAAACGCAAAATAAAACCAACCATGAGCAGAGCTGCCAACCACAAGGGTACTTCTAGGGAGACAAAGGCTATGAACAGCACGTACGAGATGGCCCACGCTCCTTCAGCAGCGACTATGTTAACAAATTACTCTTGTCATACCGATAAAAGGCTTCATCTTTATCAATAATTATAAAGTGAAAAACTAACCAGCTGGGGGCCCTGCACCAGCACCGTGTACTGCAAAACATAAAAAAACATCATCACATATCCGGAAAGGCAAAAGTTATGGACAGTAAAGAAAGTAAACTACTAGAAACCTTTATAGAAATGACCGACTTTTGACCTTTAATTAGTTTGTGTTACCTGCTCGATGTGGTAGTGGAACCGGGGCCCAGACGAGGACAAACAATATGGAACACATTACCCAGGCGGACGTCAGCATCCATCCCCGCCCGTAAAATTTTTCTAGGAGCCAGAGAGCTGTGAGGGAAACAAAAATGAGGGCCAACACCATCATCTCCACGGACAGATTGAACAATGTGGCGAAAATGGCGTTTCCCAGAGCAAATATGAGGAAGGTGGATCGATTCTGAACCTTGGAGCAATATTGTTGGAACAGCGCTTCCAGCTCTGAGACAAGGTAAATATAGACCCGTAAGTTAAATAATTACCATAAATTACTGTACATATTATTGAATATTCATTACCCAAGTTCTCAAAGCGCTCGCTCCATCGGTTTCCACGCTCAATCTTCTTAACTTGATGGTCCATTTTTCTGAGAGGGGTGGGGGACCCTGGAAAGTTCAACTAACCAGCAGGGAAACTACTAGTGTTGTCAGATAATATTGTCACTACTTTTCCGTTGTTCTTCTCGTCATGTCGTCGTCTTCGTCAACTCTCAGCACTACGTGCCATCATCATCAAACATCTTACTCTAGAAATACCTTGTCGTCTTTAATTTGACAGCAAGAAAACATGTTCTTTGAGATCTAAATCAGTAAGCAAAATGTGGATTAGGTTGAGTAACAATATAATATCATATTATCGTTTTTGTACTTGACTTACAGTCAGGAAAAATATTAATCACTTTTAATCAGTGAACGACTAATGGTTAGCCCTAATTTGTCCCTTTGTCCAGTTTAATTTCTGCTGATTCCTGCTAATTGCAAATTGATATGGTCTCGTTGGTCTTGGTTTTGTAGGTGTGCCGTTCTTGATTTAATGTCCTTGTTTAACTGATCATTGCATAAAAGTGCAATGTTCTCGGGTTCTCACGCGTGTGTAGAGTATTAAATCTCACCCTTTGGAGCCTCGTCCGCTATTAAAATTGACCAAAACAAAACAATAACAAGGGAAGAATGATAATATTGTGTGAGACTAGGAAAAAAATCGGATTTTAACTGGTGACAGGTTGATAAAAGGTGGCGACTCTGCCTCAATTTCTCAACCCAACCAAGAATCTGTCTCAATTTCTTACTATTCTTACATGAAGATGAAGCCCAATCTCAACAATCTCACCTCACGTCCTTCCTTCCTTCAGCAGTTCTGCTATTCAAATCCAATGCCACCCATGAAATTACTGTAATCGAAGTAGCTCAAAAGAACAAATCTGTATTAGGTGCAGAGGTACAATGACAACATTTTGCAAAAATGGCGTGGTGTTGTTGTGATGTATAATTCTTCACTATAATTAGGTGCCATTTCCGGAAGCAAACAATCTTGTTGTGAAATTCCACGAGAGCACTATGATAATATTGGCAAATCTCTTGTGTATATTTGGATTTATTATTATGCAGATAACAATTAGTCATCCTCACATAGACAATAATTCTTGACAATTTTAGTACAAAGTACAAAATCTATGGAATGCATGTACATAAATATCGAAATATAGGTGTACACTAATCACTCATTCATCCGCGTAACTAAATGACGTTAAGAGCAGCCGCTTCTTGAAACAAGTCTTTCAACCTCTGATGTGCAATGGGACTCCTCGTGGTCATCGCCCGAATGGAACTTTTATCCCCGAGAGCACCTTCTTCGCCCCCAACCTCCGAGCTCTTATTACCGTTTTTATTTTCTTCCTCCCACTCGGCCTCCACACCAACCATGTCTCCCAACTGAAGTGGAACGGCAAAAGTCATGTGAATCAGGGCGGCCACATGACACGCTCGAAACTCGTCCAGGAGAAAACCCAAACTGAAGTCAACCGGAAGTGGACATGTTAGAGACTTAAGAGTCGTGGAAAATGCATCATAGTACCGCCCGAGCAATGGGTGGAGGTGTACTCGTCTAAATTCCGGGGTGGTGCTGGTGTAGACGAGGTAGGTCAAGTCAGAAAATATATTTCCAACCTGGGCCAACTGGAAATCTATAAACTTGACGGCTTCCGGCACAATTCCAGTGGTGGATTCATACTTGAGCAGTAAGTTATTTGTCCATAAATCGGAATGGATTATCGTTTCGAAATAAGCAGGATTCTTGGTTGCATTCTTCCGTATTTTCCATGCGTCTTCTGGTAGAATTTTACCAATTCTTGCAGCCAGTTCAGGTAAGTCGGACGAAACGAGATCGGCTGCCACTTCAAAGTAGAGCTGGATAAGACCATCGTACATATCTTTGCCATCCTCGTCGGGTGGGAAGAGACCTTTCGTGAGTAAATTAAGGTCAGCGTTCGTGTCCAGTATTTGAGCCCCTTCATGTCTCAAAAAGGCATATCCCGTCGCATGAAACTTTGCCAGCTCTTCCACGATGATGGTCATTTCTGGAAATGTCAGACTACGACGCTTGTCAACCATTTTGAACCCGTCTGGCCTTACGTCTTCCAAAACGAGGTAGTCACTCTTGTCGTCGTTGAACCCTTTGAAGAAGATAGGCAGTGGGGACTTGTAGACGTGGTTACGAGACGAGGCGAAGGCTTGCATTGCTGGAACAACGGTGCGGTATACGGCATGCTCCTTGCGAAAAATTTGTCCCTGGATGATCCAGTCAGGTGGGTTGGCTGGAATTTGTTTGTAGATTAAGTGAACTTCATCCTTCTTCTCTTTGGGCAAGGAGGGGGTGGCCAGTTTTGCTTTAATTGCCGTGACGCTTCCAGCCATGTTATCCCCAGCGGCACAAGCACTCTCGGTTTTCCATGAAGTGACACGAGAGCCGACCAGAAACTCAATGAAGGATTTGTTCGTCAGGTCAAATGAGCTAAACTCAGTCGGGACTTGCATCTGAAAAAAAACTAATATTAAATCTAATAGTCAATACAATCCCCTAATCTAATAGTTAATACACTATGCAAAAAAATCTATACTTGCGTTAAATACCCATACTTTTAAATTTTATTGGAATATATGTCTCCAAAATTGCACGTTTTCCACTTTCCCGATAATTTTACTCCACAAGTATCCACCATGTGCGAAAAGACCTTGAAACTGTCAAAAAATCCGGGTTTTTGTAAGGACTTGGTGCTCATCCGTGCTCATTCACTTGCAAAATGCACGCAATCAGAATCCGTCGACGTCATGTCATGCACAATGTTACTTGGTATGCACTCATTCTCTTGCATTTACTTATTCCACTCTACAGAAAGTGGTAGTGGTGCATGGATGGAAAATATGAGAAGAAATTGATCAAACTGGACTCTGTACTTAAATACGAGTTTTTTTGTTAACCAAATGTTTACACGGACTCAAAAAAATAACTCACATGATCAAAAGTGGACATAAAGATTACGGTTTTATTATGTACCAACTTTTCTAATCTAATCATCATGTCACTTTTCATATGGAAATCTGAAAAATATTTATTTAGACGCTATTTTTTTAACGCGAGCAAGGCGTTTGATAGAAATTGGAACTTTTAGCGATCCACCCTTCATTTTGGGTAGAACGTCCTCGTCCAAGGGCTCAATTATGGCTCCGAGACGTGTGATTACTCTGGGCGCAACCAAATCCTTCGTGGCCTGTTCCGGAAGCCAAGTTCGACCTACGGGTGCTCGGATGGTCTTCTCGTAATCCTTGACACGTTTGAAAGGAAATGGCAGCTCCCGAACCAAATGCTCCTTCACCTTCTCCCCAACCTCTTCGTTCAGAATGACATGAGACAAGGCGGCATCTTTTCTCGGAGGGAGAGGGGCTGCTTTGATGAGGAACCTTTTCCGTTTCTTGGGGTTTGGAACGATCCCCTTTCCACCCCATTCTCCCCACCCGGGAAGACACAGGTCGACATCTTTTGGCTTCAAGGCATCTATTTCCTCCTCCTTTCGGAGTCGGAATTCATCTACGACATCGTCATCTTCAAATGCTTCAGCAATCAATTTTCTTTGATCGTCGTCATCATCATCGTCTTCGCCAGAAGAAGCAGCTTCATTGTTGAGAAAGGCATCAAACTCTACTTTATTCATACCGTTTCCATCAAATTTAGCTTTCTTCCCTCCAGCCTTCTTGGTTATTTTCAAATAGTTGTTGGGATCTATAATAACTTTGCTCGTGTCTTGCTTATCGGGGTTAATCTGTCTTCCTACGCCTCCGTTTACTGAGGTTAAAGCCAGTGATGCGCCTGTTTCTCCGCCAACATTTTCCAATAATTGTTCAGCCGAGTCTACATCCAAATCTCGAATCTCGTCCGCATCCCCCCTCATCATTTCCTTTGATTTATTTTTCGTTCGTTTCGCTGCACGCTTGGATTGTTGCTCGCTCTTCTTTTTCTCTAGTTTTTCTACTTTTGACAACTTTCTGAGTTTTCTAATCGCTTCGTCCTTAATTTTGTCTTCCGCTTCTTCAATCATAATGTCGAGATCTAGTTCAGTAAAATCTGGATCATCATTGTCGTAAACTACGGTTGTTGTAGATGTTGTAGTCTCAGGAACAATTATTTTCTTCTTGGCTTTATTATTTTTCTGCTTTTGTCGTAATTTCTTTTTCTTCTCAGCTTTTCGTTCTTGTGCAGATTTTGCTGCTGAAGACTCGGGGTCAAGACCACTTTTATCCGTTTCATTATCCTCCACTAATAGGTCCTCACTCTCGATATTGTCATTTTGAAACTCATCTCCCAGTTTTTTGACATGTTGCTTATTCTTTATTGTTTGCACTTCTTGTCGCTTTCTCTCCTTATCCTTTTTCTCGTTTATTTCCTCCCAAAGCTTCTTGTACCCAGAATAATACACGTTCAGCTTATCACTGTCTCTAACTTCGGGTCTCAACATCCACGGATTGTCCAAGGAGGACTTTACTAGGTGAGGAATATCACACTCTAAGTCATCGTCATCACTGTCAGATTCCTATATTAAAAAATTGACTCATTTATAGTGACAGAACCAAAAGGAATGCGTAACATGTATGGTTAACTGTTAATAATAAATAGCAAAACTCACCTCAACTTTCTGAGTGAGGTCTTTACTAATTTTCAACTGTTCTGAGAGAGCAATTCTACTATCCTTATTGTACTTTGCCCTCGCTGCATGCATCTTTGCCCACTTTGACGTGTTCCGATGTTTCAAACTCATCCGTTCCTCCACTCTGGATTTATTCAGTTCTTCCAATTTCAACATGGCCCCTTCCGGATCCTTCTTCTGCATCTCCTCAAATTCTTTCAATTGCTTTCGGATTTTCTCCTTTCTCAAGAGCCGATGATACTTTTTGCTCTTGATTTTATTCTGACGCTTCGCCTTCGCCATTTTGTACGACTGTTGAGCCCGAAGTCGTGCCATTTCACTGTGCATGTTCAACGCTTCCTCCACGGAAAGTGCATACGCTTCTGCGTCTGATGGCCCTTTGGGTTTTTCAAGCTCTGCCTTCTTCTGTTTCACGTACTCTTCTCCGTACAAGACGCGGGCCATTTCTTCTTCCAGCGGTGTCATTGGCTAATTGACAATGGTTTTGTAAATTAAATTAAATTGACGCATTTAGCACAAATTTTGTAAATCTATTTCGTCGTGTACTAAACTTACAATCGAGTCAGCAACACGTTCAGTTGAGCTGAGTTTGAGGGCTTTCTTGCCAGCATTGAGAGGATAAACAAGTTGATCGGCGACACGATTATGATATACAATTGGGTTGAATCGACTCAGATCTCGTTTCGCATTCTCATACAATACTGTACGTTTTGCCTACAGAATTATAAAACAAACTAAGTAAAGTGTTCATAGATTCTATTTAAATAAATGCACATTCAGTTAGATCAACAACAATCCAATTACTTTGAGTGCTTGTGGTTTTTCGAGAGGGGTCTCTAATGTTTTTAACGACTTGAGTGATGGAGCCTTGACCAACTTGGATACTTTATCCACCGTCTTTTCTTCTCCACTCTGCTTCACCGATTCCAACAACTTGTTCAGGGATGACCCAGGACCAGAACGTCTCTTGACAGCGACAAATTCCTCCACATCCTTCACCGCTTCGTGTCGGATTGCTCCACGTCCTTTTTTTCTACAAAAGAGACAGGTGTCAAATTGATAGAATTATCCATTAACGTAAGCTCAATATATTGCTATCTGAATTAATTTACTTGATGTCAAAGATCTTGTGAACAGAGTTGATGAGGTTGGACTTATCTCTGAAATCGCCCTCATCTTTTAGTAGTCCGTCTTCATCATACAGTCCATCGTCCTCCGCAAATTCGTCGTCCGACATTGTTCTCAAACCTAGTAAAACTAACATATTGAATATTGATTATAGTGTAATTTGCAATTTTATAATTTCAGGATGTGTAAGTCACTGTAAGTTACACATCCTGACATCATGTGTTATTGTATAATTTACATAATGAATGTACAAAACAAAAAAAAGCTTACCGGTTATATTCTAATTCCTAGCAAAGCCTGTAACGATGAGAAGCAAGTTTTTAAAGTCGTCGGTATTTTTAATTTCAGGGTTTGAAATTAATATGACTCAAAAATTTAGTTGGGAATTGTGCACATGGTAGAAAACGGGTGTCGAACTTCTTCTTGCCGCCAGTCATCGTTTCTATTCACCCAGAGGAGTATGTAGTTGATGCAATTTTTTGCATGCACAAATATTATCATGCAAATTATAGGATTTTGACACGATTTTGAAGACAAATTCATGGATTCTGAGATTTTTTATTTAATCAGGCGTGGATATTTTGTGAGTGCAATCCGAATCGTAGAATCGGGGTCAACGTAGTCAGATGTTAATCAAAAAGTGCATATCTCCACCCACATATTTCCACTTACATACAACTTACCCATCTACTACCAATGACCAAGGTTAAAAATCAAGTGCATGGTAACTTTTCAAGTTTTGCACGTCCAGATTTTTACATGTGCATTGAATATGCATTCGGACACTTGTATATTCCCTTCTTCGTATTTATAATTAATAATTAATAATTATTAATGATGAAATTATCCAGGAGAGAAGGAAAAGCATGATGTGCAAAACGGTAAGATTTGCAGAGAGACGTATCAGGAAACATTGACAAGATGCACAATTCACTTTTGTTAGCATTTCCTATATTCCTTTATGTTGAATGTTGTATTTGGGACAGGACGATGTTATATTCCGGCTCGGCACGAAAATCTCATCTCGTCGTGCTGTATTGATTTCTTGCTCTCGTCGGCGTCATGCCGTAGTATCTCGCTCCTGTATTTACTAATATTATCATTACGCCGTGTGCAGTGTGCTAACATGCAGCCGCACTTACCGAGGTGTTACTATATACTGAAAATGCCGAAGATTATTATAGCGAACTGCATAGTTTGGCCAGTGGATGCAAATTGCAGAGCTTGGAGGAGTTAAAAAAGAAAAACACGAGTATTTACGTGTGCAGATACTCAAGGTCACAACGTCTGCTGTGGATTAGGAAATTTGTACATTTTACTTATTCGTGCAGCCTCAGTTCCACACAACGAAAGATACTCTTGTGTCAACTGCAACTGTATAAATAAATATTGTGAATTGTGCGGATTTGGACTTCAAAGGATCTATGGGATTTGGATAATAATAATAATATTGCGCTATTGTAAATGTTCCATCCACATTAAAAAGTAAGCCTTGTATATTTTAATATTTGCTTGCTGCCTACTAAAATTTGTTTACACTTCTGCAAATCTATTATTATGCATGAGCAGCATACCTTTCATTTCACTTCACAAGTTGTGCATTTCATTCTCGGGTTGTTTATAATGTGGGTAAAATAATCGAAGCCATCGAAGCCTGGTTGAACTTAAAACCTTAAAAGTAGAACCTAAAACTTCAAACCGTACTTGTTTCACATTTATCACATTTCTAATCACATTTCTAAAGTGAGTGGGAGCGGCAGAACTTTATTCTAATCTGTCCAGTCTATCCATCACTTAAACACCGCGTCCCAATTAGTCACATGCATTTGACATCCAAATGGATTTACAATTTGGGTCAATTTCATCTCTATGTGCTTCTCTATGAATTTCACACGTAGTTTCACCCGTTCACAAGTAGCCTAATGTATGTGGTTGCCGGTCTTGTTCCCCCAAATCAGTTAAAAAATTATAAATACAGGATGCGAATAAGTAACACAGTATTGGGGACTTGGGGATGTAAACAATACATTGCACAATTAATTTAAAATGGTTTGCGTTACAGATTGGAACCTACGTTAGTCAGTAAAAATGTGTCCCCCTGTCCTGGACCCCGGTTGCGCCCGATGTATTAATTGGCGAACACATTCGCCCACGAAGCCTCGACCCCCCACGACCTCGCGTAATAATTCTGCATCTCAGGTACTCAATAAGCAAAGAAAGATTAGGATGAAACTTGTTCGTACTATGCACAATGAGCTTGATGAACTATTTCCAGAATGGATATTCGAACGGGTTTGAGGAAGGGTTGGAGGTGGAGGCGATTTTGGGTGCCCGAGATTCTGATTCGGGCATCTTTTACCTCATCAAATGGAAGGAACGTGAGGACTTGGAGCTTATGCCTGCCCTTCTCACATTCTTCCACGTCCCCGCCCTCGTCATCCACTTCTACGCCGACAGGTTTCCTCCCCATCACCTCTTTCAATATTAATTTAATTACTAAATATTAATAATCACTCTAGAATCTCGTGGATTTCTGCTGACAGTTGATCTGTGAGTACCAGTGAATGATGCTGCGTTTTAATAATTGAACAAGGACGCCACCTCAACATGATACCTATTTTGTGTTACTAATTAATTATTTTTAAGGAGGCATACATACAGAGAAAAAGTTAATCAATTGCTATATAATTACTCTCATCAAAAATGAAATCTCAAAACCCCAAATGATAACCTAGTGTTAATTAATTAATTAGGTAGGAATGGACTGAGGAAAAAGTGAACATGCAACTAATCACACATGGTCTGATATTTTGGTACTGAGACAGTTTGTATTATACATTAATTTACATTACTCTTAAATGTTAGACTTATTTAGCCCAATTTTTTAATGCTACTTCCGGTATTAAGTAGTGTGCTGGTGGAGGAACTAGATATTTGTCAATTTAATAATATGTTACACTGCCATCCCTTAAGAACTATGTAAGGCTGACCCTTCCTAGTGGATAATATAGTGAGAATATGTATGAAATAAAAAGAAACAGAATGACAATTACAATAGTGTGCTAATGAGTGATTTATGCAATAATTGTCTATCCTGTCACTTTATCCTGTCCGCCAAAAGCAGACCCTGAGAAGGCAAGAAGAAGGGTGGTACATGGCCTGTCTAAAGTGGCCACCTCTGTAGCGGTAGACGCCGTAGAGAAGGAGCAGGAGGGGCACATGAGCGACCATGATGATCAACGAGATGACCAGAAAAGAGAGGCCTCCGCCGTTGTCTATCGTATCCGTCAGTGGTGGAGGGGATGAGGTGTCGTCAACAGTGGTCAAATTATCTGTCGTGGTAGATTTGGATAAAGGGTCCTCACTTTGGGAAGACGGGCATCGCGAACGCCACTGGTTGTGACATGTCTTGGAGATACATTCCTCGTCTCTGTACTTCTTACTCTGGATCTGGTCGTCACAAATGTTCGGAATTATCGTGGCGTTGCAGGGCAGATATTTACATTCTTCTGCAATTTTAGAATTTGTATGTACATATACCTTACGAGTGCTTACTGCACAAATGAAAGTGCTGTCCTTACCCTGTTGAGTGGAGGCAAGATGAGATATTGTTGCTAGTACGATTAAACTTCATTGGTACACTTTTGGCGACGACCGTCATAGCGTCCAGCAGACTTAAAACTACTACTGCACGAAATAAAATGCTACGCTTCCACAACTTCCCCATACTGTCCAAATATCTTAAATTTTTATGTATCTACTTTACAGAGTTAATCACGAAATTCAGTCGGAAACTAGTTCCTTGATAGAAGAACAAGAGGAATTGTAGGCAAAAGTGAATATTTTGATGATATGCAAACGTTTAGTTTTCAGACTTGCCTCACTCGTACGTATCAGCCATACTCCACATTACATTTGAATAATGGCACTGTTCAGTAAAAGTATTCTAATCCTAGGATAAATAGTACTTTAGCTTCGTTCGATTGGCTTATCGAAATCACAATACTATCAATTTAACAATTAAAAGTTTCGATAACTCAAAAATCGGAATGATCATGACCTGAACAAGATTAAGTGGACAAGTGGAGTGAATTGTATTATTTATAAATATGGAATTACACACACTCCACGAAAACATGCTTGTCTTGGAACACAGTGTCTTATATTTTATTCTTAATAAAAAATAGTTGTATTTTGAATAAAACACCTAATAAGTTAATCACTTGTCTTGGAATCTTGTGACGAGATGTAGGCCCTACATTGTAGGGACAAAGCTTACTACTTCAAATGTCCAGCCAGCATGGCACATATTCCAACCTGAAATAATAGCTCTCACAAAACAGTAGGATTTACAAACTAGAAACAAACCTTTACCGTTTAGGCCGGATATATATCCATCAAAACGATAAGCGCCTATCCACCTTATCACAGTTTATAAAGTTAGTGATTACTAATATCTATATGAATTAATCAATGTCGAGGAGGAAGTTGACAAACCCAATCATGTATTCATTTCATTGCCAAATATGCAGTGTAATAAATTTCGAGCAATTTCACAGTTACTTTACACAACGTAAAGAACAACAAGATAAGGTGCTGATGAGAGATAAGGTGTTGCGCCGACGGACGTGCAATGAATTCCGGGATTTCATATCCATAAATTACATAGTTTATTCATATATATAGTTTGTAATAACTCTCATGCATAATATCTCAAACATTATAACTCTCGCGTCATACACTCTGTCGTAATAATAATAAATACGATATGATAAAACATGTGCCACTCCCGTACTAAAAGTTATCCCGAACCAATGTCATGGCTGCGTGGTGTGTCGTGCCGTATTTGTTAACTAAATATAGCTTCGAATTCATCTCTTACAATTTCATGTCAAAATCTAATCGTACACTACATTAAAAGCTATATTACTCAAGTATTTTAGTATTTTCAATAATAATGCTGAAGAATGGAAAACTTTACACATTTTTTACACTATGTACATATTACACACGATTCTTTCCTCTCAGACGCGATCATTGTGCTCGGGAATGAAGGCGTAGGACTCGGTCCCCCTCCGCTTGAACACGATGCAGCCCACGCTCCCCAACATCACCGAAGCGCAAATTGCAATGAGGACGATCATCGTGAAACCTGACATGGCCGGTCGGACGAGCATCTTGTTGCAAAAATGGCCCGCTTTGCAGGAACATTTTGCCGTGAAGGGGTGACACGTTGCGGACGCTCCTAGGCTGGCCTGACACTCTTGGTCCATTTGGCAAACGTCCCCAAGTTTCCTCTCCTCCACGCACTTGTCCTCAAACTCAATCACTCTCTTCGCACCCAGACCCAAGGCTGTCCTGCACTCGCAGAACCCCGTCACTTGTGAGCACCTGGAGATACATACATTTCAATAAATACTCTCATTCCTCAGCAAATGTAGTGTTTTTATATTTCATGAATTATTTACACATTGCGTGATAGCATTTTAAGCTACGAGGCGGACATATATAGTTCTCACCTGGAGAGGGGGCCTAGCGCCTCATCTGCCGAACACTGGTCGTCGTTGAAACAAGGGGACGACGTTCCCTGGGTGGCGTAAGGGAGGCAGGCCCGCCTCTCTTCATCCCAGACGTGGAAGGGTGCACAGGCGCAGAAGCCAGAGTTGGACGTCTTGTCAGTCTGGCACCAGGCAGGACCGGAAATGAAGGGGTCGCACTCCGCGTGGTCCGAACACTCGAAACCAATTTCTCTCCAGATTTGACATTTTCCGTTAAGCTGGATGGTTTTCCTTGTGGGTTTCCTGTCCAAGGTATCGTGACATTCGCAGCCTGAACGAAAAAAGGCACAAATAAACACCAATCAAGCACGTACAGTGTGCCGACGTCAATCTAGATACTTATTTAATAAACCTACTGCTTTTAGCCTTGTTGCAAATTGACAGTGGCCCCAAACTCGAGCTTGTGCAATTTGTATCCTCCACACAATGAACCGCTAATGCCTCGTCCTCCTCACTCTCGTCCTCGTCATCAGGATGAACTTGCCAAGACCCTTCATCGTCGTCGTCATCATCATCCCATAAACCTGAATTTTCGTCATCATCATCATGGTTTGGTCCGACGACGTCTTTCTCTTTCTCTTCTGGTGGTGACATTTTCTTTGCTTCTTTTGCCGTTTCACCATCAGTCTCTGCCTTGCTCACTGCTGCGTCTTGCTTCTGGGGGATTGCGTTCTCGTTCTCATCCGCAGACGCATCCTCATCAATTTTTTTCTTGAGCTCGTTATTACTACTGGAAATTTCGTCAGCTTTTTCGCCTGACTCGGCCTCCTCATCGGAAGCGTCGTCATCTTCATCTTCATCTTCATCTTCATCACCCTCACTCTTCAACCCCATTTCAGTATTATTTTCTGGAAGTTCCCACTTGCTCTCGTCTTCCGGCCAGACCTTGGTCCCATTGTTCCCGTCCTCGTCGTTCTCTCCAGATTCAGTTACATAGCTCGAGTCATCCTCGTCCTCATCCTCATCGCCCTCGTACTCTGACAATTCTTCCGAGTTTCCAGCCACACACTTGACCCCTGCGTCATCCAGGACGAACCCTTTCTCAAAATTGCAGTGGCACTGCAACTCGACACACGCGAGGTGGCTTTTGTCGTCACAAACACTGTTTTCCCCACAGTTGACGCCGAGACCGACGATTTCAATGTCTGCCCCTCCTCCTCCGGTGGCATCCCCCTCGCCGCGTCCCACACTCGCCAGCACACCCACTCCCAGCACAACCACAAACAACCAAGTCGTCCTCATACTTTTTTCTTCAGGCAGAATCGTTTATGCAGATATTTTTCACAGGATATTGTTCAACAGGTTTCAGAGATTGGATGGACGGGTAGATTGGATTTTTAGTCATTCGATGACAGAATGGGATGAGTTGAGATAAGAGCAATTATTGATAACAATTCTTCCCAACGACTAAGAGCGCATCGGATTTATGACTATTTATTCCACCAGCGGCAGATAACCAATTATTATCCAGTCATTTATGTACACACGTAGTCACATTTACTCCAGTGTTCACTTATGCACATAATGTATGATCTCCTCAAATAAATGGTCCTTTTGTTAGAGGAAGAAGACAAACAACGTGGTGGGTGATAAGGCCTAAAGTGCTGCATGGACAAAACTATATGAGCATATGTACATGCACATATTCGCGCATGTATACGAGTCTGGCTGACTTGGTTTGCTTGGTGGTCTGGTCATGGAACAACTCGACGCAAAAAATCAGAGGTGATAATAAAACATTTCCATTTTAAATACAAATATCGTTTGCTATGCAGATAGGCAGAGAGCTCGTTTATTAGCCATGCAGATTGAAAGAGATATCGAGCTGCTCAAAGGTGAGATATTTGCACATTCGTAGCGTAGAAATCCGCATCATCATGCTGGATGACATCAGACAGGGAATCAATGACAATGCTTGAGAGATGTCAAGTCAAGCCGGACTCGACGAAGATCGATGTTGCACAGGCAGTATTGGTTACCTTGCAAAAAACGGCCCAAGATGTTTTGCTATACCAAACGTATTTTAAATTGTAAATTCCTGAAAACTATTGTATTTGATTCTCAGAGGTAACTTTACCCAGCCAGCTAATTTGGATTGATAGCATTTTAGGATTTCCCCAACTACCTCATCTCATGCATTGGCTTCACGCGTCACTAAAGTTTTCATAACTTATGATTTTTACACGTTTTGTGTCACCATAATAACCCTTCTACTGCCCACAAGTTGTTGGTACTCATTTTTCCCTCAATCGCCCCATAATTTCAAGTTTGATTCTAACATCTCCCTTCTCCGGCGGAATATGTACTCCACGCGACCCCTGACTCGTGAGGATCTCGCCCTCCTCCCAAGCTTCGCCAGTAGTTACAAAATAAATAAAAAAGTCATTAATTTTTTCAACTAATTCGAATTTGTACTTAATTACTGCGTCGTCTATTTGTATGCTACAGAAGCGTTCGGTTGTGGATGTGATGATGCAACCAGTACGCACGTCTCCGTAAGTCCACCCAACCTCCAATTCAGGCACGACCAGAGGTCAAGTTACTTGGCAAAGGTGTCCGTCTGGAACAAGCGTCGCGACTACGTGGAAGTCCATCTGGAGAAACTCAATGCCCCGAACATATTCCATGCCTTTTGCAATAAAGTATCACGATTGTCCTCCGTTCGGCCGTGCTCATTCGTAATATTGTCCTTGTCATGTATAGAAAGGTGCTTATGGCGGAAGCCAAGTCGACGTTTGGGTCAAATGCACTCCTGGCCTGCGGAAATTGGCATTTGACTGTCTGCGAATTCGTGTGACCACGATTAACTCAGACCCACGAGAGGTCCAAGTCTTGTCCGTCCCTCTCCAACTCTGTCCAGGCTTCTCGTGGTTTTCCATGCCAAAAGTGGTCGCGATGCCGTCGATATCTGTGGGAAATGTGTAATTCTGCCACTCTTATTAACAATGTCACTTGCTCGTCAATAAATTGACTTACGAAATCGACGCATTTCTTGCGCAGGGCTGAAGTCTCCCTCACATTCCCACAAGTCCCAGAACCAGAAAAGTTTTTTGTGGCCGTGCGCTCCTCGAAGCCACACTTGTCCGAATCTCTCACGATTACTCCGCTGTCAGGTCATGTCCAAGATCATGCCTAAACTAAGAGCACGCTTCTCAATGGTGACAATTACGTAATTCTAGGCGTGCTGGGCAGTGACTTTGACGCCGTGTCCGAGCTCGTAATTCGGTACAAGCCAACCGACTACACCACTCTCGTTCACGTCGTCCAACTCCACTTTCCAGGCGTGGATGCAGTTCCGCATGAAATCGTCATATTTGCTCGAGCCATCCCAGGCATCGAAAGGTTGGGAAATCTTAGACAGTTTTGCACTTGAAAATTAGCATATTTTTTTCGCCAGTGAAAGAATTAAACGTGAGACGACCATCCTTCAAAATTTCATGGCCATGGAGCAATCGAGCAAAGCTGCCACGGAGAGGAAAAGGTTGCCCGAGCCCAAGTTGAGATTTAAGCCTGCGCCACCAGCACCACCGTCGTCTGGGGGGGATGAGGAGGAGGAGGAAGAGACCGATTCTCCTCAACCGAAAACCTGCTCCACAGTCAAAAACGGGGACGATCTCACCACGCCGGCCGGAGTAATGCGATTTCTGCTACGAAAGGGTGCTCGAAGTCATGAAAATGCGAAAACGGTGGAACTAACGACGCCTCAAGAAGAGAAAGTTCACTCTCAGCCGGACTCTAAAAACGAGTTCCACACTACTGAAAAAATGCGACACAAACATGGACACAGCCCACTGCACCATTCACACGCTCCCCTTGATGAGGACCCCACTCAAAACAGGGACAAGTTTGCAGAGAAAAGTGTTCACAGTCATCATCGTGATCAACACGAGGTTTGCGTCACTTCCAAAACCTATTAAATACATTCCATGTCGGTTTACAAAACTTAATTTTCTGTCAATTTGCAGAAAGAAGCCGGAGTGAACGAGGAGGACGAGGAAGACGTGCCTCGAACCAGAGGGAAGGGGACAAAGCAAAAAAGTCTTCATCGTCTGGGTAATAAAACTCATCTTCATTCAATCATGAAACTATCCTTGAAATCATAACTTCTAACTGATCACTCGTTCTCTCATCTTCCGGGGTCAAGGAAAACTCAGCAAGCCCAACCTCAACGAAGGTCTATTCGTAGACGATGAAGGTCGCAAAGAGACGCACAATTCGTCCAAAATCGGTCAGAAGCGATCGAAATCGGTCAAACAGTCCAAGGAAACTCGTGACGAGGAGGAAGTGGAAGAAGAGCAGGTTGTTCACCATAACCTTTCCGGACACGACTCAAGTGACCCCAGCACTCCACGGCATAATCACAAGGTCGGAGGTCACCACCACGCCACGGATGCATTATTCGTATCGCCGGACCATGACGCAGCCTATAACTCGTCAACGGAATGAAATTTTGTCTCCCAACTTTTATTTTATTAGAATCTCATCCATAAATTGATGCATGTGCAGAGAGTTCATTCCAGGAATTATCATGCACACATTACAAAAATAAATATGTAATGACTAAATATAAATATCTGGTTCCACACCAACATGGTTGCTCACTTTACTGCTGCAGTTGAAAAAAGTATTCCTTTTCCATCGGTAGGAACTGGTTTAATTTCATGTAATATCAAGTTTTAAATGATCAGCGAGCTCGTGGTGGCAAACGTGGGGAGCGTGGACGTCACGGCGTCTTCCTCGTCGAAGGACATGAGGGTTCCAGCCACGCAGGCGTTGATCAAACTCGCCGTGGCCCCGGCGAACAGGGCTCTCCAAACAATGTCAGCCAAGTCTGGGCGACGCGAGGGTGCGATTGCCCCAAGTCCTCCCAACTGAATCCCCATCGAGCTAAAATTCGCAAATCCGCACAACGCGTACTCTGCGAGACGCCGACTTCTGACGGATATGTTTTTCAATGCTTGAAGCTCCTTGTACGCCACAAACTCATTGACGACAATTTTTAGTCCCAGCACTTTCGCAACGTCGTTCGCTTCAGAAGGGTCAACTCCGATGCAGAGTGCGACAGGGATGAATATTTTACCCAGCAGCCACTACATTTAAATAAATACTCAGCTAATGACATTCTTAATTTTGTAGCAAATTGTCTCTCTCACCTCAAAACTCATGTCTTCCAATCCAACCAACACTCCGAACCAGCCGATGATTGCATTCAGCATGGCGATGAAACTCACAAAGGCTAAAATGTTGGCTAAAATGTTCCACACCAAGGTCACGGCCTCCGCTGCACCCTATGAAATTAAGACATGATTGCTTAAGATCTATTTAATGATGCCTAATAAATGCTAGAAATCTAGTTTGGAGTTATACCTTTGCCGCTGCGTCCAAAGCATTTCCCTCCGTTCTGAAAAAGAATTATTGTCATAAATGATGAATATTTTCTTAATTTTTCATGGCACTCACTTTGTGTCCACATTTTTCATCTGCTGGTGGGTCGTTTTTGACACTTCGATCTCGGGATACATGAGCTTGGAGAGGGCGAGTGCGCAAGGGGCCGCCATCACCGAGGCTGACAGGAGCGACTCTGCTTTCACGCCGAAAGAAATGTACGCTGCCATCACAGTCCCAGCAATGGTGGCAAACCCACCCGTCATCACCGCGTGCAACTCAGATTTAGTTAAGTCTTCCATGAAAGGTTTGATCAGCAAGGGTGCCTCGGTCTGTGCGTCCGTGTAGCAAAATTATACCAATGCGCTCATTAATTTGCATTAACGCGAGATTGCTTTGCAGTAAGTACCTGTCCCAAGAAAATGTTTGCCGCTGCAAAAAAATGAGGTATTACCCGATGAGTCATTTTCTACAGACAATTTCGTTGGCATGAATTTCTCATAGATTGCGAAGCTTCCATACCTGCGTTCATACTTTCTGCTGCGGACGTCCCCACGAGGATCTGAAATTATCCAAAACATGGTTCAAGCCCCATTTCAATTAAGAAATACCAAACTGTTACTGCACCTGAAGAAGCCAGCCCACTTTTCTCACCTGAAGAAAATTACGGTACATTAATTATAAATTTCTAAAAACCAAACCTGCCGTATGGCGTCACATGTTGCGGAATTATTAGCACTCACCACCCACAACATGGCCCCGATGTGATACAACAGTTGGACCACGAAACTGAAGAAGAATATCACAGAAAGGCTCTGGAATTTACAAATTTCACCATCAGTCATCACACGTTAACCGCATAGATATTCAAGTGGCAACTCACCGTGAATGCAAAGGTGGTGGGGACAAGGATCCACTCCAACCCTGGGAGCAAATCAGGAACATTGCTCCCGTAAATGGTCATGTTACCCGAAGCTGTGAAATCATAGATGAACGCTGACCCACTGTCAGCGAACGAGAGGAACGCTGTAACCTGTCCGCCGTAGAATCAATTCAAATTGAAGTAATTTGAATCATTATGTTTAATTTAACTGTTCATTTAACCTTCCTGCTAATACACTCTAAGAAGTTGCGACCTCCGTCCCAGCGAAGGACGGCGAGTGCGAAGACGAACTGCAAGGCCAGACCTGCAATCACCTGTCGCCACTGGACATCGCCTGGGTGCTTGGACAGGATGAGAGTGAGAAGGAGGAGGACCAAGGCCCCACACGCGCTAACCAATACATAGCAGAATTTTACAACCAGTTTCCCAAATTCATGTGCATCAAATCTTTGAAGGACCGAGAACAACTTTGCCTTTGAAAGTTTACTACGGATTGTGCATTTTCTCGTTTACATCAGGACCCGTTAATTTAGCAGAAATTTGACGTGATATTCTATCGATAGTGTCGATATACTTACCTAACCAACCGTCTGGGCTCCCCCCACGTGTCCCACACGATAAAGGTGACCAGTACCGCCACCGCCAGCAGTCCCACGACCGCACCAAACCATCTGTTCACACACAAAGGAAGTGTTTCAAAATGTGTTTCAGTTTCCCCTCAGCTCGAGAACTGTACTCACTTTATTGCGAAGAGGGTTTTGAGCATGCGCCCCATGGGAATCAGCACAGCCTTGTTGATCGCTTTTCCGAAGATCCCTTTCAGCACAATGTAGTAGAACAGGCTCCACCAAATGATGGCGGTGAGGATGATAAGGAAGCCCAGCCCGTCGCACCATTCCATCGGTTGGTCGTGTCGAGTTCCGTACGCCACGGCCGTAGCGACGTAGCCATTGTAGGCCACAAAGAGACCCAACAGGACCACGTTTTTTACTAGCTTTTTGTGTTTCTGTATCAAGTCTCCAACCGCGGTGCGACCCCCTTCGATCACTTTGGAGAGAATGTTCCCTTTGCGCCGAGTTCGGCCAGGGAGGTCGCCATTCGTCAGGGCTGGGGACTCGAGTGGACTATGGTTTAGACCCTTATTCCCATCCTGCGTAAGTAGAAGTGAGTTTGCAACTTGTAAGCGTGTGTCACCCATCCGTTCGAACGAATTATATGCATTTTCTGTAATGCATGACAATCAGCCAGGTGAAAATCAGACCCGTGTCTCAAATTCCCGAGTCCCAAGTTTCTTCTCAATTTCGTTTAACAGGAATATTGTGAGGCTTGTGGTTTATTATATTGACATTTATTATTGATACTAAAAATGTAATACGTCATCTAAATCGTCGTTCATTCTGCTTACAACTCAGATTGGTACATTATCAAATCGAGTAAAAAATTATTTAACACACCTGCTCGGACATTTCAAAGCCTGGATTCTGCAGCCCGTTGTTCTTTCCATCTCGAAAAGCAGGGCTCTCCATTTTGACCAGCACTCACAGCAACGTGTCTACCAAACAACTAAACGCAATCCTTGTCGCAATTTCCAAATCACTTAATACGGCGACCAGTACGATACGCAACTATTTGGCACCAATAATTTCCCTCGGATGCAGGCATACACACCGCAGTAGAAAAATCATCAAGGAATGACACCCAAAGATTAAAGATGGGATCGTGTCACGAATTTCAATGAGTTTGATCCATGTAATGTAATGATGATGATGACGACTGAATGAAGTCGATGAGGAGACGGATACTTGCATAACCCGACAGTTCACACCCCTCGCTTCGTGTTGAAATCATATAACTCAATCCAAATTCAGACATCTGACTGTATTGTTATCCAGCCGAGAATGTTATCGTGTTCCACGGGCAAACATTCTCAGCAGCAGAAGCACTTCAAATTTCACTCATTTGGGATGAAACCTTGTTTCTTCTGATGATGGGACGGCTGGCTTCTGTTTCACCGTGTCAATAATGTCCCCCACCCGTACCGACTTATCATGCCAATTAATTATACGACATGCAATAGATAACCTGGTCTCTTTAAATGGCTGCACACCCACCACGATCACTATTACATAAACTATTGTTTTATACTTAATCACACTTCACGAACACAATGAATGACGCAATTGATCCAGGAAAGATACTCGGATTTGAAAGAATGGGAGCGATTTAATGCAACTTGAGCTTTGGAACCACACCAACGTCCCATTCAACCTCCTCCTCCGGGCGCAGCTGCAACAATGGCTGCAAACCGTGGTGATGAGAGACAATTCGCATGCCGAAACCAGTTCGACATCATGGAAAACATGCGACCATTCTCATCCTTATTTGCTATTTTTATTTAATAGCATTCTATTCTCTCTGACCCACTTTTGAGACATCGTTGCTCATACAAACACAATCGTTGTATTGTAAAACAGAGCCAATTGTTGTTCTCGTGTAGTATGTATGCTGTATGGAGATTCTTGTGGACGGATGGGATGAATTTGATGGGATAAAGACAATCAATAAGCAAGATCTGTAGATTTGATGCATATGCACATAAAATTCGTAATGCGTACGTCAACTGGTAGCTGATCGTGACAGTGTAAAAATCATGAATTTTACATTTAATAGTAAACATAATGTGCACACCTATGTATGAATTTTCCAACGCAATAATAGCACGTTCTGCCACCATAATTGATTAGTTAGTTACAAGCGAAATTGGGTGAGGCTGGATGAGAATAAACTTTTTTGTAGCTAAATACTTATATTCGCAGTAATTCGCATCATGATGATGAGTGGAACTAACTACTTGCAAGCAAATACATCCATACACCTGCACTCGTCTCTTACTACGATTGTACATACACCTGCATACTTCGATGTTATTACGTAACATGCAGAAGTAGCCATTGAATTGTCAGAGCTGTCAACTGGTAAAAGAATTGTGTCGTGTGTCGGTATGCACATGGGTAAAATTTAATAAAAAGTATTGGGCATATGTTGTACATACATGTACGTATCTTTACACTGCAGACATACCAATAATACGTACATAGATTTTTAGTTGGGTTGGCGAATTAATGGATTGCACTTACAATGTTGAATAACTACTTGATTGGGACAATTGACAATTGGGAGGAAATGTGACATTAACCGTCATTAACGTAATTCTGAAAATTAATGGGAGACCATTTAGTTAATTGTATACGAGTGGTAGCCATAAAATATAATTTTACAAATCATGCAATCCAACAAGTCTCGATAATTTCCATTTGTACCGATAATTTGGATTTTGTACATCCGTTAAAATTTTCATCTCATGGACAATTGTCAAAAAATACGTCACTATCTTGTTACCGTTTTCTTGTAGATTTTTCATGGAAGACTTAATTAAAATAAGGAGCAACATAAATTGTATATAGGAAAATGCGAAGGGTGTCGGTTTGAGAAACACAAGTGTAATCAAGTATTTGCAAGATCCGCATAACCAATATTTTTGCGAATTCGAGAGAAATTTAGCTGGCTCATGGTATGTCAATATTTAATAGTTTTACTGGAAAAACATATGTCAATATTGGTGCATTTGCACAAAATCTCACGCAGAGTCTGTACTTTTGCTAAAGCGACAGATTTGCAATGTGTCAACCCAACCGACACGTTTATAATAGTTCTACGTTTCGCTGCGAACTGGAGAAAGGCGAAAGCAACTAATCTTAAAACACCGAGATTAGCATGCGTCACTATCTGTAAAAGTATGCAGTTTAACAAGCCAATAAATATTCATACAACTCATTCTCTCGTATAAATACGGTGCCGAATTATGTACACACGTGTATTTTTGCTTATCAACGAAAAACAAGTCACAGGTTTATTATTGCCAATCGACGAGGTTTACACTTTCTTGTAGACACGCACGGCCGTGACATCTTTGCACTCGAAGGTGCAGACCAACTCCCCGTTGGGCTTGAACTCACGGGTCACCACGGCCCCCTCCCCATCCAGAGACTGCTTGTGGACAAACTTGTTCCCTTCCAATGTGATCACGGCCTGCGTGGTGGACAGAAACGTCAATATTTCACCCGTTACATAAATAAATACCCATCCGTCAATCTATTTACATCGCATTTCCTGCCGTCTGCCGTCTCCTCGACGAATTTCTCCCCAAGTTTGAAATCAATCTGGAAGTTCTTGAAGGTGGAGAAGGTTTTTTGGGTCCAGCTCCCATTCCCGTTGTCAACGTACTCCAACTGGTTCTTGATTTTGGAGGCGATGGTGCGATTTACCACACCCACTCCTAAACATACAAGTCAAACAATGCAAAATTAATCCTCCATTACTTCAACTAACTGTATGATTGTTAGCCATGCACAATTTCGCAAGAAACACTCACCGCAAGCCTTAAGGAAATCCTCGTACTTGTCCGTGGAGACAAAGTCATACTTTCCGGGAATGTTTGCCATTTCTGTTTTCTTCTCGAACCGATTTCGGACCAACTTGCTCAAGGACTTTGTGGGAACTGTGTGCCGAGACGAGATCAAGATCACACAGATGGACAAATCTCAATTAGCCATACACGTCAACCAACTCTGGGTGACACATACATTTGCATTGCACATACATCCATATAAAAGACCATGGTACATTTAGGTGGACTGTGACCACGCAGCATCCAAGAGGAGCGAGTCCGCCGAGTAGCTCTTATCTGGATGTCACATTTCACGAGTGTGGACATTATTTCTGCCAATGCACATCTCGTCAAGAAGCAGTCAGATAAGTATGACTGTAGTCCACAAAGTCCAGGGACATTTATTTGCACTCGACACTTAGGCTTATCGACCAATCCCAATAAATTAAATGGCCATCCAGAACTGAATAAATGAGCCATTTATGACTATCAATGAATCCCAGTTAATGCAACAACATGATGAATTAACTTAATAAATGAACTGGTTCTCCGACGCATGAATGAACTTTAGCATAAAACGGGCTTTATTTATTCCCCTTAAATATGTAAATATGTATTTAATGCTCATATTATTTATGTCACCCACAAGTAAGTTGGGAATGTGTGATTAAGTTATTAACGCGTAATACACAATAATAATAATAATAATAATAAATGTTGTGTGTGTGTGCAGATGTTCAGGAACTTAGGTTATAAACTTACAACTAGTAATACTCTCGTCGTGAAGATCAATCTGATATTTGATAAAAATCTGGTGCAAAATTGAAACAGCCAATTGATACACGTTTCCATTTTAAAGGCATTTGGTCAGCGTTAGGTGGGTAGTGGTTGTCAAAAATGGTGTAATTTGGACTCCACAACAGCTAAGTCATAGTCGTACTGGTTCATAGCGTCTGGAGGGGAATGGGGCCGTCGAGTTAGTTGTTAAATAATTAATTAAGGCTACGCATTAAGTAATATATTTAAGATACCCGTGTCAAACAAGCAGTTGTGCTCGCGTTGTAATAAAATACTCGATAAACTAAATAGAAACGAAGCAAAAAATCTGTAAAAGCTGAAACAAGGGACCTTGTAAACTATAGTTAAGTACATTTTGAAGTATTATTTGTACATCTGTGGGTAAGTCCAGTAGCACAAGAGGCCTCTTCTTTGTAAATGTAAAACTGTGGGTGTAACTTGATATTGTGCACAACATGCGTCGTGGGTGGCATGTACATACATATTAAAATGTGGACAAGAATTGCCCCACATTTTCTACCCGTTGAAAATTTCTAACTACATATTTTTTAACACTAAGCAGTACATAGAAAATCCTTAAAATCTAATCTAAATGGCTACTCACGTTTGCTGTACAAAGTAAATAATGGTATTTGGCAACAGAGATTCATTTCTTGTGAGAGGTGGCGTTGACGCATCCATGTCGAATATTTATATCTTCATCTACACACTACTGGCAAATAAGTAACTGGCAAAAAACTGCTGGATGCAATGTCAACCCTATCTGTCCTGCTGCTGCTCGGAATCCCTGCCCCCGCGAATATAAATCTTCTGAATGATTATGTCCCTGTCTTCGTCACCCTCCGAGGAGTCCTCAGACGAGGAGTGGTCTCCCACCAGAGGGACGTGGTGATGCCTCCTGCTCGCCGCCTCCCTCGAGTGCACGTTCGTTGCCACCGTGGCCAGAATCCTTCGCAGGGGGTGGTCCTCGTCCAGCTGGAATCCTCCAGTTGTGCTCGCCGTGGGTGGAGACGAGGAAGCTGAAGCGGTGTCGGCACCGTGGGTGCGTTGGTGCTTCTTATTTTTGGAGGCTCCGTGACCATGTCGATGTTTGTGCGTATTCCTGACCGGCGTTCGAGGCGTGGCTGTGAGACGAGTGGTCGGCGGAAGGTCATCGTTCTGCCATTCGGACCCGTTGTTGTTGGTATTCTGATTTGCAGCTCGCTGTTCATGAGCCTTGGCCATTCTGGAATTCGAGAGAAAATATTAAGAATTGGTATGGAATGTGATGGAGAGCAGTTTCAAGTAACGCGTAAATTCATCTGGTTTGTAGAATTCGGATATGTAAATTACCTGGAGAGGAGGCTGAAGGACTGGCTCATCTGGAGCGGATACGGCACGGGGGACTCGGTCGTGTCAATTTCCCTCTGCGTATGAGGCGTGTTCAGAATGCACACTTCGATCTGTGGGGACGGAGCCAGTCGAAACATTTGGGACGAGTTGGAGTTGTTTCCTAAATTAGGAAAGATACAAATTAGTAATTAATTTTTACTACTATTGAGAGTGGAACATTGTTGCAGCTACTGCGATTCGCGGGGGGACTTACGGGTGGGACAGGCCAAATTGGCAAAGTAATCGGCAGGGTTGAGAGGATCGTTGTCTTCATTCTCAACCTCCACCACGATCCCGTAGTTCTTGTCGTTCCTCTCCAACCAGGGCACGGCTGCATTGATGATGTCAAACTCGACCCATTTCGACCCCTTCACGGAAATCATTCTCGTGTCCAACAGCTTCTTTTTGTCTGAAAATAATCATTGTGACAAAACGTTAGTCAAATATTTCCAGCAATTTCATATTCTGTGATTGTACTATGAGTATGGACTCACAATGTGTCTTGGTCACGGGGGCCTTGTACCAGTAGACGGAGACCCTGATCTTCTCCTCCACCAGGGGAGCAGCCTCACCACCAGGGAGCAAGCTGGTCACGGAAACTGGTCTCGTCGTCACTACGGCTTGGTCCAGTCTCGTCGTCTCATTCGACTCCTCCTCCGAACTGCGACCCAGACGAGCGCTTTCTCCCAGCTTGAAAATTTTTAGCTTGGCGGAGATTGTGGTGAAAGGTTTCCTGGGAAGAGGATCGGATCCATTGTTCAGCGTTCCGTTTCGACCAGGGAACTTGAAGAAGAGGTGGAAGTAGGCGGGATCCGTCCACACGCCGTCGTCCACTCGGGAAGGAACGTCACAAGATGCGTAGAAGGTTTTGATCTCTCCAGAAAACGAGGTGGCCTGTGGTGCCTGGGGTTGTTGCTGTTGCCCTCCAAGCAGTGGACTCCCCGCCTGCAACCATGTTAAGTAATCCCAATTATTACATAAATATTCCGTCTCGATCTGCATTTAGTGTCTGAAGTGCAATCATTATTACCGGTATTGTGGGCGCTTTGCCACGACCCAACGTGCTGAGAACGTAGTCTTGAATGCTCTGCAGACGGAGTTGTTTGTCCCTGTGGTGAAAAAAAGAGGTGTCATGAATAAGTCTGCCATCACGCTTTGACGCTGATTAGTTTGTTATACGCAAGTTCAAAAAGTTGTTGTCGTAAGCATAAGGTTCAAATCGAGACGGTGAAGTAGACACCAGTGAGCCGAGTTGTGGAGAGTATGAAGCCATGCTAATCGAGCGAGAGAGACGACGTTGTCGGGATGGGACGTGACATTCAAAGACGCGATACATTGTACAAACTTGGTTAAGTTGGCGATAAGATTTAATGCGATGTCGTCGTTAATTATGCGATATTTATAGTGGCGAGACATGACGAAGGAAGAGGAAACCGGTTGCAGCCACACCCACCCATTCTCCCAGCCACCCAGACGAATCAAAATAACAGCCAGATGCTGATTCAGCCCTGTCTCGCGTACACAATCCCCTCATGCGACCACGACGACGACGATAAGTGCCATGCTTTCCGTGAGTATTGTTCAGTTCACTCACGCCGATCATTGTTACGCACTCGCCCACGCAGCCCCATCATCATCATCCGATCCATAAGCCAACCAACCACGAAACTTGCTACACCAAAGCCATTCATGCAGTAAAAGGGAAAAGCCAGTAAAAAAACCATCGCATCGGCATGGGTAAAAAATGATGTGTTGAATTCCATTGAGATTCGAGAGAGGACTGAGCGGAGAGAGAAGATCAGAACCAGTTTTTTGAGGATTGGAAGAAGTACTGCATGCATAAGAAGAGAAGAAAAAGATGCCCAGCCAGCCAGCCGACCAGACTCATTGATGAGACCCAGAGGTAGTAAAGGCGTAGTAGAAGTAGTATGCGTCTCTCCCTCCAAAATTCCATACCCATTCAATCCCCTCGGAAAGTAAGGAACGCCACAATGTGCCTGCCCTCTCACAGGGTATGAAGTGCAGGCTGATGATGTGCCCTTCTCTCGAAGGGTCGCTGTCTGCATTCCTGAACTGCATTCCTTTTGTTGAGCTTCCCCTTTGTCATCCCAGACCGACTCCCATTCATCAACTCGAGACTTGAAAAGAGAGGGAGAAACTCGGTCCGGGCAGGTAGAAAGGATCGATGCACAGATATAGCCATCGACAGTGAGGGACATGGATACCGTTGACCCCCAGCAGTTCTTGTTGCGTCACCCAAACTAACCATAACACATAATTGGCCAACTGCCACCACCTCATGCAGCACACACACCCTGTACGAAATGAAGTACATATGTCTGGCTGCAATGCGGTGTGCATTTGGTAGTGGAGGATAGTACCTCAAACTCTTCTTGTTACTCCATTTCATGGAATTCCTTGAACGCGTCTCCTCTAAACAATATCATCTCTCAATCTGTTGTGGGAAATGCGCACATCATCCTCGTCGCCTTTTCCACTTGTCAAGCACTCTGGTCTATCTACGTGGTCGTCTTCGGTGACTGACTGACCCTGACCACCACTGCTCCCATAACGTGGACGGAGGCAGAGTCCCGTGTGTGAGTTCAAGGAAACCCATCCGACCATCCACTCCAAATTTGCAAACGTTTTCATAATACGATGCAATACAAGTGGTGAGAAGAAGAGAGACATGGCTTCTGAGAGAGGAATGCTGCTGCTGAGCGGAGCATTTTTTTTGGGCGAGATGAAATTATGACGAGATGATGGGGTTCGCAGGGGTGGTGCGATGATGGGATGATGCAACCGAGGACTGATGATTACTACTCTGGTAATTTTATGGCTTTCGGAGGCACCCAAACAACACAAACAGTACAAATCTCGGATAATTGGCAGTCATAACTCTGCATCGGACAGCCACCTGAACGGCTCTTGGGTGCCACAGCATGTGTGGAACATTACATATGTACTTCTGCAGTTGGAATGAGACTTTTCTGGCAGTATGTACATCCGAGGACGTGATTTAGTGTTCATCTACTGTTTGGAGGATAATTATGCTCAAATCAAAATCTCAATTGCCTACTCAGCTCTCATTCAGCAGTGGAGGAGTTGAGACAAAAAGTGGAAAATGATACTTGTTGCTGGCCCATTTCTTTTGTAGTCTCACGAATGAATGGTACATTTTACACGGCCGCATGGACACGTGCAACGACCCAGCCAAGAAGTCCAGTGATAGGCCACCGACTAAAACTGGAGATGAGCTCATCACGAGGAAATTGAGCCATTTCAGCAGTTACAGACTTCTCAGCGTCCAATCACAAGCCATACATTCCTCCCAAAGTATCAATTTCCAATTGGTATGCAAACCATGGTCCCATACTTTCTGCTCCTACCACCAAACGCAACCTGCCACACACTACTCCAATTACAAGCAGTGAGGACTGCCAGGCCCTAAACATTATTCGAGTGGGCACTTATTCTCCAAGTCCTGTTTCGCTATTTACCCTCAAAGCACCAAAAAACCATCATAAAATACCTCAAATCAACAAATAATTGACACGATGAACCGGATGAGGCGCGGTCCGATAATATTATTGCCGTCGCAGAATGATGTACACATCCAAGCAGCAAATGTACATTTCATTCATAGCTTGGATACGTACGTGACCTTTGGCCCGGCCAGCAATGTTGTGTACAAGTGCTTATCTCCCGATGGCTGCGTGATGATCTGCCCTTTCTCCCCAAAACATAATAAGCTAATGACTCTCTGGGTTGGATCCGATATTTAATCCACATTTTTCTCCGCCATGAATGAAAGATGATCTCATCGCTCTGTTTCGCAATATTATTTATTATGCAGCCTATTACCTAACCCCAAGTGGCTGGGCTGCTGGTAAAGTAAATAAAGTGCTCTCCTCTCGCCTTGTTTGTTGGCATAGGTCAACGCGAGTGATGTGCGCTAAAAAAAGTGGTCAGTCCAACTTATTTCTGGCTCATTCCCTATTTATGACCTGCCAAGGAAGATGAGATGAGATGAAAGTCACGATGGAGCGTCGTAGTAGAGAGGTGAACCTGTAAATGTTTCTGATGCGGGGAAACTGCGGGGAGGAAGGCTATGACCCCAAAGCAGACTAAACATTCTCAAATTAGAGCTCTGTAGACGGACGGAGAGACATAACAAAAACAGAGCGCTTGTTATTTTAGAAAAAGCGATCGGATCGGAAAATAGGAACCCAACATGCAATAGTGATTTACCTGGCAGCGTCGTCGCAAGGGTTGAGCGGAGAGCAAGCCGTCTCATTTTGACCACCACCACCACCAAGGGTCCCAGCAAGAGTACCCCCACCACCGGGCAACACGCTCCCGTTGCTGGACCTGCCCCACCATTCAGGGAAGAAGAGACAAAAGATAGAGAAAAGATACCACCACCGAAAATACCTTTCTCCACCCAGTCACTGAGCCAGGAGTGAAAGTATTACGTGTAATTATACAGCAAGTGAGGAGTAGTGGCGACTGGGGGAAAGTGGGAAAATCTCAAAGTTCTCACTCACCAGGTTCTCTGTTGCTGGAGGAGATCGTTGTAGGCTGGGCTTCCTTCGGGGATGATGTCGTTCGTGGCTGGGGCGGCCGTCGCGAGCCCCACCAAAAACACAAGGGCTGCCACCACGCCAAGGGACCCAGACGAGTCGGCGACTGTGAACTTCATTGTTGCGTGAAAAGTGCTCTGTTTGTGTGACAAGTATCGTGTCTCGTGTGACTTGAGAGGTGTTGAGACAAAAATGTGCAGATAAATATGAGGTGAAGATGAGAAAAGACTTCTTGTTGGTTCAGTGCAGAGGAGAGAACTGTCTCAGGAAAGGTGGAGAAGGCGAGGCTATATACCCTCGCACCCAAATCCACCACCACGTCCACTTACTACTTGCTTACTACGACCAGGCGTCGTCTCACCACCAGTCTCATCCTCAGACCCAACTCTTCCTTCGAGGAATTCGAATCCTATTCCACCACTTATTTATTCGCCTGGAAGTAATGCACACAAAATATGCCGCCCCTCCTCTTCTCCTACAATGTCAAGGGCCACTAATAAGAACAATGCGACTCGAGTGGGGGCCCTGCCGAGTGACAGGACGATCCTTGAACCCAAGGGGTCGATAATACACCCGCCCGGCTTATCTACGTCCATACGAAGAAACGACGTAGGTGCACCTACTTACCTGCGTATAGGTACCTACAACCAGTGCATTTGCATTTATCTGTCTACCTTACCTGCAATAACAACGTGAGAAATATGAGATTGATTGTTGATACTGGATTGACTTGCAAATTTCGGCTGTTTTTTTTGCCTTGCCGATTCCGTATTTTTACTCCTTTCCAATTTTCCTACTTCCAATATTTATATATTCGTCTGAATTTTTATGTCAAATGCAGCTTCTGATTTATTTTAAATTTTTAATTTCACACTAAATTCAGACTGTCAATAACCAGGGCACGTATACGTACGCTCATGATGATCTGTAGTACATTTTGCATAGAATTGTGACGTTTACTAAAATTGAGGCAGTTATATTTTCAGGAATATTGCAAAATTGTTTTGAAAAGGTAGCCAAAGATAAATATGAGTCCTTGTCACTTCTTATTTGTGAAGAAGTGTCAAAAATGTTGTTTGGTTCAGCGCCCCATTTGTTCACCAGAAGGAAACAAGGACAGCAGCCAATTCGTGTGAAATTTGGGAAAGTGTTTTACACAAAGTGCGAAAATAAATCATTTTATTATGCAAATAAAGAAGAGTAGTGGTAAAAACAAGACTGAAAAATGGGATCAATCATAATCGTTATGCTCATCACACACGAGAATCATTATTGTATTGATTAATGGGAAAAGATGAGCGATGTGGAGACGGATGGGATGAAAGAAGCGATGGTAAATATGATGACCTTTGCACTCTCTGCGAATTTAATGGGTTGCAAAACATAATTAATTGGGCAGAATGCGAATAACTGCAAAAAAGAGGAATAACCAACTTCCGAGAAGCCGGCTTCCCATTCCTGATGATATGGTCGTCTCTCGACATATGACAAAATGTGAGAACGTGGCAGTTAAGCAGCTTTAAAGTGCACATGTTTATGATACTTGCCACAACTTATCAGGGCCACCAACCATGAAACAATTCCCTTCTGTTCAGACTTCATATGGTATTTAGGAATTGGGCATAATTAAGCATTTGCTGGAAAAAACTTCTTCATCAGCAGGAACATGACACCAAGGCGAGAGAAATCTGTACATAAGCAGCTCCAAGATCGATCTCAACCTTTCGTTTTATAATTTCTGCATGCCATCAGAAATTGTCAAAAGTGCAGTTCTGGCCAATAAGTGCTGTTCGTGCCCTTTCTGTGCACGTAATGGCACACGTATTTACATATAGATGGAGATTCTCTACGTCTGCATATGCAAATGTACGTGTGGGACGACGATGATAAGCCAGCGAACAAGCTATTGTTAACGTGCCGAGGATGATATGCATTTGACGACTCACTCACTTGACTTTTGCAATGGTGATTTATTTGTTGTTTTTTATTTTATTTTTTTCCTCGTCAAAACTGGAGCAGCTGTCATGTCAGAAATGCTGAAATGTCATGATGGTTGTTGCGAACCTGCCTGCTCATACTGAGATTTCGTCTCGCTTCAAATTATTTCGTCTCACAATTATCTCGTCTGGAATCACCAGAAATAAAAGCGAAGCAGCTCCTTCTTCTTCTTCTGTGGCTTCTCTTTTAATCGGTCCTTGGAAATCTGTCCGACTTTGGCGACGGTTTTGAGGACAGATTGCAATTATTTCGCATGCACAAAATATATAAATGTATATTTAGTTGCCAATTATACAGTTCATGTTACATCACATGTATAGATGGCCCACGTTATGTGCACAGATTGCAAACCGTCTCAACTTTCCCGAAGCCATCATGTCTAATGAAATGATCTTGTTTTGTCTGAATTTTCCCCCAGACGAAAACAGCCATCATCTTTACGTAACTAATTTACAAGGGTTGAGGTACTGGCAGATTTTAAATTGCTGTGTGCATACATCACTCATCTTCCACGGCCCATACTTAAGCCGTCATTTGTATTCTGGTGATGAGACGTGCAACAATTTTCCATGCGTGATGTGCAGGTGGCAAAAATACTACCAGACAATCCTCATCATCGTCGTCATCATAGAAAATGTAGGGGCGTGGAATCTTTCCGGATTGTTTCCACAATAATTGTGCTCAGATTTGTTTACCATCAGGAGTCAAACAAATCAGGAATTAAAATCTGTACCAAAATGCACTACAACTTGACATGCATCAATCATGACGATGATATATTTTGTGTTCTCTAACCTTAAATCCAGCAGCTGCAGAGATAGATACAGATTTCCGATTCCCGATAATATAAAAGATATGACCCCTGTCCTTACTTGTGTCATGCATGAGGTGATCTTTTATCCCAAATTTGACAACAAATAGGCATAACAAGAATTGCAAAATCTCAGATGAAAATGTCACCTCTGCCGTATCGTCCATGTGTGCAGAAATATATCGCAATATTCAGATTCTACAATCAGTCATAAATTTGCAACCATAATCAAACTCAAGATTTGATATATTTTCAGATGGCACAACGATTAGGAACTAAATCCTTGTAAAATGTGACATAATTATAAATAGCTTATTGAAATGTATGCTAACTTTCCGACATTTAATCGACACATATTTCGATTTTTCCTCAAATTCAAAATTTCCATTTATTATGCATCAATTTTGTTATTAAGTAGCTTCAGCTACTTTATGTGAAGACTTTGTCTGTCTGTCTGTCTGTCTGTCTGTCTGTCTGTCTGTCTGTCAGCAGGATATCAGGAGAACGGATCGAGATAATCGAAATCGGTTTTCGCCATCATACATAGGACCCCAGGGGGAGGATCCTATCAACTTTTGGGGGCAACCGGACCACACCCCCTTTGGCGACAGGGGGTGTGGTCGGGGCAAAATGAGATTTTTAGTGCAATTTAATCTATAGGTGAAATAGAGTAAAATTATGTGTTCCGGAGTTGTGCCACACCCCCTCGGCGCCAGGGGGTGTGGTTGGGGCAAAATGAGATTTTTAGTGCAATTTAATCTATAGGTGAAATAGAGTAAAATTATGTGTTCCGGAGTTGTGCCACACCCCCTAGGCGCCAGGGGTGTGGTTGGGGCAAAATGAGATTTTTATAAAAAATTAATCTATAGATGAAATAGAGTGAAATTAAGTGTTCCCGAGTTGTTCCACACCCCCTCGTCGCCAGGGGGTGTGGTCGGGGCAAAATGAGATTTTTACAAAAAATTAATCTATAGGTGAAATAGAGTGAAATTAAGTGTTCCCGAGTTGTGGTGGGACCGTTTGGGGTGAAGTACGTCTGAAGCTACTTCCGTATGCGCGTTTGCGACGGTTTATTTTCAAATGTAAATTAGACAACAGTAGGAAACTTCCTTGAACATGTTTACCTATAATTTTTCTGACGAATCCACATAGTTTAGTAATGTTGCTGAAATGTTGTTTCTGCTTATGTATGTGTGCATGTGGTATGAAATCATGTAACGCGTTGTTGATGATGATGAAGCATTTCTTGTCTTGATCTGACATGACGAAGTGTTACATATCAATCTCCTCCGTTGTTTTGTTACCCTCGATTGTCACACATCAGGACGACAACGACGGTGACATATTCCATTCCCGTCAAGAGAGCTCCTTTTCTTGTATTATGTCGCATTTCGTATTGTTGGATTCGTTCTTTGCTTTTCTAGACAAAGGGAATTAATGCTAACGCAGTTCCAATTTCCAAAAAATTCTGGACTTTGGACAGCCCAACCCACACCATATCACGAAGCATTGTCGTGTCGCATGTTACGTGTGCCAATACGAAGAGAAGAAGAGACGACTGACCCTTCCACAGATAAGATGGCTCATCTCCAATGCTAATTTTTTTACGAGACAACATCAGCCGTTCGAGGAACGAAATTATGATTTATTTAAAATACCGATAAAAAAGAACTGGTTACGGGACAATATTTGGAGACAATTGCTGATGGATTACGTTGTTAGTAGACATTATTTTTCCTACGCTGATTATTTTTGCATCTGCTGTCGTGTTTGTGGTGTGGATCACTCACCACTTGCGACGACGATCACGTACTCGACACGCCGCACCAGATTTTGCCCTTGCCCTTATTTCCCAAGAAGAAGAGAAGCAGCGGCGATGTTGTGGTGGCTCTAAATACTATTATTTGATCATCCATGTCGCAATACGAATTCAAATTTTTACGACAGACGACCATTAAAATTCATAAATTCCTGGTTCGACAGATCAAAATTCAGGATTGACGTTGATGGGCGAATAAACTTGCTAATGTTGGCAGTAGGTGAGGTGACCCATTAGAATTCAACATTGCATATTCTGTGACGGTCATAATACTTTCAGAACAGCAGCTAAAGCCGTGTAGCAGTCGGAGAGACATTTATTTTCGTGGAATATCTAATTGTTTTCTGTCTCAAAATTTGTTGACAATGATGGAAATATAGTTTTACCCATGAAATCATTCCCAGACAATTTAATCTGCTCCCAAAAGTTGTGTGAACTAAAATACGAGTGCAATTCGCAAGTTTCAAATGTCAAATAATTGACCTCCTCCTCGTTGTCCTGCGATTGTGTCGTAGCGTCATTAATCGAGTTTCCGTTATCAAAGATCTTTATTTAGCTGGACAAGAGCCAAATGGTCAAAATGATTTTAAAAATTACTAATTACCACTCAGCCAAGTCCATTATGCATGGCGCCTTCTTCTTCGCACGTACTTTATCTTGTTTATACCACGAATCGAGATACAAGTTTTTTTTATAATTGGCAAAAGCAATGCTGTAAAAATTGTCTCATGGTCTCATCATGATCTGCGTTGGAAGTTGAGACGACGTGGTCGTCGTCGTCGTTGGCTGTCCTTGCCTTACAATCAATCTCTGCTGCCTCTGCTCATCATCAGTCACTCGTCCGCTCCTTCGTAATCTGTTTTTCAACTTTCTTCTGTTTTGTTTGCACACTGAATTAATTCGAATTATTGTTATGAGTGACTTTTAGAATTGGTTCGACACGAATGCTTGCTGTCGATGCCGATGTCGATGTTGGGCATGGCTGTCACTTTGTGCGACGAGACGAGACGAGATCACAATAAAACATGCCCATAAAAACAAAACATTGTTGACCAACAAGATATAACCCAGATTGATGGGATGACGCGACGTCAGCATGTACGTAGTAAATTCTTAAGTGGATTTAGCTACGTCAGAATAGAAGAATGAGACAAATTGAATTACTTCCTATTATTCAGCCAGCCAGTCAGTACTGGTCATAAGTGGACGGATCTCGTCATGTCTGGGTCAATCAGCGTGTGATCTGTCGGGGTCGGCAGCCTCTCTCCGCATAAAACAAAGCATGGTCCACATACCAAATAAGATTAGTATTCCCATTTCGTATCGTGTGTGATTGTTTTAAATGCCATCCCACAATCATCTTCCTACTTACTTATAAACCTATAAAATTAGCACTGGTTCGCATAATAATGTAGCCATGAACAGATAACCCATGGATTGTGAAGATCGATGCGGCAGGGTGAATGGGACGATTAAGCTCTCCTCTATGAATTGGAACAATATCATCATCATCATTTTTAATGCATAATTCGGATGTACAGACATGTGTTTATGTTATTCATAAGTCCGCTGGTTAAGCATTTCATACAAAAGTTATGTAACATCTCATCACCATTTTGAGCATCATGCCACATCTGAAACCCATCACTTGCCAGACAAACTAATGCATCGAACTAATCGCAAAAACCCCATAAAAATTAAATGATCGGTGCAACCATGACCATCTCCTATAACTGCATTATGCAGTATGTGAGTACTGTGAAATTCTTATTTTATGGAGGAACATCAGTTAGATTTACTGTTGATCTCTCCATAAAATCCATAAAATGGTTGTCCATAAAGCCGTGCAAATGAAATAAAAGTGCATGAAACTCATGGCCGGAAATTGGATGCCAAAACTTACTTTTTAAGTGCAGCAGGCAGCCTTCGTAAACGGGACTAAGGATCCCCGTTAGTTTTTATGGCTGCTACAAGTACAAATTTTAACACTCAACTATTATTAAGTAATTACTCATGATGATTCGATTAAAATACATGGATAAATTGTGGCATCGAATCCATGGGGCATATTGCTACGCGGGCTTGATAAAATTTATCCCATTTTTGTACCAGCTGCATCGAAAGGAATTTCCGATCCGTTGTTATTAATGAGGTTGAGGATTAGACGGCAGGAAAATCTGGGTGAGGGGTGTGGCTTGTCGAAATGGTTCGGTTGCTGCTGACGAGGGTTGTTATCTTGAACCTACTGGTCCCTCCAACCTCAAGCCCTGTCCTGATAGGATAGAGAACCAACAAACACCGATCGTCAGACCATAATAGTCATAAATATACCGATTTAATTAAAAGTGGCGAGATGGTGTTGTTGGCGTGGCTGAGAGAGGAGGAGACGGGGCGTTGGTATGCTGGCCGTGTGACCTTCCTTGCTGCATTGGTTCCCCTCCTCCTGGTCATGACGGGACTGGGCACTCTACTTTTGGGAATTATCCTCGCCAACATTTGCTTCATTTTGGGGTAGGTTTTATGGTTATAGTTTACACATGCTGTCCAAATAATTAATCAATAATATTGATTCTGTATAGGGCAACCTGTCGCCTGTATCTTGCGCAAGTCAGTAATCATGGTGCTGGTGAGGACGAACTTTCTTCCACAGGGGATGGAAGGAGTGGTCCTGCGTGGGTGGAATACGAAGTTAACACTGCAGCTGCTGACCCATCACGAGTCAAATCTCCTCGGGGGAAGTTGGACATGCGAATCTCTGGTTCTGCCATCATCGACGAAATAATTCACGAAATGATTGACTACATAATTCGCGACTATGTTCATTCATGGTATAACTATGTGTCGGATGATGACGAATTTATTCATGAACTAAGGGCAGCTATCCAAGAAGCCTTAGTCAATCTTTCAACCAGGTATGTGTTTCTGCATGTCAATAATTCTACGGAAATTTTATGTGAATGTTTTGACAGTTTTGTGCATGCTCTCTTTATAGAACGAAAGAGGTGGACTGGATCCCTTTCCTGACGACGCAATTAGTTGACGATGGGGCCTCCCATTTGCGCCTCTATCGCACAGCACTAGCCAAGGTCAAGGAGAACCCGCAGTGTGACTTGCTTTCCGTGTTTTTCGACTTGGAAGCCAGTATGGAAAAAAGTTTTTGTAGGGACATGGCCTGCATTGATGACTCCCATTTGAATGGTTCGTTTCGTAGTCCTTTATCAAGTGACCTTAATTTTTGGTTTTGTTAAAAAAATATTTTGCTTGTGGCGTGCAGACTATTTGCAAGGGATAGCAGATTCGATTCTCTACTTGCTTCTTCCCTCTGAAACGTATGGATGTAACCCTGTAGGAACTTTGGCACAGGATCTTCTCGTTAATTACGTTATCTACCCAGTTCTCAACCTCTTTTCTGAGCCTGACTTTGTCAACCAGTACATCATTTGGCTGGTAAATACCTCGAAGTTATTTTCTGAAATCTTCTCTACCTTCTCATCTTTGGGCAAAACAAACTTCTCATTTACACATGTTTCTACATTTTTACAGTGTCAAGGATTCCCAGCATCTAGTGACACATTTTTGTCTGTGATAAGAACTAGTGACAACATGGAGGAAGTTTCTGCCGTTCAAGACTATTTTATGGAATTCCACGGCGAACTTGTACGTTTTCTTTGTCATGATAAAAAACTACATCAAATTATAACTATTGTTAATTTCATTTGTTTCCATCACCGATGTAGAAATCTTCCCTGGACCGGTGCACCAATGCAGATGATCAAAGTTCTCTCAAGTCTCAGCTAAAATATGTCAATGTGATTCGCAAGTGTGTGGATAGTCGTCTCAGCATTTTGAAGGAGGGTGGAGGAGGACCTGGAGCTGATTGGACTGATGAGGGGGAAGGATGGCAAAATTACTTCCTCACTCCGGGCATCAAACTCCATAGTCTGTCCCTAAGTCAAGTTTTAAATAACAGCGTGGCCGTCTCATATTTCTTGGATTATATGAATGGAGTTGGCGGAACAAATTATCTCCTCATGTACTTTAATCTATCTGGTAAGCCTGTCCAGCAAATTTGGTAGACTGGAATTTTACGTAGTAATGGCCGTGGATGGACTTTGTTAATTTCCTTTCGTCTTTAGCTTGGAAAAGTTTGGCTGATCAACAATTTGCTGATGCCGAAAAGCAGAGTGGAAAGGATCAAGCGGAGAACAATGAGGCGATGATGGAATGCCTTAAAACTGCAGCTACCAATGTGTTTAATGAGTTCATCCCTGAAAATGTAACTTTCCGATTTTCCCTGACTATATATTTGACTAAAACAATTAGGAGGAGTACATTAACATTATCTCGCTCAACACTAGGCGAAACATAGAGTCCGACTCCCGGAAAGTGTAATGAAGCGTTTCTACATTCTGATGCAAACTAGTTCTGTGAATCCTGGTCTTTTCGACGACATTTACGAATGTCTAATAGAAACGATGGAGTCGAACGAGAAATATTATCAATCATTCCTGAAAAGCAAACTTTATATTAAATGCCTCCTGGATTTGGATCTTTTACGCACGGATTCCGTAACCAGCACTTCCGACGACGAGGATGACGATTTGAATTCATTCGAAGACTTTGAGTTTAACACCGATGCTGAGAGAATTGCGTAATAAAAATGTGTAGCCCGACAAAATCTACAGTTTACAATATATTTACGATTTGAACTATATTTACAGCGCGACTGGAGACGAATATCAAACCTGTCTGGAGGTAACACCACGATTTTTTATTAGTTATTGCTAGTTCGATTTCTCTTTAACTTTCTGACAAGCTGCTATGTTTTTTTGTTCAAAAGTGCCTAAAAGTCAGAAAGCAGCAGGAAGATGGACTTACTTTGGACGATGTTTTATTATGGGAGCGTGGTTACCTCGAACGGAAGTACAAACTGAAAGCGGAAATAATTGAAGCTGGCCTTACAACTGAAAAAGGAAAACAATTTGGTGTGTATGCCATCCAAGTGTTACGAGTTGAAATGTGGGATGGGAGAGAACGCAGATGGCACATTTATCGAAGATATTCAGATTTTTACGTAAGTGCATACTAAGAGATTATACATTTACTGGATTATTTGGATAATTATCCTTCGTAATAACCATAAACAATAATAATCCGTCAGGATTTCCATCAATGGATCAAGTCAAAGTGGATGCGACTGAGTAAGATCGATTTTCCAAGTAAACACACATTCAGAAGCACAGACCGCATATTTTTGGAAAAACGGATGAGCTCTCTGAACAAGTTTTTGGAAACGATTATGGACATGACGGCAGAGCAGGTTGGTTCGATACAACAAAACTTTTAATTATACTGTCAGTCTGTCAGTATTAACAGCAATTACCTTAAAGTTGTGTGCTGTGACTCCTTTCAGTGCTACGGAGAGTCATTACGGGATGCGTTGCTTCATTTCTTAGAACCCGGAATTTATGTGGTCAAAAAGAAGCTATTGAGTGATAAAATAGAAACTCTTGTCAACCCACTCAAACAATCAGTTCGATCGATGACGAGTGCTGTGAAAAGTGCGCCCGACTCCTTCATAAACACGCTGGATGGCTTTACAAAATTGTTTTACCCAAAAACCGCAGAACCAGAACAGTTTGCGGAAGCTATAAAAGTTGGAGCTTCAATCGATGTCGAGGTTTGAAGAACAAGCAACTCTATGCACGAATGAAATAATAATGTAAATGATTGTGTCTTATGTCGCATGTGCCCTATTTCTCAAGGTGGATGACAACATTCCATTAAGAATTAGTTTGCTCCTAATGGACGAAGTCTTTGATCTGAAAGAAAGAAATCAATGGCTCCGACGTAGAATTGTAGCATTTTGCCGTGAAATCTTAAAAGTGAGACAAACATCAATGAAGTATTAATTCAATTAATTAATATATTTTCTTCTATCTGCTTGTAGGCTATGTACGGTGACACGATAAACAGAAGAATTATTGACCATGTAGCTTTTTTAACGAGGTGAGGTTTTCTCTTTTTCTTAATTTCTGGCCCGAGCCAGGACTTGCTGAACCGCTATTCCCGTCCGTCTGTTTGTCCAGGACACGATAGAGCCAAAACGGCTGAACAGATTGAGTTCAAAATCTTGCATATATATCTATTGGGCAAAAAAGTTAGGCTTGAGTTAAGTTGGAACATGAGTCAAGTGGTCCAGTGGTTGACCGTTGAGATCATATAGACGGGTTGAACACTCTGTACCAAAATAGTAGCTGAAATTTGGCACAATTCCTGCAGGGTCCTCTCATAGGGTCCATGTGTACCAATGTAGCGGTATATTTACGCTCGAGTGGGTTATCAGAACAAAGCCTGAAAGGTTCCATGGATGAATGGTGAAAATAACGAGGATTAATAACATTATCTCAGGCGTGTGGCAACTTGTACCGAGAAAAGGTTTACCTGCACCGTTGATTTTTACGCCGGAATTATATATGCATTTCAATGTTAGGAGTTGGGTCATCTGACAAAATTTGAAAAGGACCTGACTTGTGTCAAATGAAGTGTGCAGTAGGTTTCTAAATTGCGAATTTAGTTTTGAATAAATGATTAATAAGTTTCTTAATATTTCACTCCACAGTCCTGTGAAGGTTTCCGGATATCTTAGAAATCTTCAGTAAGTGATGACACAAAAATATACTCCAATTTCACTTGATTTGGTTCACCATGATGTTAAACTTACTGAATATTCCAGACGAGCCCTTTGGCCAGATGGGCAACAAATATCGGGAAGGCAGCCTCGCGAACAAGAAATTAAAATGAGGACGCGAATTGCAGCAAAAACTTCATTATTTGCATGCATTTCAGGTACATCTAGCAAAACAATGGATAATCCTTTCTTTACTTGACATGCATGCTTACTGAAATATGAACTAATTCCCTTGTTAGATGATCTGAAACGTCTTATCGGGAGTGAGACGACTCGTCGCGGGTTAGTGTGCGTATTCGACATGCTGCAAAATCGGATTCTAAACCGACGCTTTACACTGGTCCTGTTTGAAGGGATTCTTAAAACCCTGTTCCCCGATAAGCCAATAATGGACATTGTACAACGACTACATTTTCGTTCGAACCGGGTTGGAAAAAATCGTCCCTTTTTAGTTCCTAATTCTAAAACTAGTAGTTTGAAAGTTACCAATGTTCCCAGCTTGGCAGGATTATCTCCTCGTGGAACTCGCAAAAAGAAGTCATAACCCAATTAATTTCAACAATAGGTTATTATTATGCATAGCTCATAATTCATCGCATACGCCGTATAGTGTGCATCGTCATATCACTAAATTCATTCCACAGCTTCCACAAGAAATGGAACCATTTATCACCAATCAGACTGCTACAAAATATTAACACACTCTATTTCTATCCAAAATCGATATATTTATTCATTTTGATTATTTCTTGCTGCTCGCTGTCACGAGGTAGGTTAGCGATTATGTGATAGTACGCTTTGATTAACTCGATTAAAGAACAATGTGCACAAAGTATTTTGATAACCGTTTGTTTATTAAATTGATTCATAATTTTACAAATCAACAAGTTTTGTATACTCATTCTATTTGTATGTTGTGTACACTATTTATTTTTATTACATACAAACTATTTATACACAAAACTACTCACTGAAACTGAAGAAGTGCAAAATCATAAAAAATCAAGCGAGTAGTGGAACTGAGATGTAACTCTGCAGACTGATCCAAAGCCGTTTAAATAGAAAATCTTTACCATCTCATCTCCTACTGCTAAAGAACTATTCATAGTGATACATACATAAATAGAACAATAAATAAGCAGCATTTCCTTTTCTAAAAAATAATAACCGTATCGCTAAGCTTTACAAACACTGGAATAATATATGTAGCGTCGTGATTTGATTTGTAGCATCGGTATCTTGGTGAAGTGGATTTCAATATCATTTCTCCCTCTCGTACAGATTTAATAATATTTTCTTATGTCATACTTTTTATTAGAAACAAAACAGATTGACGTTCACTTAATCAGTATGTTCTTCGTAAATATTGCCCAGTTGTAGATTAGTTATCCATGTACTCAAGTAGACCTAAATACATAGGTACGACGATAACTCTGCCCCTTACTTCCTATACGTAGTCGTATACATTAACACAATCTTTTTGTATTCTCATCCTCAATATCTTATCATTTCTCCAAGTAACTAGCTTATCATCATCATTACAATAGCGTCCACCCACACACTTATGTACACATCCAGTAATATTATTAGCATTTTATTCATATTTTATTACCACTCGAATTCACCTTTTACACTCAAAATAATATGCACTCTCCATGAGAACTTTTCATTCGTACGTGCAACGCGTGTGCTTATGGACATTCATTCTCATTGTTTGTATTGCCATCAAATAAGTTATTCTGAGAGAATACAATATATTATTTATTTACGTGCTAATTAGTAATGCTACATTTTTATAGGAGAAACCATGCGTTCGATGTGTCACAACTATTCACCTCTTATTTACACCAGTTCAACAGTATTCAGTTAGTGTGCACGTCGCCAAAAATTTCTTAATAAATACGTGACCTCCTCTAGAGTGGTTATTTATAAAAGCGTCGCAATTTTAAGGTTTCATCAAAAATGGGAAGGTTATTTGTGCATTTACGTATGTCCACCCACGCAGGGCGAGTGGATGAGTGACAGCGCAACGTTGGTGTCGGTTGCTGTCATTATCAGAGGAGGACACGTACAACGTTTGAAACATAAATATGGAGGATGAGACTTACAAAAATAAGTATTATTTTCTTCGCCAACAACGAAATATTTTTGTGACAGAATAAATCATTACTTTTATAGCAATGACTTTTTGTATATGAAACTTGAAGCAATGCACCAAACAAACAAAACTATTTGCGACATAGAAAATCTTTGGTGGTAGCTGTCATCATAAAATACACTTTACATTGCTACCGTTTAGACCATGGACTAAATGTGCACCTCTGCCTAGAAGAGACACAAATTATTCTTATGTAGCTGCACAATTATACAAATCCAACGGAAACACTCTCTTTCACTCACTTTCACTCTACTCACGATATCCAAAGCTATTTAATCCTTTACAATTTGTACAAGTAAATTAGTGACTCATCGCTGCTTCTTATAAGCTACTTAACTCGCTGCCTATTAACAGAGCCCTTCCATGCATACGCACACACCCACCTTTTTCAAGGGCAGGTAAGCTAATGACTAAATTCATTGAGTAACAACTGTTTCGACTAAAATTACGTCACTACATTTCTACGATGGATGCAATATTCTTTTAGTCATACATCAAAATAAGCGAGTATTTGCTTCACCATTGCAGTGGGGACGTTTTTCTGACATGACATGAGTAATGCCGGTTAGGTATTTATCCTCTCTTATCCTCTCACAGTAGAGTTAAAGTAAAGCTAATTAGTCATAGAACAAGTATTACTGGTAAACCCATCCACGCTCACACACTGATGCAGAGAGGGCTCACCCCTCACACATCCTGGCACGCACGCACGCACACCGCCATGAAAGTTGATCGTAGAAGTCTTCGTCTTAATTATTATAAGTAAGTAAAAGTTCATTTGTGATGTGAAAAGTCTTGAAGCTCTGCTGGTCTTATAGATTTACATACATTTCTTATTCCTTCAAGTCTACGTCGTAGCTGCTCTGCTCGCAAACAGAACAAGACTCACTGGCAGCAGCAGACTTATCACAACTGACGCCACAGAAGAATGGACTGAGACGGCGAAAGATGTCGGCGACGTTATCCTCATATCACGCACCTGCAGAAGCAAAAAAAAAAAACTCTAGAATACACACACTACATACTTTGTAACCTAAAATTTTAATTAAGTTAACGTTTTCGGTGGGAAGTTCCAATGGAACATTATTAACGTATTAATTTATTATAAATATGGTAAACCATACCTCGGTGGGCAGAGACCCTGAAACGAGACATGAACAATTAGTGATACGTACAATCTCAAAATATTGTGACTCCTCAATGCTAAGTCTTGTGATATGGTCAACTACTGTGGGTGCACAGCACGAATGTGTCATTTGTTTCATTTACTGACCTGCTATAACATCGTGCTGAGGAGAAGATTCGTACGGGTAATGATCTGTCAATGAAACGAAACAAATTTAAAATTTACTCATAAAACTGCGAAGAAAGGGTGGAAAGCACAGAGTAATTATGGCTGTCAGTGTATGCAAGTGAGGCTTTTTAGTAGTAGGTAAATATGTCGACGAGAGATTAAAAAGTGAGGGACGGGATTGGGCTGAAAGGTTTCAGTGTGCACACAGGAAGATTGAGTAGTGATGACCTACCTGAAGTTCTGGTATTGAACTGGAACAGGTCGCTTTGCTGAGCCCTTAATCACACAACATTTCATGTCAGTAATATGCACCACCAAGAATTAATTTTACTTGTTACTCACCATCCGTACTTGTTCTTCGCGACCACTTTCGCCTCGTACATGACGCCAGCCTCCAGGTTTCGGATGTGATACGACTTCCAGTGCGTCTTGGAGGCTGGTGAAAGTCCTCGCGTCAAAGTTGTTCGCTGGTCGTAGTAACTCCCCTCGCTTGAAGGGATCACTACGTCGTGCCATTGCCCGGGTTGGTCGTGGGTCTCGTTTGCCTAAAGTGTCCACAAGTGAAAGCATCAAGCTAAGCAATGGCATTTAATTTGCCGTACAAATGTTATACGTACATGTTTCTTGCGGTACGAGAGGCGAAACTCTTCCACCACAGAGTAGCTTTCCACGGACCATGTCACATTGAACGCATCTCGCATCCTCCCGATTGGGTCGCTTCGAAACACAGCCCGGTTAGGACGCCCTGAGCATGGAAGAAATATTGTAAATTGTAAATTGAATATTCCCACATCAACTGCTAAAATCGTCCCAAAAACCACTTATCTGTCTTCACCTGAGAGCTCAATGTGCTTCCGTGACCGTCCCAACTTGTTGTCCGCCTCGCAGGAGTAGTTGCCAAAGTCGGAGGGCTGGACGTTCCTGATGATGAGTGCTGCGTGGGGAGGAAAGGTAAGAGAAAGGCTTTAAATTTGATTTCTTTAGTCCATAAAGATTGTCTTTATTACAGTGTCTCGAGCCGCGTGTTTCCATGAGAAGTCGGCCAGACTCGTCCAGAATCATCACATCCTTGTACCACTTCACCTTCTGGAAGAGAAACAAGGAGGCTTTTGTAACAAGTGTGGGCACGTCAACCACCAACCATAACGCGATTACTGGAAACGTTCTCAATGGGCCAGTGCAACTACTGTTACGTCTCATAAATCTCTCCGCGAGTAATTTATTGGTTCTGTTGTAAACTGGGATGCAAATCTCTCTCGCTGCTTTCTCCCACTCACTCACTCACCGCATTTGCATTATAGCTTTCTCTCCAACTCCATATATAAACCCAACATCAACATCATCCGAAAAAATCCACAATTTTCCTTCCCACGAGAACCAACGGGCAACCTCTTCTTTTCTGGTGCACATATTGCACACGAGTCCATTCCAATATATTCATCTCCTCCTCACTTGCCCCTCAAAATACGTACGTATGCATTGAACCCACGTCACTCGGCTCTATTTTATTGGGCGGAAATGTGTGCGTGCAACGTTATAATTAAACCCTGTTCATATTTATCTAAACCCTTTATTTATTGCACTGCTTAATTATTCGTTACTCCGCTTATTTTTGTCACCTTCAGAACGCCAGCCCATTTTATTATTCGTGTGGTTTGTAAACGTGTTATTATGGCCAAAAAACGGCACTCGTGTTGCTTGCGTACTTGCTGATTTATCACGGGCATAAATAAGCTAGGCTAGTTCAGGCAACGTGCAGCAAGGAAACTCCTAAAAATAGGACTAAAGGTTAATCAAACTGGTTAAATGCAAAATGCTGCTGCGTACATAGGTACGTATGAAATGAAAGCGCGTCATGATCATGAATTAGGTATTATCCACGTGCCTTTCTGTTGGTGGCCAAATTATTATTGCGTCGTGCTCACCGTGCTCTGGATGGTTAACGAATTCAATCATCAGCAAAGATAACAAGATATTCGGCAGGGCAGCGGCCAGAGCGGAGAGTCGAGTTGACTCGATGAGTAAGAAAAACAGAAAATTCATCAGCCTGCAGAATCGAATGGGTGGGTGAAAGTTGGTTGATTGGATTTAGCATAACAACAAACGAACCAAAAACCAAACCACCAAACACAGAGTTTCGTTCAAGGCATTTTTTTGGGGTCAGTCGAACCTCCACATCACAACCAGCAGCAGCAGCAGGAGGATCAGCAGGAGTAGAAAAAGTCGCCACCACGACCAGAAAACCAAGTCCCCGCGTGTGTCCTGCATCCGGTGTGGCATGGCTCTGGAACCGGAAGTAGTCCAATGTGGGACAGGGAAAGGACTTTGACTGTGTCCAGTCACCGTGAACGGCAAACAAAGGTCGGGAATGCTTGTTCTCCTGGAAGAAGATGAACAGACGAGCAGGACGACGAATAAGGGACGCTTGGAATTTCTTACTTCTCTCTTTCTTCTTCTTCGTCGACTGCTGCTGCTGCTGGTAGTGGTGGGTGGGTGGTTGGTTGGTTGACCAATTCCTCCGCGGGGTATAATGTATATGTATGAATGTCGTGGGTGGACGAGCGGTGCGGGCAAGCATCAGGATATTTATGGCCCTCAATCAATACATTTAGTGAAGGTTGAGGGGACTCATCGTACTATTTTAGTCTTCTCATCTTCTCATTTCGCCACCAACGAACTCGATCGAACGAACCATCATTACGGGAGCGTAATAAACGGAACGATTTCCCAATATTATGATTACCTCCACAATCCCCCATCATCAGGACCACCAGCACAGGCAGAGCTGAATCTGCTCAGAGTGCACAGCCCGAAATTAAAGTGATATGATTCCCATTTTTATTTCTAATGCTCTTCCTCCCATCCTGTGGCAATGGATGGCTGGATACGCAACGTGCCTACATCCGCACAGCCGTCATCCTCAAAAATGTTTATGCCCGTGTATATCATGAATTTTAATGTTGCAACAACACATGGACTCGTTCGTGTGATGATCAACCAATCATTCAGCGTAAATCACATTAATTGAGATCATAAATGCCATGTTAATGGGTGAGGTTACAGGAATCGGAGATGAGCCCCTTCCATGTTTCCACCAGCTCCAACCACTCATTACTAACTGCATGTGCCATCATCATCATCACACCTTCTCCCCCAGCTACTGGCTTTTTACTCGGAGATGAAATGAAAAAAAAATTGAAAATTTCGCGTGCGTGTCATCATTATCCTAACGAACGAACCAAGGTCAATATTTTAAAGGTCTGGGCGAGTCAATAAAAAGGGATGATGAAACCAAACAGCGTCTGATTTTTGAAAGTGATCTCTCTCTCGCTACCTCTTCACCAGCCACCATGAAGTTTCAATTGCGCCATAGCGGGGTCTGCCCCCTTCTCGCCCTCCTCCTCCTCGCCCTCGTCTTGCCGGTAAGATTATTTGCCAAGATTGGTCTCACAGAAAAATAAGTTTGAGACATTTTATCCGACCTCATAAATACAAGTACAATTTGATGTTTAATGTAACACGAGTTTTCGAAATTTTTTCAGGCCAAGTCCACCTTTGATGTGGAGAAGTGCAGAGGTGTTGATTTGGATGCAACCGAGGTAAGGTTTTTTTCATAGAATGCGTTAATACATAATTCATGAACAAATTAGTGCATCCTTCAACAAACTTATTCCTCCGAAGGATCACATGATGCACGTTACAGACTGTCTTAGTAAAGCAGGGGCCAAGGAATTCCATGATGTTCCCGCAGAGAAAATGCCGGTATAGTAGATTTTCAACCAATTTGTTCACCACCATTGCAACGATATGTACAAATATTTTTAATGACACTTCTCCACGTGTGTTACAGTGTTTTGGAAAGTGCGTCATGGAGAAGAAGGGCATCGTGAGTGACCACCTTTCAAATAATTATAGTGATGCAATAATTATTCTGGATTCATTTCTTCACAGATCGATGACAAAGGCCTGCCCCACAAGGAGAACATTATGAAACTCATCACGGACAACATGCCAAAGGCTGTGCATGACGATCTGAACAAACGGATGGAAAACTGCTTAGCCGAAGAAAGTAAGTTTTGCACCAAAATCTTAGTTATGTAAGAATCCATCGACTCAACTGACGGCCTCAAATAATTCCAGCATCGATGATCGACCCTGCGGATCCTTCCTGCAATACGTACATGCCCCTCGGAATGGTACGCGACTTACTTTCACTAAGATTCGCAGCAATTCATAATTAATCATTTCTCCTCTTTTTTCAGTGCATGCATTTGAGTTTTCTAGAAGTGAGTTAACCCGTTTATTTTTAGTAGACGAGTCCTAACTATCATTTCCCGTCAGAAATTAATCTCGTCTTTTTTGCAGGAGTGCGAAAAGTGAGAAGATGTATGAATATAATTGCCATCAGTGATCACGTCGGGTGAGGGTGAATGGATTTTTAGCAAAAAAGAGAGAAAAAACACATTAAATGTTTTCACCACAAGATTGACTCCCAGTGTTTGCGATCAATTTTTATTAACTCTGTCATCATCTTGGCATTCACTCATCACTTATCATCCCTGTATCGCAATAAAACTGCTGAGCTATGTTGATGGGCGAGAGAGATGTGCTGACTAAGAGGGAGAAAGCAGGCAGGGAGTGAAAGAGGTGGGTGGCCAACACGCCGCGACGACACAGGCAGCTAAATGCGAGCGAGGCTGTAATAATAATCTGATTCCACTGTTGTTGGGAGCTTATCATGTCTTCTCCAGTCGAGATTTTTCCCAGCCTACCTCTGACACTGGGAAGAAGATATGAGGCGATAATGCAAATGAAACTTTAATAACGACCCCGTCAACAAAATGCGCGCCGTGGCTACTCCCACGCCACCAAATAATAAAGACTCATCTCATAAAAAGTGTCAAAAGCTTGACATCAAGGTCTGTTTGTTGGGTAGCACAAGAGGTTTGCTAGTCCATAGTCTAAGAATATGTACGTGATCATACACACTTACCGTCGTTGGTGGGTCGGCGTGCACAACGCAGGCGAGTATGGCTTCCTGCCCTTCGCCAGAGTGAAGCCATGAACCCTCCACGTCAATTTCTGGAGGATCTGTTAAAAAGAAAATGCTGTGTAAAGACCAAATACGCATACGTCGCTGTCTCTCCATCCATTCATTAATCGCTACCACCAGGAAGAATTAATTCCATGGTGGTGGGAGATCCCTCTTTTTAATTCATCATCGCCTCACTTCCTATCTGCCGGTCCCCTGTTTTTGAATTTCCAATCAGGACAAAAAAGAGATGAGGACAAGCTTCGCTAATGACGTGTCTCACTCAGAGATACTTGCTCACCCTCTTCGTCGTCATTTGGAAGTCGTGGTCGTGGTGGTGGTGGGATCTCAAGGTGTGGCAAAAATACTTTTGAGAATGAATTAATATCCGAGCAAAGCAGCTCGTTTTTTCGTCCTTTCTCATTCGCCAGCCATTTCTTCTTCTCAATTATTATTGCATGCATGGTGGAGAGGAAGGACGAGGCTGCTGCCACAGAATCTCCACCAAGAGCAAAAATTCAATTTAATATCCAAGGCAGGAGCCATTAATATGAATGGATTCTCATTTCAAGAGGAAATGCATGCATTTTGAAATATTGGCTGGGAATGAGAGATAAAAAAGTTATCACTCGTAATGAAAATGTTGAAGAGAGGCCACATTTATTCCTTATTCGTCTCCTTTGATGAAGACTTTTTGGCCTTAATGAGATTTCTCCCGGCTCCGACCACCACCCGCCCGACCACTATTTATCCACTCTGGGCTAATCTGAATTAACCCAAGAATGCGACGTGCCCCCAGCTTTTTATCCCCTCTCCTCCTCCTCCGCAGCACTGCTTCTTCCTCCCACCACGACCACTCCTCAAAGAGAAAGTGAAGATGAGAAATAAGTGAGGACGGCGACGGAGGGAGGGAGGCAGCCTGAAAGCCAATCCCCACAGGATTTCTCATTTTTACTTTCCACTCTTTTTTCTCCTTTGCCAGAAGAAGAGTGACAGAATAAGCTCCGAATTTTAATAAGCAACTCACTCAACCCTTGCACATTATTACGGCTAATAAATGACAGCTTTTCACTCACATTGAACTCTCACCTCGATGGAAGTGGTGACCTGAAAGTATTGTTAAGATTCAGTAATCAGTTTTTGCTTTGTGTATACCAACACGATGAACACGGACTGTTTCAGGACAATCTGTGTGCACCAAGCAGGTTATAAATAATTTCAAGTAGCACGAAACATAATCCGTGATCTTTCGATTAACAGTTCAAGTAATTCTAAATAGCATTAATTAGACATAAGTAAAAGTCAGCTTATGTACGTACCGGAGTACCGACGCCGTTGTTGGCGGAGCAGAGGTAAACTCCAGCCGAATGTCGATCCGCTTTTTGTATGCCGTACGTATTCCCATCAACAGACTGTTCCCCACGAGGCAGGAGGTTGTTCTGCACAAATGTCACAAACACGAGCATTAAATGTACATACAAATATTATTTGGGAATACACAATGCCTCATATTTATTGTGCTTACCCTTCGTGACCACGTGATTGTGGGGACGGGATTGCCGGATCCTCTGCAGGAGAGAGTCACCTGGTCCCCTTTGGAAATTGTGAGGTGATTGTTGTCACTGCGCACGCTGGGAGGAACTGAAACACAAAAACAGTGCATATTTTCACTGAATGTCGATGACGGGTCGAAGAGGGAAACGATGATGATGAATGAGTACGTGCAATGTTTGGACACTTTGTACCCTAAAAAAAGCACAAAGTCTGTTTTTAGAAAAAATGGTAAAAAGAGCCCTTTTTGAGTAGACAATGGGGATCCGAGTGGAACGAATAATTTTGGGACTGTAAACCGAATTGGACTTGCTATTACACAGACACCGACCAATTTGTGCCACTTAAAAAGTTTACGCAATAATCTCGCATAATGTGACACTTGAAAGTGAAACTTTGGGTCGTTCGGATATCAATCGACAAAAGTATTGTCAATTGTAGCAAATGTAGAGCTGTATTAGAGGGAAGAAGCGTCCGTCCTCGTGTTGAATGGAGGGGAAGCGAATTTATGGGTGTATCAAAACATCAATTGGAATTGCTCCCAAGTCCCCATTTTCGACTATTTCAATTTCACAACTTTCTCCTCAAACTCTTAGACACACGCTCAGCCAGCACCAGCTCAGGCCTCGCCCAATTTTCAAGTTCAAAAACTTTCAAAACTTTCCTATTCGCCACTTTGTTACTTACTTTCTGGTGAGATTGCACATAAAATAAATAGTCATACTTGAAAAATTAGACTCATATTCGTCCCCCACCGAACCCTCGCTCACTCAAACACACACCCTTTCCATGCACACCCCATGGCTTTCCCATTCAGTAGGACAACGCAATTCATGTATGTACACAGCCAACCAGCCAGCCAGCTTCACGTATGCATCATCCAGCAATAATCCTGCCATGAATACATCACAAAGGAAATTAGACATGGTTTTATTTCTGGAAGATCAAAAATGAGAAAGTGCGTCAAGAAGACGGAGAAGTGAGAAATGGGTGAAGGGGGAGAATTGCATATCATCAATCAAAACGACCATGGCGACTTGTTGACGTGCTGCAGAGAGCTGGCGGATGGATGGATGACTGACTGATTCCCCCGCAACGGCTTTCACGGATGCAATTTCTCAAAAAATATACAAATGTATGATCCGCTGCATGGATTTCATCTCATCGCCGCTTTGGTTGCATCGAAAAGATCATTTTATTCAAAGGTCTCGAGCTGGTGATGATAAATAATAACGTGGATGAGGCATTCCGATTCCATGTCCACACACTTTCTTTCTACAACTTCTCCACGACGACTAACTGCGAAGTGAATGAAATTCCGATTGCACAGATTTCGAGGAACACTACCAGTCGAGCCCAAGTCGTCGTTATTGCAAGTCGAGGGCAAGAAAGCCGCAGAGAGAGAGAGAGGAGTCATAAATTAGTCCCTAAAGCTCTCTTTTTAGCTCGATTAATTTATTCTCTCTGCATCAAAAATGAGTTATGATGGTTTCATTTCGACTCTCTCTCTCTCTTCCCATTGTGCTTGGCCATCCCATCCGAATCTCGGCGGCCTGATGGTAGCTGCACTCTCTGTATGCTTATGAGCCTCATAACCTATAATGTATTTAGCATAATAGTATTAAAGGTTTGAAATTAAAAGTGGGCTCCTCTCCGCTCTTTGAAATATGTCGACTCTTATTGAAAGTCGCGACTTGGGAGCTACACATAATGAATGAGCGAGTGTGAGGTGTAGGGATCGACACACACAATCACGCTGCTGCTTTCACCTCGTCCCTTCTCCTGCCACCAATTTTTGGTCGGTTGGATGGGTGGGTGGGAGGCAGGAAGGGATTGGGCCTCGACCACACCACACGAGATTAGTAACAGCCCCTCTAATTTCATTTCCCTGTTTTGAGACGAGACTCATCCTTCCTCTGCCTGCCTGCTTGGCTAGGTCTGCACAACATGACACGGCTTTGTCTCGGGGCTCAAAACGAATTAAGCTCTTGATTTGCGGTCTCTTTGTCCCGGCTGAATTATATCTCTGCTCTCTCTCTCTCTCTCTCTTTCCGCTCCTATTCTTAGTTAGATGCCTCCGGATCAAACACAATTAAAATTTGGGAGCTCTTTGCGTGTCCACCCGAGCTGATCAACATCACCCACTCAGGAGCCTACACTGGCTGGATGTACATGTGTGGGAGAGAACCACTCAGGAGGGAAGAAAGATAAGCGCACGCCGTGATGAAGGTGAAAGTTCTTTGAGGCTTATCACTCCCTCTCTATCTGTCCCCACCACATATGACCAACTAATAATGGATATACGGTGGGCTGATTGGCAGTGGTGGGGGGCAGGCAGTTGGTTGGGTGGGTGGGTATGGTTGGACGGATGATGATGAGGACTGAATGGAATATTAATGCGTTCTATTTACTCCTCGCGTTGACATTTACGGAGGACATACGTAGCCTTTCACCACTCCTTTCACTCGCTAGGAAATAGTTAGTGCGCTATAGCCCATTCGTTTGTCCCACTGCCACTGACTGACTGATCTCGTGTTGATGTTGATTTTCCCAACACGACGGCGATGATGATGCCATAATGCAGGAGCGGGAGATCATCATCGTGGAAGCGGCGGCGTCCTATGCTTGGTGGATGATGAGCCACTACCTGAATATTAGATTAGCTCCGAGTAACTGTGTATCCTCAACATTAAACTAATTTTCTCCTCTCATTCATCAATTTGCTGGTTTCATCTCGCAGGCAGCCAACTCCTGACGAAAGTGAAAGCAGCCTCGCTCCCTCTCGCTCTGCTTTTCTATCATCAATCCATGAATTTTTAAGTACTTTTTGCGACCGAGATGCAGAGTGGGTCACGAGGTCTGGCTGTAATATCGAGTCGGTCGGTCGGTGGGTCGGTGGTGGATGGATTTGACATCTCAAATGATGATTAACGAGAAGACTCCCTCGAGATAAGAGAATTCAACCCGATTGCATAATGGCAAAGGAAAAGGCGACTGAATGCCGATCAGATTTGGGTTCGAGGACGAACGGCCGCAACCACTCACCCAAAATTTTCAGGGTGTGCGATATTCCAACCATTGGATTAAGGATTTGAATGAAATGCTGCGTATGTGCAAATACTTGAATGAATAACTAAAAATTTCATACCCATTATTTCCAGTGTGTGATGAATCTAAACAAACAAAATTGCATGTAAATTAAATATTCCAATTTTGATACGAATCAATCTTGGTGATTTATAAGATAAATATTCGCCAAAAACAACTCACCTCCTCTGGCACCAGTGTGCTCATTTGACAAACGTAGTCTGCAATAATAAGAAAAATGACGATATGAGCACTCATCGATTGTCATAACTTCAAAATCAGAATGCATAATCAAGTCTATCACTCACCTCCTCCGTCCAAGGGTCGAACCTTCTTGATCTCGAGGTTGAACCCATCCACGAGTTCCACTCGGTTGTCGCGAGTGATCTTCATGTCGCCTGTGAATCAATGAGTCATCCAGCATTATAAACTTTCACCCATTCATGTTTAGCATCATCAAGTCTGAAATTATGTCCTGTCCACCCAAGGCGATAAGGAGTGGATAAGAAGATGTGCATATGCTTACCCGCGGAGAGCACCGAGTTTCCTCGCTTCCACAGAAGGACATAGTCGCCTGGAAGAAAAAAGAGAGAAGGCGGTCAGTACGGGTACGGTATGTGCGGGTGGTGTATGAAGAGAGGATGTGCCCGCAGGTTGAGTTATTGAGCCGGAAGTAAGGCGTACGAGTTCACGGGTGGCCTAGGCAGAGATCCCACGGCGATCGTTGTCTTTCTTCTTCTTCTCCGTCTCCTTATCAGAGAGTGAGAAAGTTTGACCACCCAGAACTCGTTTGACCGTGAGGAGAAATCCCTCCGATAAAAAGTTAACTTTCACTTCTTCTGCTCAGTTGCACCCACCAAGGAACGAGCGGACGGACGAATCAACTTGGAGGAGGACGGCTGTGAAAATCATAAATACGCTCCGGGGTGTTGTGAAGTGAAGGAGGTGAAAGGTCCGGTGGTGGTCAGGGGGAAGATGAAAAGAAGAAATAAGTTGAATAATTTCATGGATTTTGCCCACAGGATTGGGTGTCGAGAGATGCGAGATATGTGGAAATGAGAGGGAATCATAATATTGGCCGGAGAAAGTGACATTGGGAATAAGAGTGTGATGGAGAAAGTCGGAAGAAAGGGGTGGTCAGCAACGTCGTCGTCGTCTGTACAAATAATGGATCGATGGTGGGCAGTGAATCTGGAGCGATCTTTTTGGTCGTGTCGTGTGTCATTTGATTTGATGTAATGCCGTGTGTGAGCTTGTTAGAGAAAGTGGAGGAGTCAGTCTCTTCCTCTTCTTTCTGCTTCCTCTTTCTTGGCGTTTGGCGTTGATTTGAGGGAATGCGGCTCAAAGCCCAATTGGAACTCATAAATAAGCGAGTCCTCCTCTGCCCACTCTTTCCCTCTGCTTCGTCCTCTTCTTCTTATTCACGAAGGCTCTCCTCTCCAAGAAGACCAAAGGCGATGGGAAGGAGAAGACGGAATAAGAAAAAAAACTACGACTCACCCAGCCGATCCACTTGGCAGGGAAGAGTGACCGTCTCTCCAATGACGACACGTAAGGTTTGGCTCCTTGTGATGAATTTGGGCGTCTCTCCGTCCTCCTCGTGGCATTGGACTGCAAAGAACAAATAACAGACAAATAAATGCACTACTTGATCATATCCAGAGCAATAAATGGACCAATAATGATCAATTTATCTCTTCTGATTATCTCCCTCGCCCCCTTCCGCCCTACACCGTGCAGCATAACTCTCGGGCAGCGTGGTCCCGTTATTCTCCTCGTCCTTGTGATGGAGGTGACACATTTTACCGAGCTCTCGGCCTCTCCAGAGACTCGTCCCCACTCTCTCCGTACATATTCCAATGAAGTAAAACCAAACAGAACAACAGAAAACTTCCGCCCTCATTTCCCATTTCTGGACATGAACGCTACCACAACTTGGACTATGTCAACGGTCCGTGTGATGTACAACACCCGACCAAGAGGACATCAGAATAGGAGCCGCCGCTGCGGTATGGACGAGGCACATAATTTGCCCATTTTTGACAGATAGTGCCAATTTGGCAGAGGCTGATGAGCTTATTCTTCCAGGAGGAGGAGGAGCCGGGCAGAAATGGATGTGTGATGATATTGAAAAAAGTCGACAAACAGAAATTGAATTGGAAATGTGGAGTCCATATCGAGAGGAGGAAGCAAGTCCAGCGTGGCAGGAGGAGCCGCGGCAGCAAAATTTTCTCCAAGTGGCCCCGAATAAAAATCAAATATTCAATCAGAGGAGTCTTTGAGGAAGGTGAAAGTGGATTCTAGAATTCCTTCCAGTCGCCCTTCCTCCCTTGTTTGTGCGGAATACGGAGGGATATAATATTATTGGCAAGCTTTCCCCACACCTTGGTATATAAGATGTGCATGTGGCCGTGATGAGGAGGCTGGCTGCCCACCCATACCCACTCCATTGTCTCAGCTACCACTTCACTTTTGGGAAATGAGGTTTGGCGGAGAGAACGTCAAACGCGATAAAAGCTCTATTAGATTTAATTTCAATTTTCTAATATTCTTCTCCTCGCCACGCTCTTGATAAAACTCAGATTTACACCGGCACTCCAATTTCGCAAACCTTTCACAATATTACCTCAAATAAAATTTCCTTCTCCTCGCCATCTTCCCGCACACGCCCATTTCACCAAGAAAAGCCAACCACACCAAAAACCGACTCCTGTGTACATAAGCATAACAGGCCACGTACGTACGTATGTATATGCGTGTGCTGTGATTGCGAATCTGGAACATTTGCTCCATTTACAGATGAAATGAGCTAATGGGCACCCTTAATGGCGCTCTAATGGCTGTATCCATATCAAGTATCAATCCCTTCCTTTCCTCCGACCCTCGTAAATCCCACAATGAGCAACATTTGAAATTGAATTTTTATGGCCCATGCAAACGGCTCCTCGTCAAATGCTCCGTTTTCAGAAATAATTATGTTCTTCATATGTACACCATCCGCCAAAGTACGTCAGCCCAAAGCCCGTACTCCCGCGACCTGTGCAGGCGGAGAAGAAGGGTACAGCACGATTCCTCCGTCCACCAGGTGAAAGGATGAGAAGAAGAGAAAGTTGAATTACTTTTCTCTCCCATCTCGATGCAAATTTCGACTCTGGTCTTTTTCATCTCCACTTCCACTCCTCCAGCTCGGCCATGGAAATGGATCTGCGGAGAGAGGAGAATCGAGGAGATAAGGAATCCAGCCAGACTCATCTCCTTCTCATATCTCATTTAAATCTTGCCTCCAAGAAACAAAAATTACTCTGTACAACCGGCCACCGCTTTCCTCGGGGATGCAAAAATGTTGTGCAATACCACGAACTGGGATGAGATGGATGGAAATCTGGCTGCATTCTTTTCTCAAAATATTTGTCTGAGCAAGATTTGCTTTCCATCAGTCGGAGGAGAAAAAGGATGAGGCGAAAATCGATGAGGATTAGCAGGACGGAAAGGTCAGAGAATATGAAAATGTACCCATTTGCACACCCAAAAGCCATATCGTTATCATATCCTTCAGGTTTCGCAGTATCATCTCGTCTCCCCAACAGCAGCGAGAGGTTGAAATACTACGGCACGAGAAGCAGCAGTGGTTCGTGGTGGCAGTCCTATCATCGGCCATTTCATATCACCGGCTCAATTCACATTTGCGTGTTCGCAGCGCATAATGACCATAAGCACTCCAGTAAAAGTGTCATTATCCAAAATTCTGAATTCTGCCGTGGACAGACAGCGAGCCAGGCCGATAAGTAATAACCGATGCACATCTCTCTCTCTCTAACCGAATCTTTCTTGCGACGACGGCACGAACCAAAAGTGTGTCAATGGAAAACATGACTAAAAATTCGACAAAAATCCCGTTATTTGTTTTGGACAGTGGAAAAATAAATACAAAACTCACACGAAATCCGACTCTGCCACCGGCTGCATGTTTATCAGTCGTTAGGTTGTTAATTAGGAGTCCCAGGTGGTCGTGTTAAATATGTGGCCGTGTCGTGACACGTTTAATTTAGGCGTGATTTAGGTGAACATGTGACCAAACTCGTCGTCCACCCACTACACGTCCCCTCGCTTTTCACCCGCATTAATTACAAGAACAAAGTCCCCAAGCATCATGACAGCCAAATTCACGCGTCCAGCAGCAGGAGCGAGAAGGATCAGAGAGTGAGAGAGGGTGGCATGGCCAACTCACTGTGTACGTAATGCAGCTCTCGAGTCTCTGGCTGGGGTAGAGGGACCGGAAATCATTGTTCAGCATGCAATAAAGTGATACAGCGAGAGAGACGATGGCGATAGGGTTGAGGAAACTTTTGGAAATTCAAATCCAAACAAGAGTAGTTTCGAGATTTGTAAATGAGGCGAGTTTTATGAGAGTCTGTTCTGAGGAGACGATGGTGAGGAGAAGACGGCAGCTATGAGAAAGAAGTTGTTTAAAGACGCCATAAAAAAGAGAATTGCTATACTCCATCACATCAATTGGTCAGAACCTCTTTTCAATCCACACATTTCTTCGTTTTCCTCCAAAAGTGGACCAATCTATAAAAATGGAGCAGAGGCTGAGACGTCGCGGAGTCACAAACAAACAGAAAAGTCAGCAAAGAAATTTCCAACAGAGTTCTCTCTTTTCTTGCGGACAACAAGTTTAAAAAGTGAGAGAGCCCATTTTTTATTCCGGGCGGGCCTCCACCCACCCAGCAATGCTCGCCCGCATCCATACATATTTCGGTCGTATATGTGTACTTTTCCCCTCTCCGTACGTACCTACATCTGTACATGGACACTCAAAAAACAGGAAGCCGCTGGACTCACCAGTCCATTTGTTGCAAGTGAAACCAACATAAAAATAATTCCGAGTGGGTCTGGAGGAAATCAAATGCATTGCTTTCTCTGCCCATATTTCCACGAGTCGTCGTTTCTTGCAGAGAGAGCTCTTTAACTTCCGCTAGTTGACAACTAGACGAACGGACTCTGATTCTGAGCAAAAATCGGGTCACGGAGGAAGAAATCAGAAATTCCATTCTTTTCGCTTTGGGGGAGAGAAGCCTGCTCAAAATTCATACGCGATTGATCCAAAACTTTCCTTCTCGTCTTCCTCTCTTCTCTCATTTCACATTCTCTTCTGTCCCACCTCACAACTTTTCCCACCACCAGAACTCCTCTGCCCAAGCATTATTTTCCTCCACACACACAATGGATTTGTTTTCTTTCTCCTTCCACCACCACCACCACGACTGCAAGGCTCCCAAATCTCCTTCGAAAAGCGTCCCACGGACACCACTTTGTGTTTATTTACACGAAGCTGTTAACTACTCAATAATGCACTCGGCAAAAGGCAAACAGTTGGCGCAGTTCCGGCAGTTGCATGGAAGGAAAACATGACCCTTCACAACCTCCTCCTCCTCCTGACAGCTCCAACGCGAAGGATCAGCTCCGGTGTCCCTTCAGGCGAATCATGTACACATCACCTCTTAGACGCCGTTAACAACCATTTATTCCATCTCTCTTCTTCCAAACAAGAAATAAAAACCAAAGCAAGAAGGACGAGTATGTAAGCACCCACGAAATAGGGTGTTCACATTTATGCCTGTTCCTCATTTTCACCCCCACACACACACAGAGTCACCCTTTAATCACATCGCACCAACAAAGAGCAGGAGCAGGAGCAGGACTCGTAAAATACAAATAGGTACACGCCATAATAAATCAGCTCTCATCACGACATCCATTTCTCACTCGAGAGCTGCGGCATGTGTCCCGTGAAAAATGCTACATTACGTTTTATTGCAGGAATAAGAAAAAGTCAATAAGTCGACTTTGAAGAGTTGGGAGTTGAAACTTTGGAATTTTTAAATTGGAGAGAAAAACCGGCTCTGTCTCTCTTCTCGGTTGCTTATTTGGCCATGTGCATACAGAGAGTCGTTGGAAATGAGTTGATTCAGCAGAGTCAAAGGCAAACAGAGAAAGTGAGCTGGTGGCAGGCAGGGCTGGTCTAATGCGACGAGGACAAAGTCAAAGGTTCCTCTCTCGCACCTTCTTCCTCTCGCCCAGTCCACCCAGAGTTTTGATTCGAATTTATTTGAAATCTGGAGGTGAAATCCGTTGTCCAAATATTTGCAGAGAGACGCGGAATAATCTGGCAGCCAGCTTCTGCTTTAAAGTTGAAAGAGAAAGATGTGCCATGGTCACAAAGTTGAGCTCAAGTTCAAACTCGAGAGAGAGAGAGTTAAACAAATCCGTACTGGAGGCAATTTGGAGCATATTAAGGACGGTGGGGCTCAGGCAGGCAGAGCACGACGCCATCAAGATCAACTCTAATGCAAATCCTTCATCCTTAGTATTGATATTCCATCTTGTCAAAAAGGAAAGGGCATGAGCAAACATTTTTGTCACTCTCACTCGTCCTCGTACATATTTAGTTGCAATGCTACTACTTACTGGTTCTTGCACAGAGGTAGAAACAGAGTAGGCACGCCAAGGTTTTTTTATACCCGGAAGTGACATTGGCCCTTTTACTACTCTCAACGTAAACTGTGTCCCGTTGTATGCATGCAGTAGTTACGGGGCCATAATGTGTA